GCATGCTTCGATGTCAGTGGTATCCTGTGAAGGGAGTTCCCAGGGCCCTCTCTCTTCATCACTCGATAATGAGAGGAGGCCTGTGTAACACAACTCGGCCGCGTTTCGAGGCGACTTTCATGATTGAAGAGAGGACAAAAGATGGGCTGGCCTGAGGTTAAGCAAGCCGCCGATGAACATAGGTATGAACTAGTTCTGAGTGGTGCTACTGTTTCCGAGAGGATCGATAAAAGTGGCCTGGACAAGGATATTTTCGAGTTGACCTCTCTCAATTTTCTACAAATATCGAACACAACGTTGCTTTCGCTTCCGGTCGAATTAGGGCAACTGGTGAAATTAAAGACACTGGATTTGCACAAAAATAGCTTAAAGGAATTACCAGCTTCCATAGGATTGCTCAAGGAACTTAAGCACCTTGACTTATCGGACAACAAGTTGCAAAAGCTTCCGACAACACTGACAGAACTGAATTTGCTTCAGTCATTGAATTTGAATTGCAACCAACTAACTGAACTGCCGAGTTTTGTACTTCTCACAAGTCTGAAACGAGTTGACATCAGTCATAATCAACTGAAAGAACTGCCCGATGGAATATACGAACTGGAACATCTGTCGGAAATCATCGCTTCTTACAACCAGATCAGCAACATTAGTGGTAATATCTCAAAACTGCCAGCTCTCAAGGTGCTGTCCTTGAATGCAAATAAGATTGAACTTCTTCCATCAGAATTGACAGACTGTCTTAAGCTGAAAGATCTTCACTTGCAAGACAACTCGATTCAGGACAGGAGACTTTTTAAGGTTATCAAACAATGTTCAACCAAGGCAGTTTTAGATTACATCGCAACAAGAAGTGAGAAAGTGAAAGCTGGGAAAAAAGGAGGGAAAAAAGGGAGAAGTAGAAAGGTCAGCGAGGGAGCTGATAATGAAGTTAGTGCGGACCAGGCTGAGGCACAATTTTTCAGCCCAGTGGTCAGAGTTATGCACAGTGAAGAGTTTAAGGTTGTTTCTCAATCAAGTGTTAAGGTTGTGCGACCTTATATTGTATGTGCAGTGGTGAGGAATTTGGATCTTATTGATGCGGATGCCTATAAAAAGTTCATCAATATTCAGGTACCTCTTCACAGTTATACAAAAGAGTTATTGACCAAGTGTGAGGTCATGATGGCTAATAACCAGCTAGAAATTAAATAAGACTTATCTGAAAGTTGATGTTTGGTTTTAATTTGGGCAATTAAGAGTATCCTATGGGGTTATATGTGATAGCTTGGGTAGGCCATGATTAATAATTTGAGAATTATTGGATGTGGTAAAACCAGTGTTATACCCAGGGGCGGGTTTGTAGTCAGTCTGATCCTTCTTAAATGCTTGTTTACCAGGTGAAAAGCTAAACTTTACCATCTAGAACCTTTTCATAGTGAAAAATATGATGTTTGGTCAGTGTCTTGATGATGGCTGGATTGCCATTAGCCATGAAAATGTCTTTTTGTCCCATTTGCCTGTTTACTCTTTTGTTAGATTAATATTCTAGCCTCAAACCACAGACACTGTTAACAAAGGAGAGGTGTTTCTTAAAAAAACTTTATTTGATTAGCTAGGCTGTTAGGTTAGGAATAGGCTAAATTTGTCAAAGCCAGCAATAACAAAGCAAAACATGGCAGAACTCATTCACATTTGTGGTCAACTTCTTTGACTGAAAAGAAGTTGATTTTGACACCATGGTGGTTTTCTATACCTTTGACTTTCAGCAGTTCTTACTTTTCTGCCTGCACTTGAGATGCTGTTAGTGCCTGTTTTATGTCTGGACATTCCCTCCACACTTTCTCTCCCTCCCTCTCTCTTGCTTAAGGAGGAAGTTCAAAAATTGTCATGAGCTTGAACTGGGATGGAAAAAGAAGAGTCTGTATTTTAGTCCCAGATGGCTGCCTTGTTGGTATTTTCATCAGCTATTACCTTGGCAGCATTGTATTGTTCCTTTGAATGTTCATCACTTTGTAAGGTTGATTTCCATACTCTAAACAGCTTTTTTTTTCTAGATTTCTGTAAGCCAGGTTATTTCCCATGTTGCAATATTCAAGTGCCATAAGTGTTGTTTTTCCTCACTGCCAAAAGTGTTGCAAATGAATTTTGATCAACAGAAGTTTCTGAGTGTCTAAAATAAAACCCTAGGCTGTTTCAATCTGGCGATCAGTAATGAATCCACACAACATCATCTTGATTGAGACATACCAACCTACCGTAGTTATTCAGTTATAAGGCGCACTGTTTTTTTCAAGAAATTCCTAATTTCTACTAAAATTACCAGCAAAGTTTGGGTGCGTCTTATAGGCGAATATTTTCCCGAAACAATTTTTTTTAATCACAGTTACTGGTACGATTTCAAGCAAATAAAAGGATACACAGTGTTGGTCATTGACTTTTATAAATATGGTGGTTCTGAAAAGACGAGCGAAGTCAAATTTGCATAGATATGATACGTGCTCGAAAGCATGTGCTCAGTAATTTGATACGTCACAAAACAAAACGAAAATAAACAAGTGAAGAGATATATACCTTCTTCATCCATCCAGCCTTTTTTGTGCACTGAGACCTGCATTCTCGGCGGTATGTTAATTCTTGTTTAATCAAGGCTTTTGTTTGTGTGCGTGGTCATGTGTGCGACAATTCTGCTTTTGTTAATTAACAGTAAACTATAATCAATATGCGACTTTTTCGCTTTTTTGTAAGTTTATGAAAGAATTTACAATAAACTTGACTGATCTTTACTCCCCAAACAACGGTGCACCTTATAACCAAGTATTTTAGCGATATTTTCAGTTTGAAAACATGCAATAATGAAGTTGCTGAATTGGGGGTGCGTCTTATAGCCGAGTGCGCCTTATAACCGAATAACTACAGTATTATCCATACATTCTCAAGCTATCTCAATATATTCTCTAATAAGGTAGAATATGTTTTGTTTTTTCCATAATAATTTTGTTAACAATATTTTAAAATCTGAAGTTAAGGAGGATGTTATAAAATAAATTGTGTATTTACCAGATCTGAGTGATTAGTATGCAATCAAATCAAATACAAACTTGAAGTTTACTCTAGAAGTTACTTCCCTAGGTTTTATAACTTTTTGAATGCTACATTCTGTACCTTTATGATCAAGTAACATTCTCTCTCTTGCCTACTAACAGACCAAACTTCATGAAAGCATTTGTGACCATAGAACATCAGCTACAATTGCCACACATGACATAGCACCTTTAGCATTCCCCCTGGAATATGAAGCTTGCCCTCCTGGTGATATTCAGCTGGTGCCTCTGGGAAGACAAGAGGAAATAACTGCTGAACAGCTGATAACAGACCTAAGAGCAGAAGCCATGAGACAAAAACAGAAAACAAAAAGAAATCCATATAAAACTGGACTTTTTAAGTATGATTTTATTTCCTGTTATTAACAACAACTCCGAGTTTATCTTTTTAAAAGATAAATGTTGAATCACAAAATTTTTCTGTTTCTTACAGGATGTTATATATGTAGCTCTATAAACAGGGCTTCTTCAGATATTTGTAACTGATTTTGTTACTATTTTAAAAAGATGAATAAATATTCTATAGAAATGGATGGGATGGTTACTAAAAGAGGGTTTACCTAACTATTATGCAGCAACATGCTTTTGACTGGCTTGTAAATGCAGTGTACAGTGGCAACTCTCGCACTGACATCATCTTTATGTGTTTCTTGCAATAGGTATCTAACTCTCATTGAAGGAGCAGAGTCATATGCTGTATTAAGAGACTCAAGTAGAGCTGTTGTGTCTCTGCCTCCAGTTACTAACTGTGACAAGAGTAAGGTAAAGAGCCCCATCAGGTCATACATACAACATTGGTGTACACTTGGTAGAAGTGCCCTTTCTTTGTTTTCCGGTGTGTTGTGTACAGATGATGAGGAGAGGAACCCCATTAGAGTCATTCTTGCTTATCTCATTTTAATCAAATTTTTCAAGGATGTTTGTTTGTATCATTGCTATATGCCATGAGACATGAACCTTTTTCCCAAGATGTTAGACTTATTCATATAACTAATTATATAACTAATATATAATTGCAGATAACAGGAAAAAAGATTGATGTACTCCTGGAGGTAACATCACCAGTCAGTCTTGAAACTTGCAAGACTGTAATGGACAGTCTAATTAAGATGATGCTGGAAGTTGGTTTGTTTTCGGAGGCCAACACTTTGGTTGATGATGTAGAATGTGCAACTTCCTTGTCAAACCAAGAGCTTGTTATCGAACAAGTTAGAGTATTAGGCAGTGATGGACAACTCAGAGTTGTTTATCCATCAAGAGTTGACCTGCAGTTTGAGTCAGTCAAAGTTATTCGACCAGAAAAAGTTTAGGAAACGATTATGTAACAAGATATGGACATGTAGAAAAGGGTGTTGTCTCATTTGTAGGGGCTGTCTTGGTGTACCGGTACACGGGGGAATTCCTATTGTTTTCATATCCATACATGGAGTTGTGACGCAGTTCGTTAATGTTTCGTTCCTTTGTGTAACGGTACACGAGGACACAACCCATTTGAACCACTTACTTTAAACTTTAAATTCAACCATTTGCCTCAAAGGCAATAATAAATTAGCCCTTTCTCTGTTGGCTTAGTATGAACACCCCCCCTTACTGAATCCATTTTTGGTGTTGGTTAGTTTTTCTTAATGACCAGTATATGGTTCGGTTTGGTCCTGTAAGGGCAAACCAAGTAGATAAATGTTTTTTGTAAAGATTGCTTAGGACGGAGATTATTGGAGACGGATTGTAAACATCAGAAATGACATTAAAGCCGTCGAAAATCATTAGAGGTGGAATATTTAGAGTGTATGGAGTGACTGTAATCTGCCCTCCTCACCCACTCTCTGAAACAGGAGAAATGCTCGTAAATTTCGCCTTATTAAAAAAGATAACGATAACCTAAAAAAACCGAAACGGCAATAAACCAGTCTTGCGCGTTCTTATCTTTGATTCATCCCCAGGCCGCGCACTGGCAAGTCACAGACAGCCATATTACAAACGTCCGGTAACCAATCAAACGCCGCCAAGTGATTTGCCCTTCTGTTCACTTCCGTCCCTTCGTAGTAACCGCCATAATCTTGGTAATTTTGCTGAAGAACAGCAAACTCTATGGCGAACCAAAAGAGTTTATTACTAACGTATATTATCTGGCTCATATGGGGATGGCTCGGTCTGCATCATTTATATCTGGGTCGAGATATCCAAGCATTTATCTGGTGGTCAACAATCGGAGGTGTATTTGGCCTGGGATGGTTTCGCGACCTTTGGCGTATTCCAGAATATGTTGACGATGCCAACGAAGAACGTTTTTTCGTTGAAGAACTCAAAAGAAAGATAAAGCTTAGGGGAGAACCAGCATTTAGTGTAACCAGATTTTCAGGACAAATGCTTGTAGGATATTTTTACGGCATATTAGTTCGACTAGCGATACCTGAGGAGGCGAAATGGCTTCCGGCGTTGTTGGTACCTCTTGGGGTCGCCGTTGGTGTTTATCTCGTTGGAAACATTGGTCGAGAGAGGGGAGATTTTAAATATCCTTTGATGGGAGCTTTTATTGCTAATATAGCTTTGACATATCTTACTGGGGACGAGGCTGGTGCAATGTATTTGGCTCTAGTTGCTGCCATATTTTTCCAAAACCGCCGCCAGTTTAGGAAGGAGAAACCGCAGGGCAAGACCTTATGCAAGCGGCTACAGTACTTGGCGATTGGCGGCTTAATTATTTGTTCCCTGTGGGGATCGTTCCTCTATTTCAATGCACAAGTCACAACAGAAGATGGAGAAACTGTAAAGTTACGTGACGCTATAAATCACTTCTTCAATTCACCGGTGTGGCTCGAATTCAAGGAAGTATTTTGGGGTCTTTATGAAGAAGGTCAGAAGAACGGCTGGGACAATTTCTACGACGAGTTTGTTAAAGCGTTGGATCCCAGGGGAGAAAAGAACGCTTATCGTGTCCTAGGGCTAACAGAAGATGCAACTCAAGAGGAAATAAAACGAAGATACAAGAAACTTGCAGTAAAGTGGCATCCAGACAAAAATCTAAACAACAAAGAAGAAGCCCAACAAAAATTCATGGAAATTCAAGAAGCTTATGAAATTCTTTCGAAACTCAAAACAAAAAGAGCTTCTAAAAACACCAGAACAAGAGGTGAATTCGATCAACACGGTCATGAAGAATATTAGATAAAATTAGTTTATTGCCAAGTGCAATTTATATTTTAGATTCCATAGAAACATGACAATGAGCAACAGGTGGTTAAACTACAAACTATTGATAACAATAATGGGTGGTGATCTGTGATTCTTTTACCACCTGCTAGAAAATCTTACTCCAATACTCCCTATTTATAAATTATTACTTCTAAAGGTAATTTAAGGTAGCACTTACATACATTTTTTATGCAGGTTATTTATTGCATTTTTATGGTGATGAGCTATGCCATAACTGACAACACAGAAAAAATGATAGTTTGAGAAAAATAAAGTACACATTTCTAAAGTTACATTTACTACAACCACCAGTATATAGTGTGAACCATGTTATCCTGTTTCCATGAAATGATGGCTACCATCTTCATTTCACTATTCTGAGTTACTGTGGCAGGTATATTGTTTTTTTTTTTCACTGAATTGAGGAGAGGGTGTTATGTACGTAGAGGCTTATCTTTTTCTTTCTTAAAGAGAAATGATAACTCCAACATAAATAATTACCAAGTACTGTAATAAGTGCAGTGCAGATTATTTTCCTTGTGGCTGAAAATGCATGCAGATGTTGTAGACGTTTTTTTTTATTTTTGATGTATTTCAACATCATCCAAACATTTCTGTTAATTTCACTCATAGACAATATGACAGTGGTTTTAGAGATGGACATTTGGAAAGTCCTTACCCTTGGGCATTGAAAATATTCTAATTTTGTCTGAAGAGGTATGTTCATAGAAATTATATTTAGGCTTGATCACTAGAGATGAACTAAATCTGTTTACCAAGCAAGGAAGTAAAGATGAATTGACTGTCAAACATTGCCAATCTCAAATGATCAATAAAATTAAGAGGTTTACAAAGTGTGCTCTTCTTTGGCCAGGCAAAACTTTTTAAACAATCAGAATTAAATTTACTTCAGTCTACACCCTGCAATTTTTAAATAAAGCATGTTAAAGTAATGTAGATGAACCTTAGATAACATTTCCTTGACTCCGATGATACAAAGTTGGCTTATGAGAACCTGGCTAACACTGGCAGATGTGTGGGAAGAACCAAAGGCAGTTGTTAGATGATAACTTTGTTTGTTCTGGGCTACAAAACAAGAGCATGGACCAGGCTGCGGAGTGACTGTCTAGAATTTGTGGAAAATTATGTCATTGGATACAAGTCTGAAAAAACTGATTGAAAGCTTTCCCTTTTTCAAAATATGTTGTAATTGCTAATAGAGTTAAAAGATAAAGGGAAACTAGTGTTGATGTTTATTTCAATCCTTAAAGTGAAAATAACAAGGTTTTGGTGCACCAGTAACATTTTATTGAAGAGTGTGGTTTGTTTTCCTTAATACATAAAAGAAGTTAGTGACTTCGTGCAGCCCATCACTGAAAAAAAGAATTCTTAAAATCGTGAAATTAATTGGGCTAAGTGAAGTTAAATTAGAAAAAAAGTTAAAACTTTGATAATAAACAAGCAGAACTTAACTCGACAAGTCATTATTTTTGCAGCAATTCAAAGAAAACTAACTTTCCATATGACAGCATTTTTAACCCTTTGTACCCTTAGAGTGACTAGCATCTAATTTCTCCTCACAATATCACCCATGAATCACATGTTAAGATTGTGCAAAAGAAAATGATTCACCAACTAAAGAAGCTCTTGATTGTTAGACAAATTCTCCTTGTCAGCACCATACAAAAAGAAAGAAGAACTGTTTGGAGAATATGTATACTAATGTTAGGGTGTAACAGGTTAAATAACTTGTTTCAGTCTCTAATGATAATTGAGAACTGGGTGTGACTGGGAAAAATTTGCCCAAAATTCTATCAGAAGAAAAGGACTTTAAATTTCTTTCACTCTGTGAAAAACTGGTATTTTTTTAGTTTACAATATCAACATAAAGCCTGACAAGTTGCTTTGATGCACTTGGCAAATGTGTGACTGGACAGCATCCATGTTGATTGAGGTATTTGTGGATACAAGGGTAGCAAAAAACATAACCAGAGGAAGATAATGCTGTAGGATTGGTGCGAACTCTCTTACACAGTGGACACTGAGCTGGATGTGGAGGGAGTTGGACACCATATTGGGCAGGCTGTCAACAATAACAAAAATGATGAGTACAGTTGAACCCTGCTTACTCAAACTCAGTTCACTTCCACCTACAACAAAAGTGATGAGTACATCAGAACCCCACTAACTCAAACTCATTAAGATAATTTGGTTTTCAATTGAGTTGATAACGTAAATTGGCCACTGCAAAGAGGTTCTAAGCTGATGTTTAAATTGCTAGCCCTTTGTATTTTGCTCTGAAAAAGGGCTAACGCTTGAAATGTTAGCTTGGAAACTCTTTACAGTGGCCAATTTACATCATCAACTCAGTTGATAAAACTCAATGATCTTGTTATACTTCCCCACCAAGTCAGCACCACAGTTTCTCCAGAACTTTACCATATCATGCCATTAACTAAAACTCAGTTAACTTGAACCCACCAAAAAAGGGTGAGCACAATAGAGCCCTGCTAACTCCCAAACAGGATAACTGAAATACACTACTCCCATTATCTCAAGCCCTGGTAACTCAAAGCATTTTCCTTTCCCTTGAGAGTTTGAGTTGAAAGGGCTCTTTGGTAGTTTGAAAGGTCGGTAATCAGATTTACAGATGTCTCAAGCTACAAAATATTATCGAGTTTTGGGATCATTTGAGTGCCAGGCTAAAAGCTGTAATCATCATGTTTTGTACAATCAAACAAGCCTCATTTACCTCCTCTCTTTCACCTTGCCAAACACTTTGGCTTCTCTGAGAATAAACTGCCATGCAAATTCAGATATGAACATATCTCATGAATATCAAACCTTCCTTCTACATAAATACTCCAAATTAAATACCTCTGAGACAACCTACCTTAGGCTGGGTTGGTGGAGAGGGGACTGGTAACTGCATTACTGACTGAACAGCACTTCTATTGTCACTTGAATACCACCACTCTATGAATTTAAGTGAAAACACAGCAATAGGAAGACCATTGGCTAACACTGATGATAGCAGCCTTGTAACTGAGCATGGAATGGCCAGTATTTGTTTAACCATAGTCTGTCTGTAAGGAACCGTAGGAAGACTTCTCTGCAGATTGTGCACGACAATGTCTCGTTGTGTGAATCTTTGTAAAGAGATTCCCACAATATGAAGTAAAGGAGAGTGAACTCCAGAGACTCTAAAGATATACAGCATGTAATAACACAAAAAGATCGATTCCCACGCACAATGCAAGAAGGGATACAAGTAAATAAATATTCTCTTGAGGTGCAGAAAATACAACCGCTTCCTGGCTGGATGGGAGGACAATGAACCAGTAACATACTCTTCTCTTAATCTTTCAAACAGCTGATCAAGTTTAAGTTTAGCATATGGAAGTACCACTAACATTAATAATGACAAATATCTCTGCAAACTTGATAGTTTATCATCGGCATTGTTATTAGGGGTTCTGCTAACTCTTTTGAGCCCATAAAAATGTTCAGATATTGAACCTTCAAAGTTCCTTAAATAGTGACTCTGGAGAATATATTCTAAACATAGGTGAAGTTCGTCTCCGAAACGCCAAATCCAGCCCCATCTGTCAGGATTAGAACTTGCCAGCACTTTCAACGCATAAATAACAGCCGGTCTTAGCACTGATGCCATAGATTCTTGGGCGACTATCTCAAATATTGTTGGTTGAGCGTTCAAAGTGCCTTGGTTCAAATGGGCTGCAAATTCCGCCATATTGAAGTTAGAGCGACTGGGTAACCAGGTGACTTGAAAAGACCGAGTAACCGAGAAGTAACCGAGTGAGTCGATGATGTGTTGATGGAGCGAAAGGCAGGGCACTTGACAAAGTCTGTGCAAGAGATTGCTGGATCTTTGTTCTGGATAAAGGTAAAAATTTCCTTTTTACTTTTTCTTCTATCTCTGTAATTCTTCAGTCTCATCGAATGGTTTGTGTCGTAGCTGAGCTAGTCTCGGAATTTCAAGTGCAACCAAGATTACTGATGTCTTAAACGAATTACGGTCGTTCCGCTGACGACCAGTTCGCTTACCTCTCATGAGACATAAGCGAACCGATCATAAGTCGTTTCGTTAACGTTTTATGATAAATCTTTAATTCCTCGAACCCTTACCGATTTTAGGGTTACTGACTCAACTGAAAATATCTCTTTCTAGCCCTGGTACCCATATTCATTACAGGATCACATTGTTTACTAATACAGTCGAACCTGTCTTAACCCTTTACACCCTAGCATCAGTATGCATATTCTCCATACTGCTCTTCATACATTTCCTAAGGTGCTGAAAAGGAGAATTTGTTTACCAATCAAAAGCTTCTTTCATTGGTGATCATTTCCTTTATTCTCATTACCAAAACGTGTGATTCAGGGGTGATACTGTAGGGAGAAATTTGATGCTAGTCACTCTTAAGGTTTAAAGGGTTAATTAAGCAGTCAACCAGGGGGAATGACCACTTAATACAGGTTGACCGCCTAATACAGGTTCCACAGAATAGGAGTATTATATATAAAAACCATAAGAGATGCCATGTTTTGCCATAATTGACCACAAAAGCTTGGTTAAAAAATACTACTTGCTTAGGGTCAGGTAGATAAAGAGATAAAGATGGATTTAATTTCACTTAAAAGATTATTCTTAGTTCTATTAGAGTGGTTGTACTTCAAGTGACCATACTATAAAGGTGGAAAACAATACAAACAGGCCGTTGGGACTTAGTAAAGGGTGACCACAACCGCTTTATAGAGGTGACTGCTCAATAGAGTGTAAATTACAGTGATAAAGGGGAAGCAATTGGTGGACTTTGAAAATGTACCACTTAATGCAGGGTGACCACTTAATACAGAGGTGTTAAAAACAGGTTTGACTGTATACATTACTGTTTAGGCAGGAGATTAATAGAGAAAACTTTTTACTTGTTTAAAACAGGTTTGACTGTATACATTACTGTTTAGGCAGGAGATTAATAGAGAAAACTTTTCTTTACCTGCAACCTGCTTCTGCATGGTTGTATCATTGAAAATATAATTGATGACAGAAAGTAGATTTAATGCCCCACATTTTGATGAGTGTCACAACAACACTACATCTGGACAATAGGAACAGTAACAATTAAATTTTGTTCGTAGTCCTATGTGAATATCTTCAATTCTCACACATTAGCTCTGATTTCTTTTAGGTTGTAGGAATAGGAAATGATGGCGTAGGGAAGACCTGCCTTGTCAAGAACTTTTGTGAGAAAAAGGTATATCAACAAGTTTCCTTGTTTGCAGAAGAACTGCACTAACTTAAACTTCCAGGGAAGACAAAATTGGTTCTTATCCAAGGAAAATCATCTTGTTTGAGTTAGTTGGGGGTTTGAGTTGACTGACTTGGGTTAATGAGGTTCTGCTGTATATAATCACGTTTTGTAAAACCATTTACAAAATATGATATACTATACATCTTTATAATTTTTTTCAGTTTTCATTTGATGGAAAAACATGTGCACAACAGGAAAAACTACAAACTTTGTGTTCATGAACAGCAGCTTCAAAACTGATCTCAGTAAGAATCCTTTCACTTCTGTTTCCTCTCTTTAGTTTTCAAAAAGTTACCACCCAACTGTAGGAGTTGATTATGGTGAGTTAAAACTCCTTCTTAACCCAGTCTTTTTGGCTTGTTTATTTATTTATTAATGATATTCAGACAGTGTGGCCCAGTTCAGCTGTATAAACAATAACTAGAATGTCTAGTAAAGGCAGCACATTCTTCTCAATTACTTCAAGACCCTGAGTGTTGGTCTGCTGTGGGACTTGAATTCTTGATTTGAGCTAGTATGAGCTATATTACACCAAGCGTGGTTGTATCATAATGAGCATATGATCTTCATATTTTTTATAACTGTCTAGGCTTCAAGCTGCACAAAATCAACAACGTTGACTGTAAGTAAACCAACTCTATTGCTCTATTGTGATATCTCACAGTGTCAATTACATGAAAATATATGTCTCTTGGCCAAGTGGTTTTCTGAGCCACATTGCCTCTTGATGGAAATTGGGATGAAAAATCTTTTTCAACACCAAAGTTGAGTGTGTGGACAAAACCAAAGCAAAAACAATTCATTAGAAAGAAACATAAAACTGATCTTTTGTATTAATGGTTGAGTATAAAGGAAAAAAGTGAGTGCTTTCCCTCAGTTCTCCTTAAATTCAAAGTTTTATAAATAGCCCAGATTGAAATAATTTGCTGTATCTTAGGGTGCAACCCTTAACCTTCTACACCTTATAATCAGTATGCATATTCTCCACACTGTCCTCTAGACATTTCCTAAGATGCTGACCTGGAGAATTTGTTGAACACTAGGAGCCTCTTTAGTTGGATATCTTTCCTTTATTCTCTTGACCCTAATGTGTGATTCAGAGGTGATATTGTAAGGAGAAATTAGATACTAGTCACTCTTAGGGTTTAAAGGGTTCAAAGCTTTCACTTTAAGATTAATTTGATAGAAAGATATTCAGTAGCAGAATATAACTGGAGACAGTAAAATGACCCTTCTGCTTCTATGTGTGCATGTGCTTTGCAATGACATAATTTCCTACCATAGACTTCTTTGAATGAAAAAAAGAAAGAGAATGATACCACTTTTTAAAATTTTTGCATTATTTAATATATATATCTTTTAAACATGGACTGCTCTTAATAAGTTACCTGTGATCTCTCCTTTTTTCAGACAGAATTAACTTCTGGGATTTTGGAGGTCATACAGATTATGATGAAATTAGAGTAGAACTGTATGGCCAAACACAGGTTTGTCCATTGTTTCTTAATGGCTTTTTTCTGACCTCAGTTCAAGAAAAATCAATATAAATGTAATTGGTACTAATTTTTAGGCCTGTATTCTGGTGTTTGATGTTACAAACAAGCTGTCGTTTGACTCTCTGGACTATTGGATGCAGGAGTTTATTAGTAATGGAGGCAAACAAGCAATAGTAGCTGTGGTGGCTAACAAGGTAAAACATTGATTCTTATGTACATTTATTATTTATTTATTTGCCATAAAACGTTTACTACAATAAACAAGTTATCAATCAATAATTACAGGATTATAACTTAATACACTTATATACAAATTTTTCAACAACTAAAAAGGAATTTAGTGACATAGCAAAGAAGCCAAATAGATACAGTGGATGGAAAGAACACATATCAGGGGACAGAAATTTTGATACTAATAGTATTCTATAGATTATGAATTTTTCAAGCAATATCATAAAGCTAGAATATCTGTGGGTAAGGTGAGATCTCTGGACAGGGAGCTCCAAACCATCAGATCTTGGTGAAGGATTGTAAACTAGGGTTTGTGTATTGTATTTTATTATGAACTTAATGATGAGTAGAGAAGAGAGTATTTAATTTTCTGAAGCTTGCTACAGTTTTATTATGCACTCATTGAGGAATTACTACTCCTCAAGAGGTGACGGGAGAAAGACTATCTTTTGTATTTTCTCTCTAGTACCTACTGTTTACTGGGCTTTGTGTTTAACACTTTCACACCCAAGATCATTAGTAATTCTTCTCATTCTTCTTCTTCTTCTGAGAATTTGGCATTAGATCAACTAATAATCCCCTAATTGATATTTTTCCCTTATCCTCAGCACTTTCCTACTTGATATTGTAATGTTATTCTGTGGAGAAATTCTGTCTCAGTTAATTATGAGAGTTGACCCATTGACCCCTACAAGTAATTAGTATATAATTTTTCCTTACAACATTACCACTGAAGGACACACTGGGTCACAATACTCAAGGAAATGATCACCAACTAAAGAAACTTTCGATTATCAAACAAATTCTCCTCTCAATCTCCTTTGAAAGTGTAGAGAACAGCATGGAGAATATGCATAGTGTTGTGAGGGTGTAAACATGAGGTCCTTGCAGTGTTCTCATCAGTTACTGAGAGATGTTTGTTTTCTATCACAGACTGATCTTTCCTCTAAAAGAGTTATAAGTAGCAAAGATGGGCAGAGATGGGCCAAGTCACGTGACTTACGGTTTGTATACATCTCAATTGATATTTTATTTTAATTTTTTTTCATGATTGATGAATTACAGATATCTCACATAAGTTACTGAAACAAAAAGTCACATTTTTTTCACCATCTCAGTTTATCAACACCATAAAAAAAATTAACCACACAAACCTTTATTTCCTGTTTAAAAAGAAAAAAAACAGAGGCTGTTGTTCAATGCCTTAACATTTGTCCTCTGTTAAGAAGATTTCATTCTTAAATAACTATGATCAAAGCAATTAAAGCTCCCAGTCTCAACTGAAAAACCAAATGTTCACAAAATCAGCTGCAGGTGTGGTTAAAAATGTCTTTTTTTTTTAAGTTGTAAAAACTTTTTTTACCCACATGGTCAGTTCAGCTGATGCATCCTAGAAATTGGCAGTCAACAAGACTGTAGTATTCTTAATAAAGGGGATATGTTTCTATTTTTCCCTCACTTTGACTGTTTTATGTTTGAAATGTCAGCTTTAGAAACTCTCAATGTTGGCCAATTTGTCTTGAATTATAAGCTCAGCTGATAAAACCAAATCATCTTGTATTATTCTGTGTTGATTAACCCTTTAAGTGATGAGCATCTAATTTCTCCCTTTAGTATTACCCCTGAATCAAACAAAAAGGTCATGAAAATAAAGGAAATGATGGCAAACTCAAGAGGCTCCTGATTGTTAGACAAATTCTCCTTATTAATACCATAAAAAAATATTTAAAACAGTATGGAGAACGTGCATACTGATGTCAGGGTGTGCAGTATGTAAGGCATTTGGTCAAAGTATGACAATCCTATTTTTCAGGTATTATGAAACATCTGCAGCCACAGGCCAAGGTGTTCAGGATATGTTTAGTGGAGTGCTAGCAGCAGTAGCAGAAGGGAAGCTAGTGAAGGCCAAGCCAGTTGTTAGTGCTGAGCAAAGTTCAAGTAAACATAAATAAAACAAATCAACAAGAATGAGTTCTGTAAATAACATATTTATTTGTTTAACACTATAGTACTACATCTCATTGTATTGTCACTATAAAACCTGCTCTAAAATGACAACAAAACCTTTGAACAAAAACTACTCAGAAACTTCACACCCTTTAAAGCTTAATTTTTACAGTTGTTTCTGTTGAGAAATATTTGTAGGAAGGTCTTCAGCATGATATGATGTGCTATGTACATTGACTGGGAAAAGTTCAAATACATCAAATAATAACAAAAAATTTAAATCATCTTAGCCTATAAGTACAGCAATGTAGTTTTTGTTTTCCTTTTTGGACTTGATATCTCATTAACATTGTTTGACAGATAAACTGTTGCTAAAAAGTAGAGGACTAACATGGTTTGGTTTCTTTGATTACTAAACAGAGGTATTGGTCTGTGTATGGACTAAAAGTATGATTTCCTACAAACCATGATTTATATTCAGGCATGTACAATAAATACTGTCTGTGACTGTCTGTTGAGCCTTGCCCCCAAATGAGAAATCAAAATGATGAAAATAACAAATCATTTCCACTGCCTATCACAAATTTCATTTGACTTCTTACATTAAACAACATTTCACAAGTCCATCTACTACTATCCAGCAGAACAGGAGCAACTTATCGTTTCATAATTAAAAATTATTTTCGTTAGAGATAATCTCATAGCTATGAAGAAGATAAAGAGTGTTCATTGCTATCTTGTCTGTGTTTCCTTTTTCTCTTTTTAGTCCTGGGTTCATAAGCATCACTCTCAGTTTGCTTTCTCTTCTTTCTACTCTTTTTACTCTTCTTTCTTTGCTGCACAATTTTTATTGGTAGAAAGAGAAAAAGAAACATTTTTTAAATGTAAATACCTCAAGGCACTTGTGATTATAATTCTCTAGAAAAACTACAGAAGGTGATCAAAATTACAGCCAAACCTGCATTAACCTGCACCTTAATTAAGCATCACCCTGTGTATTATGCAGTTGTTTTTCAAACTCCTGGTCACCCTGCTAATCCCTATGGATGATCACTTACCACTGTGTGACAGTTTCAACTGTAATTTGTGCTGTTTAAACTTCTCCTCACAATATCCATACATTATCCAGCAAACAGATAATAAGAATACACAAACTTATCAGCCAGAGGAAAGAGTTGACAATTCAGATCATGGGAGTGAAAGAGTTTACCAGTGGCAAAATTATTTATCTGTGATTATGTCTCTCCAATCTTTCTTTAACCGTTTAACTCCCACAAGTGACCAAGACAGAATTTCTCGTTACAATATCAATACAATGTCAACCAGATAAGTGATGAGAATGAAGAAAAATTTCGATTTGGGGATAATTAGTTGATCCAATACTTAATTATCTGAACTAACATTCTAAGAATTGCATGGTTGACAGTAAGGAGAATTACACATTTGATCTGGGAGTTAAAGGGTTAATACATTTTTAAAATTTTGTTTAAAAAAATTGGAGAGGTGTTGGCATGAAAGTTAAACCAGTGAGCTGTCCTTATCTCACAGACTTCCTCTCTTTCCCAAAATTTAATGGTTACCATAACTTGAAGGACAGACCTTATATTCCTCCTCTGATTCACTGTTATCAGAAGTTGACATTGATGAGGAAGATGAAGAAGGACGCTTAAACCAAAGCAAGAAAAGAAGCTTTCTTTAGTTGAGAGGAAATATTTTCAATTGGTAATTATCATAATAAAATGTCATGTCAAATGTAAGATCATCATGTTTCCTTTTAACTACAAAAAATGCAAACATAGCTCTCTTTTTTGTGTGTCCCAAACCCTGGGGGTACTTTGGTCACTTTTTGGTGGCTATGTACCACTGGCCTCTGAGAACACATACCCCATTATAGTTTATTCTGTGGCCAATTATAGACCCCATCTGGTGCCATTTTGCACCACCACAACCCCCCCCCCCCCCCTTGTGCTAAAATCATCAGGTCACCTCCTTGACTGTTAAGCCTCCAATTTGGTTGACACAAGGAAGGGAAAAAAGTAAAGGTGCTAAGAGTTTAAAGAGCCAAGTAACCAAATGAAAGTAATTGTTCTTACCTAATTTTCTTAGAGCACAAGTAAGTGTTGACAAATCATTTTGTCTACAAACTATCAGAAACAATAGCTCACCCTCTTTTTGCGTTTGCTTGACTTCTTTTTCTGAAAATGTAGATTAAAATCTATGAACTGATGCCTACGAGCCTTGGCTTATAAAAGTTTGTTTTATGTTGTCATTTAATTGCAGGGGCTGATATCCGAGGGGGCTTACAACCAGATTTGAAAAAGGGCTTTTAAACAAGCCACAGAGTGCTGATAAAAACAGCATTTTCTGGTTTATATATCTAAGCTTTAAAATGTCATAACAAATAAAATTAATTTTATTACATTCTAAACAGAATTAATATTAACAACACGAACAAAACTAGAAAAGCTAGAGGAAGACTTACATCATGGGGGAGGGGGGGTAGGGACATATAGTCAAATGTAATTTTTTCTTACAGGTAAATGGGCCTATAACGAGGAGACTGATAGGTAGGGAGGGGGGACTTAAGATCAGATATCATATATAAACACAGGTAGCTGGACTCACAAGCAGGGGACTGATAGGTTGGGAGGGGGGAACTGAAGAATGGATATCATTTTAAAACACAGGTGGATGGACTTACAACCAGGGGACTGAAAAGTGGGGGGAATTATGGTGGGATGTGATTTTTTTTTTTTTTTACAGATAGCTGGGCCCATAACTGGGAGGCTGATAGGTGGGGTGGGCAAAACTTAAGATCAGATGTGATACTTTTTTCACAGGTAAATTTACTTATAGCAGGAGGACTGATAAGTGGAGGGGGGACTTAAAATCAGAAGGTAACTTCAAATCAGATTCAATTTTATTTTATAGGCAGATTTGCCTATAACTGGGGGACTGATGACTGCAGGGGGGCAGGGGAACTTAGGATCTGATGTAATTTTTTTTATAGATAGATGGGCCTATAACCAGGGAACAGATAAGTGGGGGGGGGGCTTATAAGTAGGAGTTAGCGGTATTTTATTTTTGTTTTGACTGGTTAAGACATATCTTAAAAGCTCAATTGTTAGAATGCTAAACATTGTGTACAAACCTCTTTTCTTCTAGTCTTGGAAGAACCTTCTGAACTGCCTAACAGCTTTTCTCTGTTTTTCTTTAGTTCATTTCTAAATTTCTGATAATCAGTAATAAACAAGGATTTTAATAGACTCAAATATATTATTACATTTGAAATGTTCCAGGGCAGATAAAAAGTAATTTTGTTATGTTTCAAAATGCCATACCTGGTTTAGATGTTCCTCATAGGCTGCTAGAGTCTCTGAACCTGTCTTCTTTTTGTTAATCATTTCTTTAACTTCTTCCCTGCATTTTATTAAAGTTGCACAAACATGAGTATAAATGTTGTTCAAGACAAAATTATTACATTTAGAAAATAAATGTGTTTGCATTAATTTAGAGTGGTTCTGTGATACAAAAGGAAATCTTTTCAACTCAAAGACCCCTTAGAACAAAAGCATCAATAACATGTATATTGTAATACAGTCAAACCTTAATCACACCAACCTGGATTATCCTGGCAGATTTTTTTTTTTTTTTTTATCATCAGATTTTTCCATTATCTGGATTTTTTCGTTATCAGGATTTTCCCTGTATCACAATGTTCCCTTTATCTGGATTTCTCTATCCTTGTGATTTTTCCCTTTTGTAAAAAGAGTTTACATCAACAAGATGTCACTTACAATGTTGGTCGATTTCTGTTTAGGTAATCTCTCACTGTTGGTCCAGAAGACACTGGCCCTCTTGCTCGTGCCATAGCAATGGGATTCATGCATGCCTAGTAAATAATAACATCATTTATTCAGCACCTTATAAAAAATTGGTTTGAATTATCGAAGAAATAAAGATAGTTGGCCAGTTTTTGTTCAACTTATTATGGGATTAAGAAAAGTCAGGTCAAGAGTTCAAGAACTTGTAAAAACATTCACCTAAAGAAATTTCTAGTTAAACATATTGTAAATTATAAGTAACTAAAGAAGACATGCTATTAATGAGACCAGGTATCTACCAGTTTATGTTTAAAAAAATATATAATAATTTGTAATTTAAGTAGTCAAATTAACATTTCATTCCTATAGTTATTAGCTGCCTGAGTTGTAATTTAATGGCAATATTCGTTTGATACTTTGTGGAAAATCTGGTTGACACGAGGAAGGGAAAAAACACGTTAGTTTTTCACGCGAGTCTGATATCACCAATCAGCTGGTAACTGCTGCATTTTCATTTATAACAGTTCAAATGACACCGTAGCGTTAACCAAATATTCGATTTACTCGACAGAATGGGCTTAATTTTTTGTTTGCTTCTTCAAGGTTCAAAAATCACATATAATTGACTGCCTGTAAAATTTTGAGAAAATGCATTAGTCAAATTTCAGTCAAATTTGAAACAAAATAATTGAAAAGATAGACAACAGTCCTGATCCAAATCGAAGTGATAACATCCCCGGTCAAACGGACGTGGTTGTCCAGTAGTTCATTAGATATCGTGTCGGTATTTCCACAACTTTTCATGAATATCGAAAGAATCGATACTTGCCAGCTGGTAAACAGACACAAGCATGATCTACAAAAAAAAGGAAGTAAACTTTCATGTCTTCCATCTGTCAAAGTAACATACTCAACCTTACCACTCTTTTGTCTCTTTTTCCCATTTCGTTTCTACAACAAGGAAGCAAGACCACCAGTGTTTCTGTAGACGAAATTTTTGGTTGGAATCCGTTTCACTCTACATAACGAGATCAGCCCTCTAAATAGAAACCGCTGGAAGTGTCGCTAGAATTATCACCAGAAACTCTTGCTTCCAGTCTTTCTCAATTCTTGTTTGGCCGATCTCGAATAAAAATCATACATTCTTTATCTTGAGTGTTTGACTGATCATCGAATGTTTTTCAAACCGTACCTTCTCAGTTCTAACACTAGCCTGCCGTCAAAAGTTTTCTACTGTTTTAACCAAACATGCTAACGGAAGCGAAAAAAAAGTCGATAAAAGGTGAAGTACAACCAAACCTAGAGCGTGTTTCCTTAAAAAAAGTCACTGAGATAAATACTGGTTCAGAAGTTTGCTTTTACATGTCTGAACTGTGTACATAAGTATTAAAATTTTATATTCAGCTTCATTCTGCGACTGGACATTCTGAATGAGTACCAAGTCCGGTTAACGAATCTTTTTATAAAAAAAAATTGTTCTGTTTGATGTAGAAAGAAAGAAAGTTGTCCACCTGGTTGCCGTGTGAACTAACCCTAAGAACCAAAATTTTCTAGACTAACACTAAAGCTATTTAATTCGACCTTAGAGGATTTGACCCAGTGCGGAGAGGTGGCCATGTTTACATGTATTTTTCATTGAGATGTCCATACGTTGTATCGAAAATTCAGCGATTTGTGAAATCTGTGAAAATGGTTAATGAGTTAGTGTCAGTAAGAATCAAATCCTTCATCCTTTTATGAACTTGCACTTCGCTTTCTGTAACATTTCTAATGTTTTTTCTTTTTTTAACTTAATCTTCCTTTGTTTTGATCTTGGTTTGTTTTAGAAAAAACAATGGTTCGTTCCCTCGCCTTAAACCTCTTAAGTTGTCTATCAGTTGTTACACGCGTTACGAAGTCATTAAAAATTGAAAGTTATTAAGCATGAAACGTCCAATCAAAACAATGTCGAAGTCAATCCGAGGCTAAATCTTTGTTTGTGCCATGACATCGCCCACTGACAATAACTTTTCTGTGACTGAAATTTAATTCATTCAGTACTAGAAGGCAGAAGGTCTTGAAAATCAAACTGAAAAATGCTATCTGAAAATGACGGTGATTGCCAAGAAAGGATAAGCCGACGCGTCGAATTTAAGACAAGCTACAGTGTTGAAAGTTTAACATCAGGAAGTAGCGACGGAGAATCCTATTCGCCGCGTTTGCCTCATGTAAGGAGAAGGGACAGTCTGTTACAAAGAACAAAATCCTTCAGTCAGATCATCCACGAAATGGGCTCAAACACAAAGAAGTTAGAAGAAGAAATGTATGGACTTCTACGCGATATGGTAAGCTTCTACTTCAATAAAAACCTCTTTTGTTGCCATATTCGACCTTCTTGTACCAAAACATAGCGTTATGTCTTTGATAATCGCTGCGCTGAGAGGCGAATCTCGCGTTAGATTGTTACCAGAAAGGATTTTTCTTCTCCACTTCTATTTTTGGAATGATTTTGACTAGTAGTTAGTTATGGCATAAAGCTTCTCGAATGTGATGCGGCAGTATCACACAAAGGATGCTTTGCGTAACACTGGTGATAAGAAGCGTTTTGTCCGACAAAAGCCCTCGTGTTTAATTATTACAGCAGCCATTGTGCAAACATCGACAACACTAATCAATTCCATTTCCCATAACATATTAGAGTCGTATGCAGATTTACAAAAAAATTCATGCAGATATATTCAATTTAATTTACTTTAATTTTTTTGGATCAGTCCAGAATCAAAGAAATTACGAGGAATCTCAATGTTTAGATTAGTGTTCTTGTCAGAATTAAGGTTTAATTTCCACCTGCTTATCACTTACAGCCCCTGGGAATCTTCTGTTTAAGTCTTCAGCTCGCGAACACTAAGATATGATTTATTGTGTTCAACTTGTATCATCCTTTTTAATGAAAGAATATAAGTATGATTGGTAAATGACGGCGAGATTTTACTGCTTAATAACTTTTAACATTTAAGTTATTATGATAAGTTGTTAGTTCTATTTATTTTTTAAGTTGATTGGTTTCGTCTCCCATTTGCAAACGTTTTTCAACTCTCGACAATTTTCACTTTGCTCAGTGCAGTGTATAGTAAAACAAAAGAGCTTAATGTTCTCAAGAATAAATGTTTTGGGCCCAACTCAGACTCCTTTTTGGCTCGAGCCGCTATGTATCAACCACATCTTGTAATTGATTCCTGTTTAGTACTAGTAAAAGGTAGCATACTAGGTGTTCTAAATCTTTCACTTGGTTTGTGTCACAGGATACCCTTCGTAATCAGAACCTCAGTACTGGCCGGCGGCTTCAACGTCTACAGAGAGTGTCGGGAGCGATGAAAGAACAACTACAGGCCTTCAGTCCTGTGCGGTCAGCAGCGAGTCATCGACATCTTAATCACACGAACATTATGACCATGAATGAAAAGAGAAATTGTTACTCAATAGAAAATCTGCCCACAGAATCAACTTGAGTCCGAAATAAGGGAAATTGGCTATTGTAAACATCAATTTTATGGATCAGCTGGCTTTGTTTATTCAACAATTAAAAGAATCAGTAACACAGGATTCCAATAAAAACAGATGTAGACAGTCATCTAGTCAGTAGACTGTTTTCGTGTCCATCTTTGAGGTAAATTCAATCCGAGAAAGGAGTCATAGTTTTATTAAGTTTTGATAAAAGTAAATGAGGAGACTTTCCGTGGTTTTCTATGTGTAGTTATTGAATCCAGTCAAGAAGTTATCTACTTGTAATTGTTTAACTGGAGTATTTACTGATTAAAGTGAAGTGTGACTATAGCCTGGCGAGAGATTGTAAGATCATTCTCTGCGACACCACTGTCTTGGTTAGTGTTGGTAGCAACATTCACATTCAAAGGGCCCGGTGGCTTCTGGGACAATTGTTGCCCTCTGGGGTGACCGCATGTTGTGTGGGACACCCCACTGAGCGAGAGTTTGAAGAGTGTCCTACTTGCTGTGCGTGATAGAGAGTGTTCTGTTCTCCAGATCATGGCTAACCGCACGCTAAGAGTAAAAAAGCGTGACTAGCAGCACTTGAGATGTGACGTAAGCACTTGAATGGGTTACGCGCATCGAAAGCTCATTTCCCGTTTTCTAAAATATTCTTATAACTCACTAACAAGAACATTTGAGGCTACTTCAGAAAGAGGAAGCATACATCACGCTGTCTAGATCTTCAACCCTCTATCTATAATACAAACGAGCCAAAAAGCTAATCAGCACATCGTCGGAGCCTTTGAATTATAGGATACTAAGTAAAATCTCGTTGATATTGTTGGACAATACAAGCCGCCTTGTTCACCCAATTTTAAAAAATTCGGACATTAAGCCTTACCAATATCATTACTGACGTTTCGAACCCCTCCTATCGCTCTGACGAAGGGCTCGAAACGTCAGCTTTTAAACTCTTTACGGCAGCCAATTTACGTTATCAACTCAGTTGATAATGCTAAATTACCCTGTTATACTCTCTCACCGACGCAGCACCACAGTTTCTTTAGAAACTTACCCCCCAGTATCATTACCGACTGTCAGCTCCAGTAAAATCTTAAGCGAATTTTTCATTCAATGAATGTCATAGCTTTTTACTAGTTCATCGAAAGAAAAAATAGATTCAAACCTCCTTTTTCTAAAAACAATATAGCATTTTGCACTCTAGAAAGTTGTTGACCTTTGTTTGCTGAACACAAATGAATTTCCTGTCAGATCTGTGTTTTTTTTTTCACCCAAGCAGAAAAGCTTACATTAGCTTCTCAAGAGATGTCTCTTGAAGAAAAAAACAGAGAAAGTTTATCGGCCTGATTATTATATTTATTTTGACTTGAGAAAGTGATTCTCCCGCATAATATTCCTAAATTAATTGTTAAAAGAACTATCGAAACTGTTGAAATTGAAATTGATTACAAATCAAACATTTCAATCAAACGCACTTGATATAGTTCAGCAAGAGAGAATCAAGTTTGATTCTTCAGCGTTTACATTATTTTGTACACGCTCGCATTCAAAACAAGCGTGGTTTGTTTTTTTTATGAGTAACGTACACCTTTTTCCTTCCTCTCAAAAGTTTTAGGGTGCGTCAAACCTTATAATTAGCATGTGAAACTGCTGGACAATAACTATATTAGCTGAACCAGTCTTTCATGTTCACAGGCGTGTTATTAAGGCTTCCCTAGGGGACAATTTAAGTGCTATTAATCATACGGTCTCGTGACACATAACTAGTAGATATATCGCCACAAGCCAGGCCGTAGATCACTCTTACGTGGCCACAGATTCCTTGCGGATAATTTGGCGATGAAGGGTGAGACTTGTTTGACAAGTTCCTTTAAACAAATATGTTTTGAATATTTCTGACTTGGTCAACAGATAGCAGGAAACTTCATTTTCCTATGGCTGAGAATTTCAGCACTAACCTCGTATTTGTCTTTTACAGAGTACAATTTTGTTGAGTCAGATGATGACTCAGGTTTCAAAGATGATTCAAGCGTCGCATTCTCAGTGGAAAGCGGCCAGTCAGAGCGAGTTGCCACTTACAAAACTAAATCTTGGAACTGCTTCGCCACAAAAAAACAGGAAGCTAAAGTAAAACAAGAACAGGAAGAAAATGGCACCGGGTATGACAACCCACGAAAACAAAACTTCTTTAAAAGAGCAACCAGGAAGATCTTTGGCAAGACCAGGCGGATGTTTAATAAGAAACATGAAGATAACAAAATGAATACCACAGTGAAAACGGAAAAGAAACTGAAAGAAAATTATACGGAACAGGTGGCCATTATAATACCGTCAGACAGCTGTGCGAGTGTGAATGAGGAGCCAGCACCTTACCCTCAAAATGTCAACTTCATTCGAGCAGAGAAGATGCGATGCTCGATTCGAGAATCCCGCGGCTTGAACCCGCGGGAAGCTTTGCGGCTTCGCGAGAGACAAACTATGCTTCGAGTTCTGTTTGATTTTCAAGCATGTGATGACGATGATATTTCCGTGATGAGAGGAGAACTTGTTCAAGTACTCAACAAAGATGATAAGGATTGGTGGTGGGTTGAAAATGAACATCGACAGAGAGGATTTGTGCCGCGAAACTTTCTTTGGCCCTGTGGCTGTTACGGTAAGACAACATCTTTTATATAGAACTAACATAACTTAACTAAGTTTCTCCTTTTGAAGAAACAGTACATAGATGGCTACTTTTTTCAAGTAATTTTCTTGTATGAGTTGGCATATTTACAAAAACATATCAGCGATGCTTAAAAGTAAAAAATCATCCAAAAATGGGCCAAAACGAGGTTGTCAAAATTGCTAACAGATTATTGGACACCTTTTTGTTTTCGTTCATTCAGTAGAAGGATAATCCAGGTCGAGAATTTATTTTTCTGAGGGAAAAAAAGAACAGAATTGACTCTGTTAATCTTTGCTTTTGTTATCAGCAAGAGAAATCTTTATTGCTAAAGCTTTATTACCTGCGACACACATTACCCGGGAGATGTGCTTGAGATAGCACACCAATGAATAAATGAATACGTTGAGTCCGATATCACTTCGGAATTGTTTGAAACTCGCTCAGTCGCTTAAACAAAGAAGAATAGAGATGAGTGGTTGGAAATGGAAATTAAAATTTATTCAGGTTCATGGCACTTGACATGCACTCTGTTGATATTTTTGAAATGTCATGCTTACTGTGGGAAAATGAAACGGAATTAAAATGCCACTATGTTACAACCAAGTATCAAAACATTGACATTTCTTAACGACTATTATTTTTACCTCATTAGTATCTTATTCCCGCGTTCAATTCCATCATAAGAATGCTTTTATAGTATTTGCCCATTATGATACATATTTATATTGAGAGATCAGTGAGAGTATTATCACATCGTAAAATACAGGCACGAACTTTGCATTGGGCGCACTCCTCTGTGGTCGGGTGGGACATAAATACTTCGTAGAAAATATTCTTAAAGCTAACTTCATTGATTCAAGATTTGAAAGTAGATTTTATGGTATGTAAGATCATTATAAGGACAAATTGAGGGAAAGTTATCGCTCTCCTAATATAGAAAAAGTGATATTGCTTCTTAGATCATTTTCAGGATTGATGACGACTCTTCGCTTATCTCACAATGTTCTTGTATTGTCAACGGCTATTAACGTTAAAACGCTAAGCATCATTCACAAATGTAAAATTCGAGACACAAAGACTAAATGTAGTGTCGTTATTTTGAGGGAAGGGGTGGGTTTGCTTTTTGGTGAGGTATTGGTAACTAATATGAAGATGAGATCTGGCGCAAAGTGTTACCGTGCGCCAGTGGGCACGAGGAGGGTTAAAACTTGTCATAGCTAACTCTCTATCTTTAGGTGCCTATGTTAATTTAATTGCCTTTTAGTTAATTAACGTTTAATTTGTGATATAAATGGTTGAACAGCTACAGAGTTTTCAAATGCCTTTTTTTCTGCTGTAGTGTGTCAACAGTTTATTTTGGACAGAGTGACGAATGTGGGCCCAGTCCTCAGCGACCAGAACATTGAACAACAACGGTTCCAGGCAACTGATCAATTCATCAGGGAGGAATCGTTTGGCGAAAGAACACGGCTCATTGGAAACAAAAGATACACGAGTACATGGTGCTGAAGACCTGGTCATGTAAACCTGGAAAATCTCCGCAAGAGATTTAAAACAACACCTGATTGAAAGTGTTGGGCTGAAAAACGCTAATGACACTGCTTTTTTCGCTTTGTTGCTGTTCTGCCGAAAACACACTCGAATAATTTTGAATTTTATTCATGTAATCTGTTTTATGGAAAGTGGATGAATGAGTGAGATAAAGTTAAAAGTGGGCAGCTGGCATAAGAAGCCGTTAGTTTTTCATCTGGTCAAATGTTGTTTGTAAAAAATTTCAGTGTTTTGAGAGTTTTCTTAAATAAATGCAATTTTGAGACATTATTTCGAGAAAAGTGTGATAGAAATTAATCCAATTTTGTTTAAATTTTAATCTCCATAAAAAGGGAATTTCCCACTATATTTCTGATATTTGTCCTGTGGCCAGTCCTAGGATAGGTTGAAATACGAAATTTGTCAAGTTTTGTATTTTTGAGAAGCGTATGTAACTGAAAGCGCCTTTCCACCAGTCTGAGTCAGGTTTTAGAATAACGTGAATGTACCGTTCGTCGATATTCTCATATCCTATAAGCAGGCCCTCGTTTTTTCTTCGACTTGTCTCAAATCTGCCCGCGCGCGGAGAAACTCGTGTAATGCAGTGAGTAGTTACCTTAACCTACGCCGTTTGAAAGCGTAACTTTTGAGGGCTATTGCAATAGATATTTAAAAATTGGAAAGTTTTTCCTCCTCCAAATGTATAAGAAATGACGGCCTAACGATTTAAGATTCGGGATGAAATAAATGGCTTATAAATAGCTTCTCATTCGGAGCACCCATGATACCTATGAAGGACCGAGATTTTGTATATTTTTAAGTATTATTATACTGTACGTAAATTGCTAGATTAGTTTGTAACTTTTATTTGTCAAAGAACCTTATTTTATTGTCTTGTACTGAATTAAAATACAATAGGGTGATTTTACAATTTATTTTGTTTATTATTTCACATTTTATTAGTTAATTGTAGGTCCGCATCAGCCTCATGGCTGCCACTTTTGTAACCTGCATCACTAAATAAAATGACTGATTGATTGATTAATGAAGAAAGGATGCTAGAGCCTCTTTCTTGGTATTTCGTGACTGTCTATCATGTAGCATAAATCGAAAATACTGGGCGTGTTCAGTGATCACGTGACATTCGCGGTTATTGTAATCGCTTTGCCTGCAGATTTCTAGTTGCGTTGTATTGATTCGACTCAAAACCTTTTTTTCTCGGTTGACATGTCGAAAGGACCAGCAGTTGGAATCGATCTTGGTACCACGTATTCTTGTGTTGGAGTTTTTCAACATGGGAAAGTGGAAATTATCGCAAATGATCAGGGAAATAGAACAACACCAAGCTATGTAGCGTTTACTGAAACGGAACGCCTGATTGGAGATGCTGCAAAAAATCAAGTCGCAATGAATCCCTCAAACACGATTTTTGGTGAGAATTCAAAACATATACATTCTTTATAATCGAAGAGCGATGGCTGAATGTGTGCCCATGTTCCTTTGCAGATGCTAAGCGATTGATAGGTCGACGATTTGACGATCCTTCGGCGCAGGCAGATATGAAACATTGGCCCTTCAAGGTGAAAAGATGTTGGCTTTTTCGGAATTTGTTGAGTCTTGATTGAAGTCTCAGATTTTAATTGAACATCTTATTAAAAACTGATATGATTATTGTACAAAGTGATACCATTCTTTCTTAACTGTCAGTCAAAAGAAACGTTACCTTTATCTAAGTAGCTTACTTTCGTTTTCTAGATCATTAATGACTCTGGGAGACCTAAAATACAAGTGGAATATAAAGGAGAAACTAAAACATTCTACGCTGAGGAGGTATTTAAGAGATTAATTAGTTTCATCGAGGAAAATATTATTTTCTGGAATACGAACTCAATATATCAATAGCCCCAGCCATGCCTGCTAGTCATACCTCCCAAATTTTACTTCACAACCAGTAACCGTCGATGAATTATTGATCTGCAATGACTCAGCCATGATTGCAACAATTCACTAAGATTTTGTAACTAACATCTGTAACAAATTACTTAAAATCAGATATTAGATAGATGGGTCAAGCTTCTAAAACCATGATAGGTTTTCCCTGCAACATCAGAAGTTATGTAAATTTTTAGGGCCAAGTAATCCTACTCCTTGTTTTGGACGGTTACCTCCAAGCTTTTTATCAAGATTTATTGGGTATTCTTTAACTACCAACAGAACCCTCCTTTTATCATTTGTCAATTCCTTGTTTACAGATTTCCTCTATGGTGTTGACAAAAATGAAGGAAACAGCTCAGGCATATCTTGGAAAAACTATCACAGATGCTGTGGTGACTGTGCCAGCGTATTTCAATGATTCTCAGCGCCAGGCTACAAAAGACGCAGGTTGGTTTAATTGATACAAATAATGGGAGATTTTACAAACTATAGTAATGATTTAACCTTTTAACTCTGAGTAGTGATTGACATGTAACTTCTCTCTATGATATCCAACATTATCAAGCAAACAGGTAATTAGAATACTCTAAATTATCAGGTAGAATTTGGTATTTTGATTTAATGCTAAATTCCCATTTATTAATTTATAAATGTGTAATGAAGTGTGTTGTAGCTAGAGGGGAGAATGAACAATCAGATCTTGGAAATTAAACCTGAATAACAGGCCCAAACAAAAAACTTAACTGAGGTGGCTTTTGTTGGTTATTTTCAGGTAGAGTGTGAAGTAATAAAGTATATAAAGTTTTATGATATGATGAGCACACTTGTGTTTAATGTGTTATCTGAACCTTGTTCTACTTTGCTCATCCTGTGCAAGTAAACGTGAAATTTTAATACGGAAAAATACCAAAGTTGATTTGGAAAATTACGATGAATGTAATTTACAATGAACTCACGATGAACCTAATTTGTGCTTTAATGTTCTTTCTAAGGTGTGATTGCTGGCTTAAATGTCTTGCGTATTATCAATGAGCCAACTGCTGCTGCCATTGCATATGGTCTGGACAAGAAAGTTGGTTCTGAACGAAATGTCCTTATCTTTGATCTTGGTGGTGGTACATTTGATGTCTCCATTTTGAGCATTGAAGATGGTATATTTGAAGTCAAATCTACGGCTGGAAACACTCACCTTGGGGGTGAAGACTTCGACAACAATGTTGTTGATTTTTTTGTGGATAATTTCAGAAGAAAGTACAAGAAAGATCTTTCAACCAATAAACGCGCTCTGCGTCGCTTGAGGACAGCCTGTGAACGTGCCAAGAGGACCCTCTCCTCCAGCACCCAAAGTAGTATCGAGATTGATTCCTTGTATGAGGGAATTGATTTTTATACCTCACTTACTCGTGCCAAGTTTGAAGAATTGAACAGAGATTTATTTGACAAAACCAAAGACCCTGTTGAGAAAGCTTTAGGTGATGCTGGATTGGCCAAGAACCAGGTTCATGAGGTTGTGTTGGTTGGAGGATCAACTCGCATCCCAAAGATTCAAGAGAAGCTGCAGGATTTTTTTGATGGCAAAGAACTCAACAAAAGCATCAATCCAGATGAAGCTGTAGCCTATGGTGCTGCAGTTCAAGCTGCAATTCTGAGTGGTGACAAGAGTAGTGAAGTTCAGGATTTGTTGCTTCTGGATGTAGCACCATTGTCACTTGGAATTGAGACTGCAGGAGGAGTTATGACAGTTCTTATCAAGCGCAACACAACCATACCCACCAAGAAGACAGAATCCTTCACTACCTATTCAGACAATCAAACCAGTGTCCTAATCCAGGTAAGCAGTGGTGTCAGGGAAGAAAAATCAAAGAAAAGTGTAACTGTTCTCTTAGAATTCAGCTGTTGCCCTTAACCCATTAAATCAAGAAGAGCTCCCCAAAAAACCTGTTGGCAGACAGTTGGTCGTCTGTCGGCCGACAGACAGCTGACAGGTTTTGCCCGAAATATAGGCTACCTGTCAGCCGACAGTGGGCCGACAGTCGGCCGACTGTTGGTAATGTGTCAGTAACCTGTCGGTAGCTTGTCGGTAAAACGTTAACACAAACCTTAATGTTTTCTCTCAGTTTTCGCTTGATACAATATCCAACATGTGTAATACATTGACAAGAATGGCCTTTCATAGATTTGGTGGCTCCTAAAGGAGCTGTTTTGTGAGTGGTGAAATATACAAGATACTTCACTCATAGAATCATGATTTTAGCGGCGTGCACCTAAATCAATTATCGCATCACGCATCCAAGTCTAATTAACGAATTGTTGCGTATAGTAATTTATTACTTAACATAACGAGTAAAAAGATTCACAGTTGTATCATTTATTAAATTTGAAATTGGAAATAGCAATTCATCCCAAACCTGCAAGATAGAGGACGATGTTAGCAACACAAATGCACAAGGTAAACATCATTGATACATACATAACATACCATAAGAGGCAGCATTGCATTGTTGGGCGATTTGAATGAAAGTGTTTGTATTGATACGTAGCTTATGGTTATCAGAGTTTTTGGCCGAGTTTCCAATTAAATTATCTTCCAATGCGATTCTTAGATTGTCTGGTGTGTTGTAAATTACGCAAGTGATATATCCTATACGCATCTGATAACAACATTTTGGAAGAAACGTTTCTTTACATACTTTCAACTTTGCCGTCGATCGGTTGGTAGGTGAAGTCTGTCGAGTCATACATCACCATTACAGATTGTTATGTCACGTTAACTGTTCGTTTTTAACACAATTTTTCTTTTTTCTTAACCTGTCGGTAACCTGTTGGTTAGCTGTCGGTAGACTGTCGGTAACCTGTCAGCTGACAGTTGACCAACAGTCGGCCGACAGGTTTTTTGGGGAGCTCTTCTTCACAATTATCCTAACATTAGTATCTATATTCTCCAAACTCTTCTCTAGACATTTCATTTTGTATCTGACAAGAAGAATTTGTTTAACAGTCAAAGCTTCTTAGGTTGGAAATCACTTTATTCTCATGATGTTAATAAATGATTCAGTAATATTACTGTAAGGGGAAACTAGATGCTCGCTGCTCTAAGGGCTTGAAGGTTAAAGAAATCACCTCATATTCTGAGATGACATTGAGGCTTTATATTTGTACCTCCTTTTAGAGTGAGACAGTTCTTCTTTTAACTAATCAAAAGAAATACAAACCAGAAACAAATCAATAAAAGAGCTCATAGAGCAGTTGTAGTAAGTCTTAGTTCCTTGTTTCAAATTCAGCCCAGAAATAAATATCAAAAGAGCATAAAGAGTAGTTGTAATAAGTTTAAGTTCCCTGTTTCAAGTTCAAGGAATTACTCAGTGTCTTTGCTAAGGGAATGCCACTGATCATGCCATTAGTAAAGTAGTCCCTCATATTAACAGAATACCATAGGAAAGAACCTAACAGGGGCTGGTTTCCTTTCTGTTGTTAAAGGTCTTTGAAGGAGAGAGAGGAGTGACATCAGGCAACAATCTGCTTGGAAAATTTGAGCTGTCTGGCATTCCACCAGCCCCACGAGGAGTTCCACAGATTGAAGTGACTTATGACATTGATGCAAATGGAATCTTGAATGTTTCAGCTGTTGACAAGAGCACTGGTCGTGAGAATAAGATCACCATCACCAACGACAAAGGCAGATTGTCCAAGGATGATATTGATCGCATGGTGCGTGAAGCTGAGAAGTACAAAGCTGAAGATGATTTGCAACGTGACAAAGTCCAGGCCAAGAACTCACTGGAGAGTTATGCATACCATATGAAGAGCACAGTGGAAGATGAAAAGGTGTGAACTTACTATGATTTTCAGTTGAGTCAGGGGTGAGATGGAAATTTGGCAACATGTATCGACATTAAAATTGTGTTGTTGCCAAAGGCAATTGGTTCCATTTCCATCAGGTTCAATATGTCATTTGACTTCTTTTGGGGTTTTCATGTTTGATGGTTGGTGGCACACAGCTCTTGAGATTCATTTACCACTGCAAGTAAGGAGGGTTGTCGATGAAAACTCAGTTATTTAATAGTCAAAAGACTTATCACCAATTTTTTTCTGGGCTTCACTCAACTGAAAATTTACCTGAGTAAAATTAATGTAGTATGCATCAACACTTAAGTGTGTACTGATATACTACTTGATCTCAAACACATCATTGGTCTTGTGTCATTTAAAAAATATAGGCATCTGCAGCATGCAAGAATTGTTTTTTTAGCTTGATATGTCAAGATAGAACAATTATTGTTCTTAATGTTTTCATAACTTTCAAAAGAACAAAAATCTTGCATTACTTTACTTTAAGAGAAAAAACACAATTTATCTAAACTTGCACAGGTATTTTGTGGTCTCATGTCTCTTTTATCCAAATACTTCTGAGAAAAAATAAAATGTATCAGTGCCTTGCTTACTGCAGTCTCCTTTGCAGCAGTTGTTTGGTCTTGTCACACAATACCCTCTATTCCTCATTTAGGAAAGAGCCATTGTGTGACAAGACCAAATAACAGTTGTTAAAGAGACTATGCTTACAGTCCTTCCTCTAACAGAAAGAAAACCAATATTATTCATCAACAGTTAGTCACCACAAAAATATAATTCCACATAATTTTACTGAGAAAAGCTGACTGAAACTGTTGTATCTCCAACAGACCCTAACCAAAGATATATTGCAATCTTGTATAAGGGAAAATGCACTGAGCAGGAGGAAAAGATAATATTTCAAAGAGGGCTCCTTGAATGGTTGCTGACTTTCTGGATTTTGCCCTGTGTGTGTGAAATAAGTGACAAAATGCAGGTTGTTTACAAGGAATTGACAAACAATTGGGTCATTTTTGTTAAAAATATCAGTTGAAGTCTGAGATTTTTCCTTTTTAAGTTATTAATGTTTTTTATTTATAATTATTTCTTCAGGTGCGAGATAAGATCTCTGAAGATGACAGGAAAACAATTGTCGACAAGTGCAATGAAACTATTAGCTGGCTTGAAAGCAACCCTGATGCAAGTAAAGATGAATATGATAAGCGACAAAAAGAATTAGAGAGCATTTGTAATCCAGTGATTACAAAGTTATACCAGGGTTCTGGAGGTGCCCCTCCTCCAGGGGCAGGAGGCTTTCCTCAGGGGGGTGGGGCTCCTACCTCTGACTCGGCTAGTTCTGGAGGACCAACCATTGAAGAAGTTGACTGAGGAAAATGTTGCCTGAGGAAGGAGATTTGTTCACTGAACTTTTTGAGATTAAATTGAGTTATTCAGTGTTTCCTGTATGCTTTAAGGTAAAGAGAGCTCAGATTGTTTGAAGTTTAATGTGGTGAAGCTCCAAGAGTAATGCATGAAAAAAAGCAGAAAAAGCATTCATTGAAAACTAGATCAATCCTGTCTCATTTGTACACAAGTTTTGGAAACACCTTGTTTTGATCTCTAGTGGCTTAGTTAGGTATTGTAGCTTCTCTATTTGTTAAGGACCATGACTGAAAACTTTTTGGCCTCAGAGTTAAAGAGCCATTCACTCTGAGTTAGGACTGGAACATTGGGATCCTCTGCTTAGCAGGAGCAATTTTGATATGGATTTTCTGAAAGTTGATTTCACAAGTTTGTAGTGTGTATTTTGTTAAACTGAGTAAGAGGGCGAGAGTTTGTCAGGTGTGTGAAACACCTTAAGTATTCTGACAAATATTAAAACAAGATATGCAGCAAAGAAAAGAGGGGCTCAATCATAACATGCCTTACTTTGTGTTCATGTTTGTTTGTTGTGTGAGGGAGAAGGGGGTGGTGGTGGGGATAGAGATTTTACTTTGGGAGGGTCACAATCGACTAGCTTTGGTAATCGTTGTCTTCCATTTGATTTATTTTTGCATTCAATTTTAACAAAGATGAACCCTTAGTCACCAAAGAATGTATTCCATACCATAAATTGTACTTTTAAGGGTTTTTTTTTTCTCTCAAGGGATTTACACTGTTGATTAGGTTGTACGTGATCCCCACATACGTGCTATTCCAGCAGTCCAGTTGTTCCCTTGTTCCAACCTTTCCTGAATATTCAATTATTTCTCCCAAACTCCGTCTTAGCAAAGTAGTATTTAGTTTACCTAAAACTGAGACAACACCTAGTCACGTTTTGGAGCTGGAAGTCGACTTCTTTTTGTGCTGATGCACCTCTTGTATAGCTCATAATTTGGTAGAGAACATAGGTGGCAATGATTCCCGAAAATTATGCGTGCCTCTTTATTGGTAAGTTTTACTTTGTTCGACCTAGCCTAGTGACCGTCATTTAAACTTGTGCTGTTACTCGATTGTTGTACGAAACTAGTATGTGACTGATAAACTAGTGACTATCGAAGACTTCCTTCATTCTGTAAAGTCGTCGAATCCCGACTTAGATTACTGTTTAACAATCTTTAAGATCATCCATGAACCAAACAGTCGAATTGTTTTAAATCTGAACTACGACGTAGTAGTTTTTTTTTTTTTTAGTTTTTTTTTCTCGAGACGTGAGCTTGGGCCGCCTGTGATCTGAAAACCCTTATGCATGAAGTACGCTCCAAAGTTGCTGTTGGGAATGGGCTTGATAATTTTTGAATTACAGAGTAGTCACTGTCGTAAGATTTTCGTAAGTTTGAGCTTATTTGTCTGAAAGCTTGGCCAATTTTGTTTTAACTTAAAAAAGAGTGAATGTCTTAGTAGGTACACCGAACAACATACGCGCACGACAACGAAAATTTGGAAATCTCATTCAACACGATGAACAATCTTTCCGATGCGCTTTTGTTAAAATTGTCAAATTTGACATAACAAGAATCACCTCTGCAAATTTTTCGTTTGTTATGTTCCCTTAAAATGAAAATTACAAATTTAATGACACGAGGAATTAATACTAGCAGCTTGGGTAAGTACCCTTATATTTTTGGGCTTTCAAATTTTACTCCTGCAGCAGTTTGTCGTTCCAGCAGTTCAGTTGTTCCACCGTTCAAACCTTTCCGGAATATTCAATTATCTTACCCAGTCCCCCTCTTAGCGAAACAGCTTTTAGTTTCACTAAAACTGAGACAACACCTAGTCACGTTTTGGAGCTGAAAGTCGACTTCTATTTGTGCTGATTCACCTTTAGTACAGCTCATAATTTGGTGTAAAGGGTAGATGGTAGTGCAATGACTCCCGAAAACTATGCGTGCCTCTTTATCGGTAAGTTCTACTTTGTTCGACCTCGCTTATTGACCGTCGTTTAAACTCTGGCCCGGGATCCGATTATTCAGCGAAACTAGTATGTGATTCCTAAACTAGTGACCTTCAAAGACTTCTTTAATTCCGTAGAGTCATCGAATCCCGACTCAGATGACTGTTAAAAACTCTTTAAGGTCATCCATGAAACAAACAGTCGAGTTGTTTTGAATCTGAAAACCCTTATAATAATTTACCTTGCAAAGTTGCAATTAGGGATAGGCTTGATAATTTTCGACTTATAGAGTAATTACTGTGGTAAGGTTAAGCTTATTTGTATGAAAACTTGGCTCATTTTTTGTTTTAACCTTAAAAGAGTGAATGTCCTAGCAGATACACCGAACAATACTCGCGCACGACGACGTAAATTTTGAAATCTTACTCATCACGATTTACAATCTTTCCCATGCAATATTTCCGCTTATGTCAAAATTATCAAATTTGACATAACAAGCAACATTTCTGAAAATTTTTCGCTTGTTGCGTTTTCCTGAAAATGAAAATCACGAACTTAACGACACAAGGAATTAATACTAGCACCTTGGGTAAGTACCCTAAGATTTTTGGTCCCTCAAAATTTATTATTGTCAGGTGTTTATCATACGATACCAAAGACTAACTAACGGCTGGCGTGTGTCTGACTAAATAAAACATCAAGGTCTTGTTTTAGTTAGATACTCTATTTGCTCAGTCAAGCATCAACCGTCAGTAAGTCCCACATCATTAAAAAGCAAAAATTCTTGTAAGTACACTTACTACCATTCCTGAATAAATGCAGCCTCAAACGATCGAGTACTCTTGATTTGGTAATCTTTGAAAAATTTTAAAGAAGTTGTTGTTCACTCGACTGAGTTGTGACAGTTTCTCCAAAGTCCATTAAAAAGAGACCTGCATCTGAGAGTAACAAGATTGTTCAGTACTTACCACAAGTAAATGCTGCATATAAATTTTAACAATAAATTTTGTCAGGTGTCATTTCCGCAAGCATACTGTATTTGTGCATTCAAGAGCTTCTTTTAGAAGCATGTGGGATCAATTGTGAAGGCCAGTCCTGACTAATTGCCTCATCTATGATTCCCTAAATATTGCAATAAGGAGATTTAAGTTCCATAGAAGGGACTTTTGTGGATTTTGTTTCTTGGGATTTTCACTGTTTGTCTAGTTGTACTCCACATACCTATTATCCTTTCCAGCAGTTCAGCTGTTTCACCACTCCAGCCTTTCCTGAATATTTGTGTACTCTACTCAATATCACTCGTATACAAAGCTTTACTTGTTACCCTAAAACTGAGACTGGTAGTGTAACTGAAAAAATAACATGGTATGTTCTTGTCCTAAATAGCCCTGAAGTCTTAAGCTTGGATAAAGAGGTTTTAAACAACAAAATAGATTTGTGGCTGGTATGGCAATGTTGAATAATAATTCTTGAGATGTTTGTGCCAGAAAATGTTTAATGTTTTGTTGTAGTTCCAGCCTACAGGTAATGCAGAACAGTTAACCCTATAACTTCCATGAGTGATCAAGACAGAATTTCTCCTTACTATATCACTACAATATCAAGTAGACAAGAGATAAGAATAAAGGAAACTATAAATTAGGGGATTTTTAGTTGATCCAATACCAAATTATAAAAACTAACAATATGAGAATTGCATGGCAGTGAGTAAGGGGAATTACTGATGAGATCTTGGGAATGAAAGGGTTTGTCCTGCATGCAGCAATACATGACTGAGGTATAATAGGAGAGACAAAAGTATCTTGAATATCATTGTCTTTTTTCAATTTTTTTCTTCAGATGCAACATGGAAAGACATCATAGCTGCTTTCCGTTGTTCAGCTGTCAATAACAGCTCTCAAGAGAGAAAGCTTATTCAAGGCAAACTTGAAAAACTGTTTGGTGGCTCAGAACAATGGCTTGCATGCCTTTCAATTCGAACTGCTTTAGATGCATTCTTAACTGTTATGAATTTTCCTCATGGATCAGAAGTAATTTTCACTGCCATAAATATTCCAGATATGGTATCAGTAGTTGAAAGGCATGGCCTTAAGGTTGTACCAGTGGATTTAGATCTTGATTCACTAGCCCCCAAACCTGAACTTGTTGAACTTGCTGTAACAGATAAAACAGTGGCAATTTTGGCAGCTCACTTGTATGGGAAGTGGATCAATTTAGACAAAGTCTTCCAAGTGGCACATTCACATGGACTATATGTATTGGAAGATTGTGCTGAATCATTTCAAGGCCTGGAAAGAAAAGGTCACAAACTGTCTGATCTGACATTTTTCAGTTTTGGTTCAATCAAACATTACACCTCTTTTGGTGGGGCCATGGTCAGGGTGAAAAACTCACAGATTCTTTCAAAAATGAGAGCAAAGATACACGAATACCCAGTCCAAAACCAGTGGACCTACTTTAAGAAACTTTCTTGTTACTCTCTGTTAATGGCAGCTGGATTAAACAATTCACTGTCCAATTGGTTCTTGGTCAATTTGTTTCATCTAATGGGTTTCAAGTATAAGGAATATTTCATTTCCCTGCTGCGAGCATTTCCTGGTGGTATAAGTGTGGACAAACTTCGTCTTCAACCATCTGCTATGCTTTTGGAATTCATGTTATACCGGCTGAGTAGAGTGAAAAGTAAAGACTTCCGTATGATCAAGTTAAAAGGAGATTTTGTGAGCAGTAATCTGCCAAGTAATGTGTTTGTACCTGGTCAAAGAGCAGACATAAAAAGTTATTGGTTGTTTCCCCTGATAGTGGTGAGTATGCAATGTTATGATGTGTCAGACCCCTTCCCTCTTCCTTTCTCACTTGGATTTAACCCTTTTCACCCTAAGATCAGTATGCATATTCTCCATACTGTTCTCTACATACATTTTGTAGGGTGTTGACAAGGAAAATGTGTCTCACAATCAGAGCTTCTTTAGTTGGTGATCATTTTCTTATTCTCCTGACCTAAATGTATGATTCAGGGGTAATTGTGTAGGGGGGATTTATATGCTTGTCACTCTGGAAATTTTAGTAAAGCAGAAACAGCATTTTCTGATATTACAGACGGAAAACTAAATTGACCATCAGCTTTAAACAGGAGAATTTGCTTCTAATTGAAAAAAAAAGGTTTACAAAAAAGGTTGTCAATTCTGATGATTCAACTGAACCTTTTCTCCTCTGGGATCTGAATTTCAATTCTCAACACTGTCTATCACACAGTTTTTATTACTTTTGCACTGGAAATTTGTTATTTTAGCAAACAATATCACACAGTTGATATTTTTCTTTACATCTCACTGCTGCAAATTGTATTGATATAGAAATAAAAAATTACTTTCTCTTCATTCCTGAGAGTGAAGGGGTTAAGTGGCTAATAAATAGGAAAAGTACATAACTGCCTGCAGAATGTAAACTTAGCCTGTCATTGTTTTTTCTCTTTACATCCTTACATCAATATCCATATTTTCCATACTCTTCTCTAGATATTTTCTTTGTTACTGACAAGGAGAATTTGTCATCAACTCAAAGTTTCTTAGATTGGTGGCCATGTTTTCATTCTAACTCCAAGGAGACATTACTAGTGTATGCTGGTCACAGTTAGGGTTTGAAGGGTTAAAAGTTATTCAGAGAAACTAAATTCAAAAACATAATGCAAAATGTAAATCTGATTTTTATCTGATTTTTTTTAAGGATGACCCAGATGAAGTTGTTACTGCACTTGAGAAGGAAGGTGTTGAGGCATACAGAGGCGCAACGCAACTTTCCACTGTTTACAGAACAAAGCCTACTGCAGCAGACCAAAAAGACAAGGCTAAGATCAGGCAGGAAAATCAAACGGAAAAGCTCCTCTATTCTTTCTCAACATCTCAACCAGAAGTAGCTGCTGGTTCTGGTTCATCTAAAGGAAATGCTGCCAGCAGATACACTACAGAATTCATTTGCTCTGCACCAGTCAACACTGCAACCACAAAACACACCTTTAGCAAAGAAAAAGATGATGTGCTCTTTCCTCACAATGCCAAATACCTGATTGATCATGTGGTGTACCTGCCAGTGCACAAGAGAGTTTCATTTTGGCATCTTGAGCATATATGTAATTCTGTGGAGAAAGTTATGAAAAACCGAGTAGGGGTCAAAATTGCCAATACCAGCAATGTGTTATTTAAGTCCAAGTTGTAGATTTCAGAAAATTTTATTTTATTATTTGAAGATGTACTATATTTCCTTGAATAAGGGCCCATGCTCTACTATTAGCCCTGTGCCCTGAATAAGTGCCCCCCCCCCCTCCTGCTCCCTTGAAAGAGTTGGTATTTGTTTCATAATAGTTATTATGTTTTTATGCAGAGGAGTAAACTTAAATATGAATCAAAGATTGAGCTTTTTATCCATCATGAGATAGATAAGTAGTATCAACAAAATCACTATTAATGAATTATCTGCTATTTTCCAAGGTTTCTTAAAAATTATATTCTTGGTAAAAAGTAAGAATTACAAAGGGAATAAGCAAGGATTATTATAAAATGTTGAGTAATATATGCACCAGAGAGGAGAGACAAAAATGTCCTTTTTCTTATTATTTAAGTACCTCCTCAAAGCACAATGAATTAGTAAGTTTTAGTAATGTTTTCTTCATTGTTTTCCTTTTTTACATTCAGGTTCACAATCCAGTGTTTCCTTTCTTTTAAATATTTATTAGCAAAATGAATCTAATAAACAGAAATCTCAAAATGATTAAAAATAAAAATTGCTGTGAAGCCTCAGTACTTTTTTTGCTGTTTGTTGTGATCTCTTCTTGAATGTGACTTTTCCTTCATATCTTACTTTGAAACTTTAGTAGCATCTTTTGTGCTCCTCAAAATTGAATTTTGGCAGCCATTTTGGTAGCCAGTAATTAGTGCTATAGTCACCTGGCAGGAGGTGAGAGATGATGCAATCCTCAACCAATAAGAGCACAAGAATCTCTGTAATCACTTGGGCTATTATGTTAATATTGTATAACTTTTTTCTGAACAAATTCAGGTTGTTTTTGTGTAATTGCCAGTTACAATAATACTATTAACAGAACAAAGTGCATGAACATCACCACAGAAAGTTCCTGGAATGAACAGAAGTTTACAAAATGCTGAGGGGGTGGGGGGGGGGGGAGCAAGGCTCTAAGACCCTGCAGGAGAGCATGTGGGAAAGGATTGCAGCCCAGGTAACAAAAAAATCTAAGTTACAATGCTCCACATTTATTATAAATACAAGAAATCCATACAAGATTGCATCTCAACATTTGGAAAGATACAAGGGAAAGGAAATAATCCTAGCACTCAGATTTGTACTGGGGGTGCCATATGTACAGTTATTATTGTTAATAAAAAGTAAAAGACACTCTGAAGACCAAATTATAAATACAGCCTAGTTTAAAATGTACATCAAAATGGTCTAGAGACACTCGAGGACATGTTTTTGCTGACTGATTTTCTTCCAATGTACAGGATTAAATTTATTTCACAATCTCCCCACACACTATTGGTGTGATCCACCTGTTATCTAGTTGATTTGTTTGCCCTGTTAGGTGGTAGAGCTATCACTCTGCTCCGCAATGTCAAGTTAACCTCTCCACAGTTTGCTTCTGTTAGCAAGTTTAAAATGGAATTTTCAAGAACAGATTCCACCAATGACTCAAACTCTGGCAATCTGAAACACAAAGAGCGGTTATAAAGTGTTCAGTAAGGTTTGTCTTTTAGTTAAAAATGTGTGTTATCTTAGGGCACAGGGGGAGATCTGGAGAAGGGTAGCAGATTGTGCACATCCCCTCCTCCCCCCGAGATGAATTGCAGCCTTCTAATATGATTAGTATTCTGTAAAGAAATTGTCTATTTCATTTGTCAGATATCTCATTCCTTAGTGGAAGCACGCCCCTTCTAAAAAAAGGAAAAATCCTGGATCTGCCATAAATATTAGAGGAACTAAATGCAAAAAAACTATTTGTGTGAGGGAACAATTGTTTAAACAAGAGTGATTGTAATTTTCTTGCTGCTAAAATAAACCACAACAAATGATATTCACCTTGAGGATGACAACAAAGGTAACTGTTGTCAAAGTGTCATAAACATAGATGAGTACACAAAATAAATAAAGTATCAGTTTTGTTCAAATGAGAACTGAGCTCTTGGGTGTGATTTCATAAAAAACTGCAGTAATGAGGGCATACTTTGTCAGGCTGTGATTGCAAAAAAGAAGAACATAGTAATGACAAACCTTCGCACTGCCTGTCTTTGTACAGAGCTACTTTCATGATCTCTGTCAGCATCTGTCAATCTATCGGCTATGGACAGCGATGACTCTGAATTATGCTGTATAATCTGATGAGTTCTACTCATAACTCTCTCCTCTGTATTTTGATCCACAACAGCCTGTCATAGTACACAAATACAGCAGTTGGTATAATCTGTCTACATGTAAAGTCACCTTCATTGGTGGCTTCATTTATTTAAAGCAACTGTTTATCAGCACCAAAATAAACTGACAGTGTGTTCTTATTTCCAGCTGACTATAATGTCATTATAACAAAAATTGTTTTCCACATGTTACCTGTCTGTTGAAGGGAATTTGTTCCAGGTCACCTCCAAACTCACCATCCACAAGAGATTGGTCAGAACTTTGACTACTGGCTGAGGAGGGCCTGGAGCTGGTGGTGTATTGGGTTTCACAAAGCTGTCTGAAGTAGGGCACAGGTTCCTGGTTGATCTCACTCATCCTCTGATAGAAATTGTCATCATCAAGAAGACCCCTTGAGGAACACACACCCACAAAAAAAAATCAAGCTTTAATACATACTCTTTAAAAGAGGCTGACATACAATGTACCTAAATATGCACTACATTGCCATATAAAAACCCTTCAATCTAAAAATGGGTTAAACAATATTGCTATTAATAACATTATTTAAGGGAGCCCTGATTGAAAAGATTGCACATGTGAGATTTTCTCATACATATCAACATACTGATTTGACAGCATTAGAAGTATATATATATATATGCAGCATTCCTTTGTATGGCTTATCCCTTCAACTCTTAAGATCTGATTGTTAATTCTGCCCACCAACTGCTACACATTTCCTTGTGAATTTGCCATGAGAATCTGGTGCTAGATCAATACAACAACTTCTACCCCATTCCTGATAAGTTTGCCTTTCTTATTACCTGTTTGCTGGATAATGTATGGATATAATAAGGTGAAATTACATGTTAATCACTTCTGGGAGTTAAAAGGGTTAATCATTGAGCAAACAATTAAAAAAGGGAGCCTTTACCTGAATATAACAGAGAGTACATCCTGGATAATCCCTATCTCATGTCTGGAGCAGGAAACTAAAGCAGACAGCTCTTCTCTCTCTTTGTCACCAGTCCCTTGTGATAATACATAATGTCTGCAAAGATTTAAGTCACTCTAATGAAATCAACATTTCATGTGCTTAGAGACCCCACAAATAACAGCTTCAACATCTACCTTGATTTTCTGTATCAATTTACTTGCCACATCAACCACTACCCTCAACCATCAACTAATTACTCCCTCTGACACTTTCCAAAAAGCAGGAGTCATTCTCTTCTTTTCTCTCTCTCTCTCTCTCCCTTCCTCTCTCTCTCTCTCTATTCTCATTCATCATTTCATTTCTCTTCCTCTATCATCGTCCTTGGTGATCAACAATCCTTCCTCAGACTGCCTCTCATGTACATGACTATGAATATCTGCAGCCTTTTTCTAGATAGTGTAACTCTACAACACAAATACAGCTACTCACTGGTCAATCATAAATTTGTTGATTGCAGATGGGAAGTTGCTGTAATACTCTCCAATTGCATGAGTCCTTGCAGTGATTCCCAGATGGAGAAGGAAAGACTCTGGAGGTACAGGTTGGGGGGGTGTTTCTTGTTGATCATAGTTGCTTGTTTTTTTTCTTTTCGTTTCTTTGGGTGAACCAATTGGTGGCAAAGCCTGATATTTTTTCAAATCACCTTCAGAATGAGACACAGGTAGGTGAGGGTGGCTGATGGATTTAAGGTGTGGTCCAGAATGAGGTCTCTTTATATTATCTTCAGTTATTGTAAAAGTGTACTGTTTCTCTTCCTTCATGTTGGTCCAGTCAATCAGGAGCTGGTTGTACTCTGCCATCTCAGTTTCATCTACAATCTAAAATTCCAAAGACCTTAATTGTCAACTAAATAAATGGAAGAGCTTGGATTAAACAATAGCAAAGTAAAAACTGACAAACCTCGCATATTATATCCATATCATAAAGTGATGGTGTGCCACAGGAGAAGAAAGAGACCTAGAAGGTTTAAAGAACAATTAAGCTGAGCCTTGCTTCCTTTGAAAATACGACACAAATACCAAAGAGAGGTCCATACAATAAAATGTAATTCAGTGCATAATTGAAAGACTTAATATAATGAGGCCTATACCTTAAGCAATACATTCTGCTGTGGTTTGAGGAAGCCATGATCAGGTTCTATCATTACCACCTAAGATAAAATTCATTACAAGTTGAGATCAACAGAACCAGAGACAAACTGAACCTCAACCACCTAAACATACAAGATAATGGTAAGTTGAGGAATTTCAATTCAGTGTCGAAAGTAATCTGACATAACATTGGTTTTGCTTTACTTCACTCTGTGATTGGTCCAGAAAAGTTGTGCCACCATCTCAACCAATCAGATACAAAACTAAAACCAATCACAACTTGGTTGCTCACATTTCCCCATGCTTGTGACAGTTTGGTGGTTCTAATACTGTCTCATTGTTCTCATTGGCTGTAAAGATATTTTCTTTTTTCTCCTGATTGGCCACTGCAATTACTTTGGTTCTAGATTTATGACAATTGAAAGGCGCTCTTTAAGAAATACAATTTTTATCAATTAGAAACTGATTGCTTTGTTTGTTTAGTACCTGGTCTAAAGCTGATACCCATCTGAAGGATATGATATGGTCCTGTGATGTGTTTGTTAGAAAAAACATGCGACGAGACATGGTGTAAAGAGGAACATCACCAAATGGAATGCACTCTACTGACAAATAGGCCAGCTGAAAAAACACAAGTCAAAGTCATTAAATATGATAATACACCTCAATTAATACATAAAAAGTTCATAACTTCATTTTTACCACTTTTGACTTTAAATTCTTGTTAACTCTGAAAGGCTGAAGTCAGAGTGAATCATCAGACATTGAAAGCCAATCAAAGAACCAGCATGTCAAGTAATGATGTCTTTTGATTGACTTGAGACCAATTATGGCTTAAAGCTTGAGGCATAGTACTAGCTGCGGCAAAGACAGTTAAGAATTAACAAGAGGATGGCCTGTAATTTGGTGTTGGCAGTAGCAACACCTTAGCTGAGGTGATACCAACCTGTTTAGGCACCTGGACAACCTGCTTGTCAGGGACTGTGTTACTGGCAACATCCCTGATAGGAAGAGTCTCTCCCATGATACGTTGGTCATATCCCACTCCAGTGAATGTTACCAGAACTGTCTCACCACCAATAATACGCACTGGTATATCAACCTACATGTTAAAGACACACCATTTAATAAGTTTGCATCGTAAGTGATGGACCAGAGAATCTAAGATTAAAAAATTCTATAAACTTAACTTAAACTTATTAGGAAGAGCTTTAAAGCACAAACATTTCTTAGAAAAAATTTTAGGTTTTGGGAAACTCAAGCCAGTGAGTGGTCTGTAAGGGTCTAGCACTGATAATTAGTACCAGACCCCAGTGCTCAAACCTTCTCCCTGCCTCCAGTCACTGGTCCAAAATCTTCCTCCAGGGAGAGAAATGCTTGTCTTGAAGGGGTAATCAGAATCTACACACAGGCTACCATGAATGACAACTTACCATGTATGTCCTGGCCTCCAATGGAGCAAACTGCCAGTAAATCAGAGCAGCACACCCTGGGGGAATCTCCCCTGATGGATTCAGACATTCAAAGATGCGGCAGCCATAGTTTTGCTTTGAACAAACAAAACATGAAGTCATTAAAAGTTAAAAAAATGTTGGCAACATACCAGAGACTTGATTGGCCGAAATTGATGTCATAAAAAAGAGCCCAGGGTGGGTACCTAGGTCAATTTTTGTTGGGTATGTGCCACTGGCCTCTTAGAACCCCAAGCTACCCCATTATAGTTTATTCTCTGGCTAATTATAGACTCCATCTTAGTCAGTTTTGGACAAAACATTTTTTTCAATCCCAACTTAGTCACTTTCTGTTTGTGCATCTACTTTATCAAGCCTTTTAAGTTGTTCATCCAAAAACAAATAGGCACAATTTTGTCAAACTGAATTTCTAGAATAGTTTTTACCTACAGCACAAACATTCTGATACATTTGTTAACTGTAAATACTTGTAAATTTATTGTACCATTTTTAAATGCCTATTTACTTGAATTTTCTTAGCCTAAAAATCCAGAAAATGTGTGACCCCACTCAAGTAACTATATTTAAATGGCAACCCCATTAGTCAATCGAGCTGAGAAAGTTTGATCTCATCTAGTGGCACATCTCCATAAGCCTATTATCAGCAGCACATCTCCATAAGCCTATTATTAGGAAGTAACCCCCTCTTCCCTGGGAAAAAGGTCTCAGTGAAAGGAGCACAGTGATCATAGTGATAAAGTAATACTAATACTAGTAATACAAAGTTGTCAAACAAAAAACTTAGGATCCTTGTGTCTGGCTTTTTTTGGATAATAAATAAATGTAATAAGTCAAGTAATGCCTCCATAGTTCATTCTGTCAATATCTCAAAATCAAATGACGATAATGAATCCTGCTGAATTAACTGAATGCAAACATTAAGACTTACAGCCTGAACTTGTGCAAGAGGCTCCATATCCAGCTCATACTTTACAACTCTGGATCCTCCATTGTACAGTTCATAGACTTGTACTGGTGGTGATGTCCCTCCAACAGGGACTGGCTCAAAAAGGTGCCTTGTACTGGCAAAGTGAACATAGTAACTGTCAGGGTCCACAGTCACACCAATGAAGTTCAGCTGGGCAAGTAAGCAAATAAACAAAGTTATAAGACAAAAATTATAGTGGACTGTGACAAATTAAATGAGATTTTTGTTTCAGATTTAGACTTATTTAAGTGAAACAAAGTTACTTCCATTTTTTCAACTCTGCCTGACTTGAGGTGAATTCCTACTGAAATTTACACAAGGAGTATATTCATTTAATTTGTAGTAATATATATCATACCAGGATTTCTCTTCCTCTCATCACCTTGAACAAGACAGGAAGCTTGTTGGTGCCAATAAATGAGTGGCTGCAAGCGTGATAAAACCAAAGAATTGATAATCGGACTAAGGAGAATCAGACATGTGACTGTATGGCTCATGGGCCTATGGCTGTTTTATTTAATGATGATCAAAGTAAATATATGGGAAAGTTTTCCTGCATAAACAGTGATGTAAATTGTGACACTGTGTTTTATAGATACCTGTATGTAAGAGTAACAGTGTGACACTCTCCAGCCAACAACTTTCCTCTTCTGGGTTCAATGCTGAACAACTTATTATCCATGACCTGCATCTAAAGGAGTATACAATTCTTAACAAATGTTAAACACAATTAAAATTCCAAACTAAAGTATGTAAAACTCATGTCCAGGTTCCCAGTTTTTGTACTCTTGTCTGTACCTCGTGCAGTTCATCTTCATCATACTCTCCTGTTTCTGCCCAGTATTCTAACTCAAGCTGAAGATCACTTGGATACAAGAATGCCCTGCAAGGTAAAAAATTCTCTGTCATCAGTTCTTGGGGATTCAATACAACTTCTGATAGAAGTGACCTGATTTGACTTGGGGGATTCATTGACATGATTAGCCATCAAATATATTAAGTTATGAAGTTTACTATAAAAGCTGTCTTACAACAGTTTAAGCAGTGCAGCCACATAACTGTATCTTTTATCATTTGATTTATATTTTATAAGCTGAATATAAACTGAATGCAAACTGCAAATTAAAGTCTGTAAATTAAAAGAATATCTTCATTTTCAAATTGAAGTAATTCATCAGAAATGACAATCTTGGTATTAAAATGGATTGAAAAGGGCAACCTATCATTACCTACAGATAGAAACTGACCAATCACACTTGATTCTTATTGCCAGTATATTATAACATCAAGGCTTAACTGACTTATTAGTTTATGTGAACTGGACTTATAACATGTGACTGCTGACAGCAACTCTCCTTTTGAATCTGATGACTTCTGCCTAGGTTGTCAAAATGTCAGTCATTACTACCAACAACAGTCCTTCTCAGGACTACTCTCACTAAGATGATCAGACTACATGATCACTTGGTATTATCAGGAGTTATAATTACCATTCAGCAGGAACTGTGCCTGTGTTTTGTAGGTTAAGATGCACCACACATGGATCTCCATTCAAAGGTGCAGCTCCAAAGTTTAAGTCCATAATCGCTCGTGTATTGACAGGGACTCTGCGCCTGGTACTGTGTAAATTTGGATCACTTTATTTTAATATTCATCAGCATGATTTGTGATTGAGTTAATTATTACTGACAGTCTGAGGTGTAACTTACCTGTGCCTTGTGACTGCAGCATAAAGGAGTTCTGATGGAGACGGATCTGCCTCCAAACATTCATTGAGACTGCAAGTTAAAACAGTAAAGTTTTGACAAACACAGAAAAATGACACAACATTGATTCAAAATTAGTTTTGACAAGATATTATAAGTAACATTGTATTTAATCTTATTTTTGTTGACAAATACTCAATGACACCATCCCATTATACAAAAACAGAAGAGTTTTCAATTTCAATTATTCCCTGCTAATAAATTGACCGAAGAATTTTAGATAACTTGACTTGCTGCCTCAAGAGCATCAAAGACCTGACAAAGACATTTAAACATTAGAATCTTTAGAGGATCCTGAAGGAATCTCTACAAGGTCTTCAAAGATCTCTTACCAGTGAGAAGACACTGAAGACTTCCTTAAGATTCTTGAGGAAATAATAAACACACTTCAAAGACCTTGCCAAGATCCTCACAAATATTTTTGTAAAGACCCTCACAAGGATCCTGCAAGGATCCTTCAAGATCTTCAAAGATTTCACTTGGGATAATTATGAATAACCATTTAAGTCTACCTGTCAAGTGATAGGAGATTCCATATCTGCACTTTGCTGTATGCTTTGCCACTCCCCAGACAACGTACATCAGTCACAGACAGAGTAGGATACACTCCCTGACACTGCAGTTCAGCTAGTTGTCTTTTGGGGCAAGTCATCAGAGGTTTTCCACCATCTGCCAGAGGAAAATCAACATTTGAATTGGATGTGTCTGCTGTTAACACTCAATTGCAAAAATGTTGACATCTAAAAAGAATTTTCAATAAACAAAGACACCCTATAGCTTTATGTGTCTACAAGGTAACTAACATATGTTGCAAATGGTGAAATATGGAGACTGTCCAAGCTTTCCTGAAAAGGAAGCTAGGAACATTGTGAAAAAAATTTTTACATGGATTGAATAATAAGAAAAGTAAATGAATGATTATGTGTCTGTGCAAACAATTCTCATGAAGCTAAGTCTCATTGTTCGTGGATCATGCTATTCAGGTGTCAATATTATTAGTAATCAAGAGTAAAATAAAATGACTAAAGAAGGAAATGTAAGGGTATACCTGCCAAGTCAACGATATAATTTTGAGTGAGTCAGTGAAAAAAAATTTTAACATACCACAAATTGAGAGAAGTTCATAAAAGAGTTTGAACTTGTAGGAAACACGGCGTGAAGGATAGGCAGTTGCTGTTATTTTCTGGGAAGTTCTTGCTGGAATAATCCCATTTTGATTGCTTATTTCCATTGCTACAATACACAAGAGAACAGTTAAAAACACTTCCATCAAACCAAGTATACTTCTTTCCAGATATTTTTATGCAGTACCAGGTAAAATAACATAAAACTTAAAACAAAAAAACCGAAAAAAAACCAGATATGACGAACTTACCCAATACATCTCTTGCAATCTGTTCATCATCATAGGGTCCCAATATCTCCTGGTCAATAAGTAGGTTATAGTGGAGACTGCAGTCACTATTATTATGGATTGTTAGCTCTTGAGAGGCAGAGCTTCCCACAACAATGTCCCCAAAAGTCATAGCCTCCTCTAGACACTTTAAGATGAAAAGAATAAATTAATGCTCATATATATGTAGAAATAAATAAAAGGAATGATGCCAATTGGAAAGACATCCAGTGGAAAATATATATGTTGACTTGGCCCTTTAACTCACACAAGTGATCAACTGCTCCCTGTCATATCCTCACATTATCCAATGAAAGGGTAATAGAAGGGCTCAAAATTATCAGGTAAAAGTTGTTATCTTGATCTAGCACTAAACTCCTGTTAATTAATTGACAAATGTCTAGCCCCTAGAGGGGAGAATTAACAATCAGATCTTGGGAGTTACAGGGTTAAATGCTTACCACAATTTCCCCAAGAGATCCTTCACCAATAACTCTCACTAGATAGGACTTATCTTCTTGTGCTCTAGAGGTAAAAGACAACCCAAGTCAACTACTTGGCTTTGAATAATTTTCTGCTTTAGACAACAGTTAAAATGATGAAGAGTTCTCTCATTCTCTGCATGTAGCCCTGCTACATTCTCAGTAAAAACCAAAACTACTCCACAAAAAGGTTGCATTATAATTGAATTAGCTTTATCTAATTAATTTAGAGAAACATTATGATGACCAAATGATGATCAGGTTCCAGCTGACATTTTATGAACTCCTTACTGTTGCTGGGATTCTGGTTGCAATCCTTTCACAGAGAGTTTTGTCTTGATCACATATTTTTCTTCTTCATGAGGTTTAAAGCTAAAAGTGTGAGCCTATGAAAAAAAAAGGAGTTGTTTACAACACATTGCTTATGACAGCTTCACATTGAATTCTGCAAAAGATGATAAAACTGATAGAGGATAAGACATGTAGATAAGACCAAAATTGTTTTGTCCTACTAGTAACACTGTGATAATTTACAGGGATCTTGGAAGACAATTAACAAAAAAAAAATCATTGCAACACACTGCTCATGCCCACCTGAGTTTCATTGGGTAGAATGACTCCATCAGAGGGATCAATGCTAAGACTTTTAAAATGAGGTCCAGGGATCTTCCATGAAAACCTGATAAGCAAAATTAGGCTTGTTGATGTTATAATCATATTATAATAATGTAATTATCAATCTTATACAAACACATTGCTGGACTCTCATTCTAAGAAAAAAGATAGATTTTATTTCTATTAATGAGAAAAAGGTGGGATTTAGTTTGACATTTAAAAAGGTTAACATAATTGAACAAACCTCAGTGGAATCCTGGAGGTATTCTTTACTTCAAACAGCCTTGTCGATGCTGTACCCAAACAAGTTGGTTTGAAATAAACAGTTCCCTGTAAAACCCAAAAAAGTTACTGTCAGATGAAATAATCATGGAAAGTCACTAGACAGATTCAATCAGAAATCACCTGATTTTCAAACTTTTCACACTTACGAAAACAACAAAGATACTTAAATTAAGATTTCATCCATAGCAGTAACTGATGTGTAAAATCTGATCAGTAAATCTCCTATTAGTGGTTTAATAACAAATATAATTATATGAGTATAACCTGATTATTGAGTTTTAGAGATGGAGTCTCTGCTGATCCAACAAGGTTGATTTCCTGTTTAAACAAAATTGTAAAGTACTCAGTATAAACTATCACATATTATACATTACAAAATAAATGTACTTGCCAAAAAAATTTGGATTTAATTTTATGAACAAAAATTCATATCTATAAGTATGATACAATGTGATGAAAACTCATTTCACTTAATTTACAAAAAAAGTTAAAATAACCTGAGTAAACTTGTTTGCATCATTCAGCTTACAATTGACTGTGCACTTAAAGGCTTTTGCTTCTGTTGGTGCCATTTTGAAAATAATCAACTGGAAAAAAAAAGAGAGAAGGTTTGAAGTATTTAGAAAGTTAATCATCCATGGTCTAAATAAACAAGTTGACTGCAGATCATTAATGAATGATGGGGCAAGCTTCTAAAGAAACTGTCAGTGGTGCTGCATTGGTGAGGGGTGTTACAAGATTATTTGGTTTAACCAGATGACAGAGTAGATAAATAATGTGAACTGGCCACCCAAAAGTGTTCCCAATACTGACATTTCAAGCCTAAGCCCTTCATGCGAACAAATCATTATTAACCATCATTAAAACACAATTCTAACCTGATATTTATCAGTAAGCAATCCAGTTCTAGGTCTACATGTAAACTCTCTGAAAAAAGGAACCAGAAACACTTACAGTTAGCTCAGCATGAGAGATTTAAAACCAGAATTTATAATTAAGTTTGTTCAACTTTAATCACAATTATTAATATTATTATTATAATTATAAATACTACTAAAAGCTATTAGGAGCTTCAGCCTTAAATTTATAGAACTTATTCTGCTCAATTTTCAATAAACAGGTTCACTTTCCCCTTTGATATAATTGTCAAATGCATATTTAAAAGGAAAAATCTATTGATCATTAATATTTGAATGTCATAAGCTGAGTATTTTGTTCACAACAGCCTGCAAATTAAACATAGGCCAGTTTGATTTGAGTACCAAATACTAAACTACTTACTAACCTTGCTTGCTTGAGCCACACTGCGGAACATTGGCCCCCTGTTGTTTTTGTACAGACTTTGCAATGCACTTGGTCAACACTGCCACAACCTCAGGCCAATATTCCACAGTAATAACCTCATACTTGGTTATAGTAAAAAGTTATTTTTTAACTTATCATGTATTATTAGGGTTAATTTTTTTTAAAGGGTTGCACTTCTATTTGCCTTTTACAGACTGCTATAACTTTTTCCTCCTCTAGTTTCACCCACACTTGGTCTTTGACCTTTTGTGGAAAAGTAAAAGTAACATATTACAATTTATTTTGTCATTACCCTGATGGATCATCATCAAATGCAAAATGGATTGGATTCTGCCCATTGTTGCTCAACAGCAATGTTCTGTATGACATGCCATCCACAGTGGTAGCTGGAAAGACCTAAACATTGGAAAAAAGGAACGAGTTACGAATCAAGTTTAGAAAGAAAAAGATAAAACAGCAACATTCTAATAGGAGTAGGGTAGGGTAGAATCTTCCTCATTCACACCAGCAAAACATGCTTTGTTAAATCAGGTTGAACTGAACAAAAATAAGGAACAGAAAGCTGAAAAACTAAATTTTAAAAAGGGTTCAAGTAATCACTAACTTTTAATTTCATTGTGCTAAATTTGAGGTCACCAAACATCAGTTTGAGCAGTTTAAATGGAGAAAACATTTTGACAAAACAGCTTAAAAGCCATTAGCTTTAGTTTACATTCCCTTATTATCTCATACCAGCTGTTTTACATCCCACTGACTTCTGGGGATAAATGTTTCAGTCCCCATTGCAAATGTGTGTCCTAAAAATAATTAAAAAAAAAAACTTTTTTCAGTGAAACAAGGAACACAGATTCATTGATGTTTCCTCAACAAAAATTCTAGAAATAACATTAAAACACATATATAAGAACTCATTAAAGTGTATGGCAACAAAAACAGAACTAAAGCACCATATCCTTGAATCTAACCACAAACAGAGTTCAGTTCATTACTAATTACTATAGTAATTAAAGTTACATTCAGCACAAACCTGTAGCACTGAGTGAAAGGCACCAGGGAGGGCACAAAGTGGTATCCTCAACCAGGCGATAATCTCTCATACTCTGTACCATGATAGAAATAACATGATATAAATTTCATCTAACTATCAGTTTGTGACACAATAAGATCAATCTATCAAACATTGTCAAAAATGTACTTCAATGGATAAGCAAAAAATTCTACTTAAAAAAAAAATTAATGACATCATCAGAACTCTTAATTAATGACAAAGAGTAAGATTTTCCACAGAAGAGTGTTCAATTGTGATGCCATGGGCATCACCATCTGGGAAGGGGTGGGGGGGTAAAAGGGCATTCTCCTCCAGGAAATTGTGAAAAGAAATAGTTATTGCAGTAACTGTAACTAAGATGTGCATTCCTTCATTCTGAGCTATAACTTCCACTGTTGAAAAGTGTTTGAAGCAAGCACAAAGGGAACAAAGAGTAAATTACATTTAAATGAAAATGAATTTCAAACAGCGGTTTGCTATCTTGAACTCAATATTTTAAATCAGAAGCCTTAAATGCATGAGAAATATGTTTGTCATGAGCTTGGAAAAGAAACAATCAAGTTAGGGTTCCTAACAAATTCACAAGCTCTTGTAACAGAACCTCACCTTATAAAATGCATAACACTCCAGGTCAGCACTAAAAAACTGATTGGCAGCATTCTTTAAAAAAAAAATACAGTCATAAATCACACTGTAAACAGAATCACAGTAATAGAAAAAGGAACCAAGTGAATGAAAAAAGCACTAACAATGATTATTGAAAGTATCAATAACTTACTGGTCTAAATGTCACTCGGAATGATGCAGTTTTTAAGGGGAGGATGTCTGCTTCATCAGGGGAAACAGAAAATATCCCTTTTGTATCTATCAGACAGAAAGAAGCAAAAACATTAATTGAGTATAAATCACAATACCATTTGCAATAATTATAATTGGTCTTAAACTAGAAATGGGCAAACAACAATTGTTAATGACCAACAAATTACAATTTAAATTAACTATAACCACCTTTCATCCACATGCATGTGATTTTTCCCTTTGTGTGATTTGTGATGTTTACTGTCTGTGAGTAAAAATAGAAAAAAAAGTGAAAACTTGAGCTCATAATCAATGAAAATCAAAAAAGTGTTCTGAAACTATTTTACCTTCTGCTCCACAGCTTTAGGATCCAGCAGCTGCCCAAAGTCTGTGTGGTGAACATCTAAACTGACATGAGGAACAATGGCAGTCTGCAAATCATGAACATAGTGATTACATTAGAATCAAGCTTCAAATAGTAAATTTAAATGGAAGAAAAACATGGACCTAAACAAACAAACTACTTACAGTTTCTCCAACTGATGCATGACAAAAGAACTCTTCCATAGGTGAAAGTTCATGAACTGATGGCAGTAATTCTCTAGAGGAAGTACTATGCTAAAAAGAGAATACATTGAATGTTGTAATTAAACTACATCCTTTATTTCCTAAAGGCAAAACTCAAAATGAAAGGGATGATGTAATATTATAATAATAAGCAGTATATGTTTTAGCTTTTTAGTCCCTGAGAGTGACTGACTTCTTCGTTCTCCTTACAGTATTACCATTAAAGAAAATTTACAGGGCACGAGAATAATGGAAATGATCACCAACCTAAGAAGCTCCTGATGGTCACATAAATTCTCTTTCTCATTACCACAGGAAATGTAAAAAAAACGGTGTGGAGAAAATGAAAACTTATTTTAGGATGTAAAGGGTTAATGTCACATCCACCTTAACTCTCAGGGTACCAACCTCCAGTGCCATTAGAGCTCCTTCTTCATCAAGTTGAAGTTTGTTTGTTCTCAGATCTTCATTAAGTTGCTATAAATAAATAAACAAATTAAGCAGTTAGGTTATTTGATACATTAGATGTACATTTAGATTTTGTTGAGGGCTGCTCTAGGGCAAAAGCATTTTGAAATATAATTATACATCATGTTGATCAAAATTTATCTCTAGATCTCTTTTAGCAGGAACACCACCACTTACCTCTGGTGAGATTTTTGAGAATCCACGTCTAACATGGATGTGATACCTGTCCAGATGTTTCTTCTGCAAAACAGCTGATAAACGGATCAATTTATGGTAAGTCATTTTTCTTGTTTCATGTAGTAATTGCTCAGTATCCCCACAAGCCCAATTGTTCATTTTATGTAAATATGATAAAAAAATGTAAGACTGAGTTTCACGCTTATTTAAAAGTAAAATGCATAAACACTAACCCATTCACTCCCAAGATCTCATCAGTAATTCTCCTTAGTGTGTGCCATAAAAATTCTCATGGAGCTAATTCTGAGAATTTGGTATTGGATCACCTAATAATCTCCTAATTGATATTTTTCTTTATTCTCATCACTTTTCCGCTTGATATTGTATTGATATTGTTGGGAGAATTTCTATCTTGGTCACTTACGGGAGTTAAAGAATTTCTAAATTATAAACATAGACACTGAATGTACCTGGTTTAACTTGTTCTGTATGACAAGTTCCAAACAAATCAACATACAATGGATCCTGAGAAAATCAGATGAACAAAACTTAATATAAACACTTTTCAAGATTACAGTTTGGACAAAGAGAAAAATGTTACCAGCCTAATACTAACACTGACCTGGTTTTGCACTAGACAAGTTAGTCTCCTGTAGTAATTAATTGGATTTGTTGGAGAAAAGCGTATAATTATGACTTGAGAACCCTTGCCAGGTAATAAACCACATGTTGTTTCCAGCTTGAAGACACTTTGATTGCAGTCGATCATGAACTAAAATATACGTTACAACGATTATCATAAGTACAAATGAGTAACTTTTAAACTTAAGTTTATCTGTTGATATCAAGTTATCTCTAATATTTCTTTTCCAAAAAACTGCCATTAAGAAGAATGGCACCTCTCTGAAAGGGGCACCTACAATTTATTTGTAAATCCCTTCAGTGGACACTTTCGGGCAACAAAAACAGGAAAACATCTTACAAAAAACCTGAGCTGATTTATTTCTTCATTCTAAAAAAAGAAGCATCTGTTGAATGTAAAACATGACAGTTACCTTGAAAATTTTAGTGACCTGTATCTAGTAGCAATAATTACAAAATACTGTATGGATTTCAAAGGCTTTAGGGACTCAGTATGTATTTTTTGCTCATAATTAAGTATGAAATAATTGGACTTGATACTTTTTCTCTAATCTAAATGTGATGCCATTCCTTTAATCATCGAAGTTGTCAATCTCCCAGATATCATACACCACACTAACACCATTCAGTGCCCAAAGGAGCTGACTTTGCACAAGTAGAAAATAAAAATATATCAGAAGGTCAAATAACCCTGTTTTTACAGAGAGCATCTGAGCAGTTACAAGTCTAATATTTACCTTTTGCAAATAATTGTTAAATATTGAGAGTTGTATTAATCTAAAAGTGTTTGACATCAATAATCCTTTAGAAGACAAAAATTTGCTTATTACATTAATTACCTGAAAAGCTGCAGGAACATCTGAATTGTTAACAACCTTGAAACTTTTAGCTGAAAACTTGCCAGATTCTACAACTCCCATATCAAGATAGTCACAGTCAAGAACAACTTCAGGCCCTAACAAACAGAATTAAATACAAAATACTGATTTGCACTGGAAATTAATTGATTAGACGGCAAGGGTGGTTCATAATATAATGCTCATAGTTATTATGAGATTACAGCTGACCTAGAATGAGGGTCAGGGGAAAACTTGGGTAAATTTTTGCTGGATATGTGCCACTGGTCCCTCAGAATTCCTGACCCATAAAAGTTTATTCTGTGGTAAACTAAAGATCCCATCTTAGTCACTTTTGGGCAAACATAATTTTTGTGATCCCAAGTTGAAGTCACTTTCAGTTCATGCATCTAAACACTGCACCCTAAAAAGGCCTTTTAAGTATATCATCCTAAAATAAATTGTAGTACCCCCCCCCCCCCCCTTCATGTAGCGGACAATGTTAAAATTGACATGTCCCAGTATAAATTATTTCAATTAATCATTTTTTATTTCCAAGTTCAACTTCATGAACTGTCAGAGCCTGTAAAAGCACTAAACATATCACTACCTTTGCTTATTCCTGTGCATTTAATAACAGAACAATTGGTAGCTCCAAGAGCTATAACTTCCAGATAATCCACTGAGTGAAAACCAGGATTCTGTGGAGTAAATGACACCTGAAAAAGAATAACGAGACAGAAAAAATACATTTTACATAAAGATCACATACATGTGAGCCGTTTGCAAGAGAAGTAATATACTCAAGTGAGGATACAAGAAGAATAGAGAGAAAAATCTTCAGTTAAAAATTACTGTTAGCAAAGAACAAAGCAATTGAGTCCTTACTGGGTAATATAAATAAGCAGATTCACCTGCAACAAAAAATTACCTTAAGTTTGATGGTACTTTCTGCTGGGACAACACCATGATAATGTGAACATGAGAACACCATGTCCATATTGAAGGTAGAAGACGGTTGTAACACTTGGTATGGTGCATTAACCTATAAATTAAATTGAAAAGCTCCAATATAAAAAAATCAATGATAATATCTCTTGTATTTAAGGAACTGGTCAAGAAGAATAACTCTTACTGGAGAGAAGTTATGTAGCTCAATCCACTTGACAGCTGTTGTTTGAACAGGGACTTCACCAAAATTTAAATCTAATTCATCCTTGGTTGTGAACTCAGTAGGAGTGTTCTTGGTCTGCCTGGATATGCTGGCTACAAGATGGGGAAATTTACCTGATGCGGGAGATGAAAAATAAGTTCAAAGGATGATAATGCAACCACTGATCAAGAAAACAATATGGCTTGGGGACATGCTGTGGCCTGATAGTTAGAATGCTGGACTACAGGTTGAGAGGGGTTCGAGACCTGGCTGGGTCAATGCTAGTTAGTGCACTGGACTGCAGGTTGAGAGGTCTGGGTTCAAGACCTGGCTGGTTCACCATGTTATGCAATTGAGCAAAACACTTTACTCCCACCACGCTTATCTCCATTCAGGAGTATAAATGGATGCTGACAATCATCAGGGAGGTCTGATGAAATGCTGGGGAGTAACCTTGTGATGGACTAGCATCACATCCAGGGAGGAGTAGTAATACTCCTAACTGCTTCATGTAAAGGAAGGTAGGATAGGCTTCTGCTGGGTGTGCCACTTGGCTCAAGTACAGACTTACCTAACATAATATGCTAGAAATGTATGTTGATCAGTTTACCTATTCCTTCCAATCTGACATGCTTTGTAAAAGGAACTTTTTGCTCAGCACTATAAGAACACACTGCAGTGCCTTCATAAACCAATGCTGCCTACAAAATAATGATCAGTAAAGGAATCAATACAAGATTCTGAGAGAGTTAAGGCATTGGAATCATTCAAAACTCCACATTGTAATCACCCAATACCCAATAATCAATGCACACCATAGACATCTTGAAACATATACCTTTGGGCTAAATGTCGCTTTGATATTGCATGATGTTTGTGGTGACAGAGTACCACTTTCAGGAACAATTGAAAATGGCTCCAACACTTTCCAATGGAAATTTGTTACCAGTTCACTGAAAAACAGGCAAAGAGAAAGTACAGTTGCTTGTCATCAATAATATTCCATAAAACAGAGAAGTAGCTAAAAATTTTGTTTACATAGAAATATATATACACAACAGGTTAGTACTAAAAGCCTTGAGGATCTAATTCTTATACACTGTTATAAGCCTGAAAAAGGATTTTGATCAGCAAATGTTTTGCTTGTATCCAGTAGCTACATGTATATTTATCAAAAATACATATACCTGGTATTTGTGATTTGAAATACAACTTGCACACAGTCCTTTACAGCACACATGTTGAACTTAAGTGATTCTGGTACTGCTATATCTGCTTTTGGTAAGACTGCTTTCATAGGAACTGAAAAAATTCCCTCCTAAACAAACAACAGAGTAAAACACTGTAACATCAAAAAGCAAATTATAATAATCAAACAAATGCAGGACATCTTCGTAAGCAAATATATTTATAGTTTTTCATTAGTTTGTCTTTGCATTAAATATTTATCATGCCAGTAACATCCAAGCTGGGACTCAATTCACAGTAACTTACATTTGTTTCAAATTCTATGCAATCTTCATAATGTCCCTACAAAATAATAATGACAGATCTTGTAAAAACAAAAATGAAGCAACTGTTTCAACTAAGCTCTACAGATATTAAATCAACTCGGATAGTTTAAGAATAACCACATTATATTATACCTTTTCAAGAGGTCTGAATGTAACAGGCAAAGTAAAGCTGGTTCCAGAGCTTAGCACAATTGGCTTAGGGTAAAGTGTTGTAAAAAATCTACTAGATGGAGACCTGGAAATAGAAATAATACAATGTGATAAGAGAGTAATGAAGGAACTGTTGGCTCAACACAGAGACGTGCATATGCATAAACTTTTTCCACTTTTTTAATGCAAAGGGAAAAATGCTTAACTTACCCCCACGGCTAGACAAATAACAACTTTCTTTCCTTATTCAAAAAATTGTTCATGGTATTTATGTACTGATTAGTTGGAAGCTTCAACATCCTCTCCTCTGGCAACCCGTGGGAGTGGGGAATTTGAACCTTGTCTTGGTGGGGTGGGGTATTTCAACTATAATTGTCCAGTCCTTCCAGCCAAATACATGTCTTGGAAATCAGAGTTTTAAGGTAAAGAGTCTGTTGTTGCCAGCAAATTGCTTAGAAAAAAAATTAACATCATAAAATGATACTTACAAGCTAATAATCCCACAGAAGCACAAAAAACTAATACATGCCTTTCCTAAATTCTAAAACAAATGTTGATCATACAAAGAATACTACAACAAATTTTGCTTGGGTAGGTCATTTGAAATCAACTCTGGCTTGGGAGTAGAGGGGGTGGAAAATGCTAAAAATCTAATTGAATCATTGCAGCATTTTAATTGAATAAGCTCTGAGGAGCAAAGTACTCACTTGTAGTGCAGCTTTTTAGTTTTAATCTGCACATTCTTAAGCACAATTTGCTGTGTGTACTCTCCACCAGGCTCCCATCCTTGCCATGTGATGCTGTTGGCAACCTCTATTCCAAAATGATTGACACTTCGTTCTGTTTGTACTGGCATGGTGAAAAATATAAGACCCTGTAACTGAAAAAGAAGTTAAGTTTGGTTAGGTATTGTAGTATGACAGCAGGTGGGGAAAAATGCAACACTGCAAAGGGTCAAAGAATGATAAAAAGCAATCATACTAAATAATACTATAGCACAACACAACTACCAGGTGTTGGAGCAAGTTCTCACCATCATAGACATATGAATGTAATTTCTAGGAAATGCAACAAACAAACCTGGTGGCCCCACCATTATATAAACAAACTCATCTCATCATGACTTTAGTTTCAATCAATTTGCACTTCAATCCAATCAAAGAAGCCTTTCTGGCCTGGATTGCGCATATTTGCAGTCCTACAGTAAGCTCCAGTTTCGGTAGCGAATAGTATCTAGACATCGAGATCTGTGCATGCACCGAGGTGCACAATATACAATTTTCCACTTTGCATTGCTACTGCGCTGTATTCTTCCAAATGCAGGAGGCAATTTTCCCATCTCATCAGCTGAAGTTGTATTTGTACAGTTCTCACCAATCCTTGAAGGAATATTGTTCATCATTTAGTTAAACAGCATCATTGAATGAACTCACCGACTAAATTAGAAAACCATTACTCTCTGCATACAATAATCGATATTCTAGGCTGTTCTCGATGACAGTACACGAAAGATCAAATTCGCTCCAGATTTACAAAGATGGCGCCTACAAAGTTGTTGTTGAGAATCACCGTAGTTACGAAATTACCATATTTGGCATAACTCGCTCCAGGTCTCTTGCTACATTTGACCTCGGCCGCGAACATAAAAATATGGACTCATCATCAAAGGAGAGTATAGAGGATATCCCGTAAGTTTTTTCATTTTAGCGCTGATTTCTAGTAATATAGAAGAGGATTAAGGCAAATAATCTCAAATTGATGTCAATAGGACGGGATATCCAAATATACAACGAATGTGGTTAACGTTTACGAAATGCTCAAACTTTTGTAGTTCAGCATATTAAATCAGCTGTGATCTTTGCTTCTATTCTGTATTTTTTGCGATAGTTTGAATCACAGAGGTAAAATTGATGATCTCGTGTTGTTTTTCATCAGAGTGGCATTATTACTGACTGATCCTATGTTTTAATGCGATTTTAAAGCTTCTATATTGCGTTGTGCACAGATGTTGATATTGTCAGCTGTACATCTATTCTCCAGTCATGCATATATTTAACGCGGTTTCCAGGAGTTATAAAAACAAGTTCAGACAAGCAGCTGATGAGTACCTTATATCAGTCACCTGATAACTTGATATCTTAATCTATTAATCCTGATGATTTTTAAGTCAAGATCTTAGAGTTGATACCCCTAACTAATATTTAAACATTTGTTTTTTTGCTTTAGAAAGTACTGGGAGTATATTCGAAACTAGATCAGAGGGACATTATTCTTTTATGGTATCTTCTCAATCATGAGCAGTCTTACTACACCTGTCTGAGCGACAGGAAAAAATTTCAAGTGAAAGAATTAACTCTCCTTTTTTGGTCTCAAGCCTTAATTTTTTGGGTTTGGTTTTAACTTTTATTAAATTCCTTATTTTGTTGAATTTGTGCTTTTGCACCTATGATGCAATATAAGTAACGTTGTTGCCTGGGTAAGTGACAGCTTTTTAAAATTGAATACTGTCAATTTTTTTACATACTTTCTCTTTCCCCTCATCCTGATTTTCTGATCTTTCACATATGAAGTTTATGTTGTTCATAGCTACTTCCTGGTTTGGGGTCTTTGACCATTATTCATAGTGCTCTTGCTCAATCCGAACAGATTCTCTTAAAAAACTGAGATCTCCTTTAATGAGGTTTCTGATCTTTATAGTATGACCTTAAAGGTAAATTCTGATCTGTCAGATGGTACCACGCTAACCTGACAAGGAATGGTGCCGAGGTGTTGCTGCTTGCTTATGGCTGTGAAGGAAGCTATTTACTGAGACCAAGTAAAAACAACCCAGGGAACTACACTGTATCAGTCAAGTATGCTCTTAATTTGTAATGTCAATAGGTTTACCTAATGTGGCTGTTGTTCTTTTATTTTGTTTTCACAGGTTGTACAATTTTAGGCCCAGTCTTAATTAAGACACAATTTGATCTTGACAAATTATGGTGAATAATTGTTGATTGTCTCTTTCTTTTAGGAGTGTTGATTCAGTAAGGCACTTTCCACTGGTTTATGATAAAAGAAAGTTTGTCTTTGGAGTTGGAGAATTTTTTAATGTTGAGCAGCTACTGGAACATTTCCAGAATTTTCCAATCATTGCAGGAGATACAGGTTTGGTAATTTGTACACATCTCCATTTGAAATCAATCAGAAATTAAAATCTACTTTTGTCTGTTATTTAATTCTTTGGCATTCATGTGAAGCCTCTTTCAACTTCTTAATCTCTTATGTATAATTATTGAAAAAAGGTTGGGTTTTTGGGGCATTAAATTTCTTCCTGACTGTCTAATTTTTATCAAGTTGATATTTAGACTGAACAAACAAGCATACCTACTAACATTGCTTAATATTCAAAAGCTTTAAGGTGATACTACTGTTGGATTATGAAATCATAATAACAAAATAATGTAAACTGAATTGACCAGTATCTTGCTAATTTGATGATTGTCTCGTACAAACAGGTCAAGCTGTTACACTTGCTTATCCATATCCTTCTACGGTTAAGGAGCCATCAGTATATGAGGACATCACTAGACATGTAGTGCGCGGGAGCTCTTTAAAGTGTCACACCTTTTCCAACCCAATTTCACCTGAAAAGGTATCATCAGACATGGATTGGTCGGTGAGTAAAAAACAGTATGAAATTAGCAGTAATTCAATGTTTAGAAATGATTTAACCCCTTAACCCCTTAGGATAGCTAGCAGGTAATATCAGATTTGAATATTAAGCCCTGAGAATAAAGGAAATGATAACCAATTATATTAGCTCTCAATGGTTAGACAAATTCTTCTTGTCAGCACCATAGGAAATATATAGAGGATAGAATGGAGAATATGCACACTGATGTTAGGGTAGAATGGAGAATATGCACACTGATGTTAGGGTAGAATGGAGAATATGCACACTGATGTTAGGGTAGAAAGGAGAATATGCACACTGATGTTAGGGTAGAATGGAGAATATGCACACTGATGTTAGGGTAGAATGGAGAATATGCACACTGATGTTAGGGTAGAAAGGGTTATGGTCCAAGGTTTGCAGCAGAGTTCATGTAGAAAGTTAAGTATTAGAGTTTTCATTATTTTTTAATGGGATTGCTCTAATATCCAGTTATGTAGGGAAAAAAATTGTCAGTAAATTTTTTCATTGTGATTTGTAGGTTGCATCAAAGGAAGGATTTCTTACCAAAAGAGGAGCTGTTCATAAGGTAAACATTCTCATCATAGATTCATTTATTTGTTTTGAAATATTTGATAGAAAAAAAAAATCACTCTTCATTTGTTTCTTATGGAGGAAAGTCTATGAAAGTACCAAAGACTCAATAAATAAAATGTAAAAGTAAACATTCAAATTTATCTATCAATTCAGAAAAGTAGTCAAATCACACTATTTGATTATGAAACCATGTTATTTTCTTGTAGAACTGGAAGAGACGGTGGTTTGTCACAAATAGATATATGCTTCAGTACTATAACCAACGAGGGGTAAGGATTGTGTGTAGTAGCTATTATGCATGTTGTGTTATTGGTGCACATTGGTTAAAGTTTATACTATTTTTGCAACTACTACTACTAGATATATTATCTGTTTAAACTCTCAAGGTGGTTACAGTAATTTAATACAGCTTAAATTTTTAAGGTACAGTGTATGATTGCTCTTGCTAAAATTGGCACTCATTCTTGATCAACACACTTGAAAGGAATATCTAAATATAAACTTCAACTGCCTCTTTGCAGGATAAGAAACCTTTAAGAGTACTTGACCTCCGCCTAGCAGAAGAAGTCTTTAAAAATGACACATGTGGAAAGCCTAATGCCTTTAGGTAATTTGTTAAGAAGAGGAAATTGTAATGTTGATTACATGTATAGCACAGAAACCTGTTCATCAGGTATTTTTTAGTTAACAAACCAGGATAGTTGATGTGGATTTGAGTATTAGTGGAGAGTCATACTGTTGGGGGTTAACCCTTTAACTTCCAAAATCTGATTGCTAATTCTCCCCTCCAGCTACCACACATTTCCTTGTAGATTAGTTAGGAGAATTTGATTTGTTGATCAAGCTAGTTAACAACTTTTACCCCATTAGTTTGAGTATTCTCATCACCTGTTTGCTGGATTTGAAACAAAGATTCCTTTCATAAATGAGCCTTGTTTACCCTGACCTGTTGTGCTTTGTTTTTTTATTTCATCTACCACTGATAAAAATTTGTGAATTTTTATTTTTTTTAGCTTAGTTTTCCCAGACAGAACGTTTTTTCTTTATGCTGACTCTGTGCGGGAAATGCAAGAATGGATTGAATTGCTCAAATGGAAATTGGTAATTTTCTTTTGTGTGAAATGTGTTTGTTCTTCAGTTTGGTTGTATTAATTACCTGATAAATTTGACAATTCTTATTACTTGTTTGCTGGGTAATGCATGAATTTTAAAGGGAGGTCACATTTTATCCTCTTTATGGAGTTAAACGGTTACTAGATACAGTCATTTCTAATTGTAAGATTGAGACTGCATCTGTAAAGTTACATGCAGCAGCAACCCTTATCGAATGTGATTACTTTCTGACCATTTTTTTATACAGAAAAGAACATTATTTTTAGCAAAGACCACATTTTGTAGAGTTGTATTGTTGTAGTTCATTTTGTTCCATTTGAGTGATAAATTGATGGTACAGAATTTGATAATACAATAATTTCAGCTTCTGTAGGGTTTCCTCATTGCACCCCTCAAAATTGCTAATATTACTTAACTGCTTTAAATTTGAATAAAAATGATAGTCACTGTGATCTCTGTCATCTTTGATATAATTATGAATTCTGTGGCCTCTGTAAACTTCCATCTTTTTATGTTATGTAGAAAAATAAATGTATGAATAATTTCAAATCATTAATTTTTCCTAACAGAATAAAGTGAAGCTAAAAACTCGCTGTGGTAAGTATTTTGTAGCAAGTGCCATGATAATGAAGATGTATCTTCTCTATGCCCACCTTGGTAGGCCTTGTACTGAGTGTAAGCCTGCCGGGGGCAGTGTGGCTGTGTGGTGCAGTCGCTAGTCTTGTAATCTGGTGGTCTCAGGTTCAAACCCCCCACCTTGCTACTTACTGGATTTATTTTCAGTTGCCCTGTTTATGGCTAACTGGTCTGCATCCTGCCAACTGGGGTTCCTAAACACTATTTTGATGTTTATTTACTATGTTTATTTCCAATTTGTTTGAATCAATTTTTTTCTAACTTTGTAATTGCACTGAGACTTGTGAAATGAGTTATAAGAATGGCTTTGTTATTACTAGTATTGTTATTATTATCATTATTATTAGTTTCCCTAAAGTATACTCATCACACAATGTTTCTCTTTCTGTATGGTGTATTACACATTTTATGTTCATATTGTTCTCCATATATAAAGTTGTTATAATATCTATTTTTTTGTTGTTTTCAGACACTTTATAAAAGTGAAAGGAGGTAATTAGCTAGCAGACATCAAAACACTTAGGAAGTTTAAAATATTCAGTACATACTATAGCTAAGTTATTATGTAAATATTGTTCTCAGAGTTTTTTATATACTTTTGTAAACATTTAATACATTTACTTAAAAGTGATTTTGAAAAAAGTTAATATTTCCTATTTACACAGACATCTATTGATTAACTATCTGTTGCACTTAAGTGCAGTTTTTACAATAAGAAAAAGAATGTTAAAATTTTAAAATAAATTCTAGAATACACTCTAAAATGTGGTTTGATGATGACAATAACATGGTGACATGATGATGGTTTGACTTTTCAAGGTAGATTATTGATCTTGTGGGGGCACTGATGTGCTGGGTACAAAAATCAGAGCCCTCTTTTAACCAGATTTTTATCATTCTTAGGATTAAAGGGTTAATGCCATAAACTTCCAGTCTGTCTACTTACACCCAATGGTCACCATATCTTCATTATTTGCAGGGTGGGAAATTTTTTTATAGATTACTCGTATTTGCTTACTTAGCTGTATGCTACAATCTGCAGGTATTGCCACATGTATTATAAAAATTATTGTTACTGTGTATATATACATATTTTAGAAAGATAATATATTAAACAGTTGTTTTGAAATCTGACTTGTGATAAGTCCCTCACTCTTATCCTTAAAGGTATGAATCTGTCTCATCACTATTTGTATATGTTGTGGTTCAATTTTATCCTTTGTTTAAATTTTATGTTCTTTTGATTTTGGGTATTGTAATGTATAATAATGAGTTTGAAACAAAGGAAAATAAAATTTGAACCAAGGAGAAAATTGAACCACAACAATATTTATTTGGTCATTTGAAGAATTTGCTCCTCATAAGCTGTTTCTAAGCAATTCACTCAAGAGAAGCCTAGTGTGATTGGCCATTTCCTGTTTAGGACATTGACTGTCCCCCTGTCCCTATTGATGTTACCCTGCGATACTTCTCGACTACGACGACAACAATAAACAACTGTTATAGCATACAAACAACCTCTCATTATGTTGTTGCTGTTGGACGAGGATCTCGAGCCCCATTTGGGTAGTTCTCTTGGGATGCTTTCTCGGTCTAGTAGCAATGAGTAGGTTATAAATTTATCCAACTAACGTAATGCTAAATCCCTCGCAATGGGAAAAGAAAAAGTCGACAAATTAAGTCCATTACATATTGGTCTCGAGCATCAATATAGGTAACTTATTTTCAGAAGTAGTACCAATCTCCAGTGTGTTCCAATTTGCATTATGTACTTCGGCTGACTTCCATATCCAGAATATGCCCCCATGTGTCGGCACTCAGTGGTCCAAGGTGGTTAATATCACTAGGAAGTTCGTCGAGTGCTTTTGTTTGACTGTATCTTCCCTCAAGCCATCGCTTTTTTACCAGATTTGTCCCGTAATTTCGGATGAAAATACTTCGCCACCACAAACCAGATTCAATGTCTTGCTTTATATCCTCTTGATTGAGAGAATAACATTTCCCCTTCCAAAGAAGATCGGAATTGTAAATAAAGTCATACCAGTCTTTACAAGTCTGTGATGCTTGACAGAGACTGTGTGTATCCAAGAAAGAAAATATTGCTAAAATCATTTCAGGTGGAAGTGAATTAAAGTCGCACATCTTACAAATCTGACGCTTTTGATTTCTATGGAATCAGGTGTCATGAAAGGCGCAAATCAAGGTGTATTTTAGAGATACCATGTTGTACATCGAAACGACTTCGATATTGTTTTGTTTCGCTTTGTTTACACGCGTACTCTTCCCTCAGCTGATCACTACAATAATAACAGCAGTTTCTTGGTCAGCGGTTTTTAAAAATAAAATTTTGGAATATTATTAAATATGGAATGGACTACACAGCTCTGTGAACGGTAGAACTCATAGCGATCTAAATTTTTTTTTCTTCAGTCTTTTTTATTATCAAAATTACCAGCTAATCTTCTTCCCTGTAAAATAAGCTCCGGTTTGGATTCCGATGGGGACTATCTCTTTAATAAAGTCTTTCGTGCTAATACCCACTAGGGCTAACACTAGTGGTCATCTTTTGATCTCTCAATGGAATTTACTTCAAGAGAAGAGCGCTGTCATTGGTCTTACGTGTTTGTAGGTATTTAAAAAGTATTTATCGAATTATTTTTGATATGATAGACCACCGGTAAGCGGTCACCGAACGGAGAAGCCTCGGTTTGGGTGTGAGGTCATCTACAGTCACGCAATGAGTTCAGCGGTAATTTTGGAAAATTGACACCAATATTAGATCAGTTGACGGTGATGAATATTCTGATATTCAACAAGAAAATCACTGTTTAAGCTAGAAAAAAAAAATGAAATTAGACTCGTTAAAACCGTTGCTTAGTGGCCATTATATTTTGAATCCTATAGCATGCTTGTTGTACGTGATATTACGATGTTTGGAGCCGTTTTGCGGATGGCTTTTCCCTGGTGAGGAATGTCAAATCAGCTGGGTAAGTTGAAGACTCTAAGGATATCACTAACACTTTTTCATACTCACGCATGTTTTCGTTCTCAAGCCTGTTTGATTAAATCTGCCTCGGTTCTTAGCAATTCAATCTATGTGTTTACTATAAACTCATTCCTGACACAAAATAAACGTATGATGGTGGAAATAAAATTTTCGTATTCACGCCTTAGCCTGTGTATCGTGTCTAATAATCAACACCTTTTTTTCAGTGGTAGTATTTCAGCGTTAGTAACGTCCCTTAATTCCTGAAATAGAATTCATAATTTTTTTATCGTCAAATTGATGGGAAAGAGAGTGTAGGAAATTCAATCAGGGTGTTAAGATCCTTACCAACAGTTTCAATACGTTTTTCAAGATCGTGTAGGGGTACAAAGAGGGGGGGGTCGGATCTCTCTTCTTGTTTGTGAGGTTTCAGGGAAATCTTGAGGTTTTCAAGAAATGAAAGAAAAATTTATGGGTTACATATACTTCTAGAAGCAAATCGCACCTCACTCTGGTTCATAAATTTACAAATCATGCTCACCAATCAATTTGGTCTTAATCACTCATCACATATAAACTCTTTGCCATCCTCATTAGTTTCTGTTTACAAGGGAAGTATCAATGTGACCATGTATCAAGCATTTAATGAAGAATTTAAAGAAATCATACAGTATTCATATTAATTTTAATAATGTTCTAATGCTTATTGTTACAAGTGTTGATTTGATCAGCAAACTATAAAATTGAAGTTAACAAGATGTTCCTTCTATAGCGGGACTTTGAGCTGTTGTCTTTTCTTGTAATTGTCCTCGCAGTTAAAAACAGAAAATGGAAGCCAGGTATTTAAACTCTCAGTATTGATAAACTTAAATCAAGGGTAAAAATCCTTGCCTAAAAGCTCATTGGCAAACACATTGCCCAATTGCAAAATTGTTCCCCTATAGGCTCATCCCTACTACAAGTTTATCATGTGGATACAAAAAGCTTGCCTTAAAGCCTCTACTCTTTGAATTTTACCTATGAGAAAAAGTTTTTTCTATCAGGAAATCATGATATGGACATGAAAACTTTAAGCTGCAACCCAGATTTATGCAACTTGTTAAGAAACTTTTTTTCTGTTTTCTTTCCTCCTTTTTCTGGATCTGACCCTAAATTTAGATATCTCTTTTTTTGACAAGCATTCAGTAGTGGTGCAGTGTCTGTTTATAGGAGTTTTCAGTTTTGTTTTGTTTATTTTTTTTTTCAGCCTCTTGGCAAGAGATAGCATCAATGGTGTTCTTGTTTAGCAAAATTGCAAACTTTGTTCTTTTTGCAAGGTCAGATCTTAGGCTTGGTCTCATTTACCTGATAATTTGCATTGGTGAGTGACTTGAGGTGCACTTTTGTTTCTTTTTTAAAAATTAAGAGTGTATATTGTCATATTTAAGTGGACTCAGCATTGAATAACATTAAGATGTGGTACATTTGACCCCATATGCATTTTTATAAAAAACATCTCAGGTAAATTCTCTTGTGAGCACAACAGGTTGTACAATTAAGGTGTTCAAGTTATTAACAAATGAAATGAATCAAGACTAGTTGTTAAGTTGTAATACTAACATTCTAGCCAAACTGATTTAATGGTTGTTACCAATGGTTATAGTTAAATGAAAAGCCCTAACAAACTAATAAAGATTAAAAGACTTCAAGGGTTTTGACTAAAAATAATTGATGCCTATCATTAGTTTTCACATTCTTTATTGTTTTTTTCTTCATCCTCAGTTTTGTTTTTGTTGTTTCCTGAGCCATCATACAGTGGACCTGATGAAGTATTCTTCTTCAGAGGACCAGCACTTGATGTAAGCTTTCTTGAAATATAAGCTTCACCTAACCTTATAACATGGCAAATTAAGTGAATAACATCTTAAAAGATTATTATGAATGATCACAATGATTAATTTAGTTGTTCTTGTTAACTTCATGAGGATCAGATATTTTTGTTTATTTCAGGATGCCTTACGTGATAACCCTTCTGTCACATGGTTGGTAGAATTTTATGCCCCCTGGTGCCCTCCCTGTGTCAGATTTGCTCCAACATTTGCTGAACTATCACTCAGGTAAATGTTCAATGTATTCCTGATACCAGGCAGGAGTAGTAATCTAATAAAGGTTTTTATGGGAATGTAAGAAAATTTTCATGATTTAAGATTGAGATGTGTCTTAAACAAAGACTGAGAATTTTGATATATGTAGGTTCAGTTTGGGTAAAGATAGTTTTACAAATCAGAATTTTGGCCTTAATTGCCATCAGGTAGAAGGCACTGTTAACTTGATTATAAAAAGGGTTTGATTAATGTTTTTAATTGTAATTTTCTTTTTTTAACTCCATTAGCAGTTCATGTAAAAAGAATAATCAACCAGATAATAATCTTGGATATTGATATTTATGACAATCATTCTTACCTTCAGTAAAAGCAACCTTTTTTTTCTTTGTCAATTAAGATACAATCACAGTCATCTAAGGTTTGGAAAATTAGATGTTGGAAAATATCCAATTGTAGCAGAAAAGTGAGTAGAATGATGAGAGATTGATGAAAAAGTTGCTTATATCATAGTAACAACAGTTTGAGGATTGATTAAAACACTACCAGTAAATGAATTTCTTCTTACTGTTTCTTTATTATCTGAATCAGCCACAAAGATTCCATATTTTGGGTAGGGGTAAATTAATTTATCACTGACCAACTTTTTTGAACTGCACTATCATAACATTATTAGTCATGAAATCATAAGCAAACTTGAAAACCCTGCAAGTTTTTCTTCTGATGACAAAGTGGAGAAAATGTATTGGTACCTCAACTAGGAATATTCCATTTCTAGTTCTTTTTATATTGGAAAGGATGTCAGTAGTAGTTACTTTCGGGGCCTAGTATTTAGCATCTAACGATAAGACACATCAGTTTAAATGAAGTTTTTAATTTTTTCCTTTCAAGACACAGGGTAGATGGATCTGCCATTTCTAAACAGCTTCCAAGTTTAATTCTCTTTGAAGGTGGAAAGGAGACAAAAAGAAGGCCATTGGTGGACAGGAGAGGTGTTATAACTCCTTACACCTTCACTGAGGTAGGTTATGATCACTGAACAGAATACTATAGAGCTTCATATTGCTTGTCAGAGTCTATTAACCCTTTCTCTCCCAAGATCTCATTGAAAGTTCTCTTTTCTGTCAGCTTTACAATTATTATGTTGTTCCTTGGGAGAATTTGGTGTTGGATCAACTTAAAATCCCTGAATTGATAGTTTTCTTTATTCTTGTCTGCTTGATATTGTAAGGAAAAATTCTGTCTTGGTCACTCATTGGAGTTAGAGGGTTAACCCTTTCTCTCCCAATATCTCTTTGGTAATTCTCCATACTGTCTTCCATACAATTCTAATAATGTTGGTTGAGAGAATTTGGTATTAGATAAACTAATGATCTCCTGATTTATGTCCATAATGTTCGCTTTGTAAAATGTATTCTATATACAAGGCTAAAAAATTAAAATGTTTAAACCAAACGTTTTCGGCTGTTTGCCATCATCAGGGTTGATTTATATTTTTTTATTAATTCTAATTCCTTGTCTGCTTGATTTTGCATTGATATTGTAGGGAGAAATTCTCTCTTGGTCACTCATGGATGTTAACTCTATTGTAAGGGTGACTAGCATTTAATTTCTCTTTACAGTATTACCCCTGAATCAAACATTAAGGTAATGAGAATAAAGGAAATTATCATCAACCAAACAAGCTTCTGATTTTCAAGCAAATCCTCCTTGTTAGTGCCCAAGGAAATGTATAGAGAACAGTAAGGAGAATATGCATACTGATGTTATGGTGCTAAGCATTAAATAGTTGACCTTTGATAAGAGGACGATTCACAGAGCAGACCAAAAATATTGATTTTATGCATTGCTTAACAGGTCAACATTGAACGAGATTTCAAATTAACAGAACTTAAGAAATCTGCTGAGGACAGGCAAAAACTGGAAGAGAAGAACTCAAAGAAGAACAAAAATAAGGAAGATTAACTAACAAGAGAGGAATTGAATAATTTACAATTTTATTAACAAGCAACACCTTAATGGAGGAGACATTGGGTCTTGCTTCTGGTTATACCGCTGGCGTATGATCAAAGAAAAAGGAAATGATTTTGCTCGTTAGAACCGTACTAAGAGTGCAGAGAAAAGAAAAAGAATGGCAGACTCTTCTTATTTCCCTCACACCTCTGCTGCTAATTCTTAAAAATGTTTGTGTCAATCTTTTTATTAGTTAGTGCTCTCAATGGAGTAACTTATAGCTTAATTACGCTGAGTAGGACCGAGATTTTTCCGTATTTGTAATAGAAATCTGTCATCGCTACACTTGAATGCTGTTGTTCTTGGAGGTGCATTTCTAATTACGTACTGCGGAGTTAAAAAAATCGTTGCTTCTCGAACATTGTGTAAACCCCAAACGAGCTTCATTTGGCTCATTTCTATCGGGAGGGGAATTAGACAGTAGGAGGGAAGGGAGGGAGGAATGACACAGTCTGAGGGAGGAGTGAAATAACTCAGTATAGGGGAGGGGTGGGTCAACACAGTGTAAAGGATAAAGGGATGAAACTCTATAATGATCAGTTCGTAAGGAATGAGAGTCTTACGTTCGGCCTAAACTCATGCGTCGCTGTAACACATTTCGACAGCAAAGAAACCATAAAATGACATAACGGAGAAATAGCTTTTGGTCCAAGGACCGAGATGCCGTAGGTTGGTTATATTAAAGTCGTCGTCCACCGTTGGCGACCCTCTACGTCTCTCCTTTAGGAACACGCTAAAAAGAACCATTTGAATGTCATTTCGCGGTCAGATAAACCTTTTAAACGACAACACATGAACAAAGAGTCGTAAATTTTTAACCTGTTAAGGAAATGAAGGTTTCGTTTTTCGTTTAGGGTGTCTTTTTGAGAAAATCTGAACAATTTTTCGCACTAATTTGTTGTGTCTTTCAAGTAAGCCGCTTTGCAACAGTGTTTACACAGAGTGAAACCGACAAAATGCTAAATCCTCTGTAGATTGCGCTAGATTCTTTTTGATGATATGTTGACACAGCTTTACATTACATGAACCAAAATTTGTAATTCTTTCATTAACATCATGTGTGGTTTTTTCACATAAATCGTTTTTGAAAGAGATTTTTTCCTGGTTAGTAGTGCAAGCTTTCTTCTCAAAGCCATACACAAACTTAAGAAACATAATATTTGCCTGTAGTCAATATCTTTGAACAGATTTGACTAAGGCTTAGGGCTGTTTCATGTGGAAATATCTCAAGACAGCCCATGAGGTTTACAGACCAAAATCGAGACAGCTATTAAAATTATCATTCCAGTTGTGGAGGAGTTAGATTGACATTTCAGGGATGAAGTCGAAATGAATAAACCAACTGTCGGTGTGGCACCTACATGACAATAGCGCGAGAGAAATCATTTGAAGCCCTGAATAAACAAAACTTGCAGGTCGAGGTTGTCTTTCCATGACTAACACCAAGCGATCGAGTCTTTAAGGGTTCACCCCTTCTCTGCATTATTGCTATCGAAACTTCTTCAGTGGAAGCTTCCTTCCTTTAAAGTCCCTGGAGACCTCACAATGCGCAAGTGTATTGTGATCGTTCCCTGATAACTGCAATTAATTGATTGTGAAAGGTATGTAATGTGTTGTGTAGAAAACAGCTAATTACTCCAACAGTTTGTTTTTGCGCTGGCGAAATTCCGCCCACCACAATGAACAAGTTACGCATTTCCGACAAATGCTGACATGGCGGTGATTGGGAATAGAAAGAACGTTAGCGCGCGACGAAATGTATCGACGACCAAACATTATTTGGGTGATTTAAACTTAGAGTTAGTTTTGCCTCTCGGCTTTCCACCATTTTCTTTTAATCAGCATGATTCTTTTAAAGCGTCTCCGATAATGGCAATTAAATCGATATAATTTCACCTTTCGTGTGAAATATTTTTAAAGCGTGTTTTTTAATAAACGCTTTGAACCTAGAACAGATTTGTTACCCAAAGCAAATTGGCCAAAGATTCATTCTATTACACATTTTAATAAAGCCTTATTTAATAAGAACGGAACAATGAACTCGGTTGACTTTAATTCGAGCGCAGTCTGTAAAAGGTCCCATAAATTGTTTGGAGTGCTGAAGACGTTGCGTCATTTTAAGGCCTAGTTGATTTTGGTGGGTTGTGCGATTTAATCACTTTTTGAATACAGGTTTTATTAGCTGGTTTTAATGACACTCTCATAAACTGTTGACACCTGCTTAATTCCAATTCCAGCCTTTTATTCGGTATTTAGGAAAAGACACCTCGTCCATTGAGTTTTAAGATAAAAAACGTGTGCTTCTTCGGGAGAAACGGGAACGATTTAGAACGAGTTAGGTTGGAAAACCTGCGGCCACTCAACCAAGCGATGAAGATGAGATTTCTTTGGCTCTGCTTTATTTGTTTAAGTTTCTCCAACCTAAGCGAGTCAGTTTGGTGGTAAGTGAGCAATTGATCCTTTAACTCGTTTTTGTCGAGTCTTCGCAGCCTTTCCAAATGCCTTCTACGAAATGTCTCTTAACTCGACTGATTTTTTTTCTTGGGCTTTCTCCAGGACCTTAGGAACACATACCACACTGTCAACGGATCCAGCGAAGAAAGCAGCTCTCCTGTGCTTCACAACTCCTCAGCTTAACACAAAACAACGAGATATTTGCCGGAGACACCCAACTCTAATGGCAAGTGTGGCCAAGGGAGCCAGAGAAGCGGTTGAAGAATGTCAGATTCAGTTTCAGCACAGGCGATGGAATTGTTCGTCTGTTCCTGACTCTGGAACACTGTTCGACCCGATCTTAAAGCGAGGTAAGCGAGGTCTGCTTTGAGCCGTGAGCATTACATATGTCTCACTTAAAGGTGACAGCTTCAAGATCTGTTTACTTAAACCCAAAGGGTTCGTTTTCTTAGGATATAGATTATTTGTCAGGGACAGAATTGTAAGTCTACTTTGAAGCATACTTGTTTTTCTTCGAAAGTTGCAGCATTTATCGACGGTTAAGTTGGGTTCGTGTTTGTCGGCTCCCATAGGAAACATTCTAATAACTTTATACCGTATTCATGGGCGCTACGCTTGTGATCTTAACTTTCTTTTGTTCTAAGAAAATGAGACATTGACCACTTTATTGATTGTTTACAAAAGGAAGATTCCTTGTTTCTTAGCAGTCTTTAAGGCAGTTCACGACACACATTTTGTGGTTGTGATTCTCTCTGACTCTTTTTAAAACCTAAGGACGTGATCTTATTGTTAGAGACATAAGGGATAAAAAGATGTGTTTTGTTAACCCCCTTTGAAGTTCTAAAAACCGAAATCTACTAAGAAAAACAACTTCTAGAAGTAATGCAAAAAAACCAAAAGTTCAGTGTCGTGACAAAATTGGTTCTAATTTTATTAAAGACAGACTCAAGTGTACTTGGACACTGAGCTCTGAATCTTACACAGAAAAATTGTTCAATCTGAACTGTCTTCGGTTTCACTTTGCCAGCGTAAGGTAAAATCATTAACACGTAATTCTGTATCCAACTGTACTGACGATGATATTCCGTTTACTAAAGTTCAATGTGCAGTGCAGGAAATGTGCAGTGCAGGAATCATATCTCATTATTTAAACCATGATAATATTCCGCCATAACATTTTACCTGGCGTTGTTTTAACTTTTTCAATTCTTACTTGGAGACTTTTCCTTTTTCAACTCTGAGTGCAAAATTCGTTCGACTTCAAGTAAGGTCGTTGGAGGGAAGCAATAGTAAATACCTAATGCACAGATCCCTAGAAAGGGGAAGAATGACTACGATTCTCGTGAGACAATCTCAATGTCATAAGCCAGAATTACACACAGCTATAATCCAGTTTCGTGATACTCAGTCGTGTCTGTACAGAAACTACAGACACCATGCTCAATGGATGCGGTTAGTGTCTTAAGCCTTGTTTCCTGAATGGAAATGACCGAACTACGATGTATTTCCTTCATATATAAATTTGCAGTATAATCACTATTTAGGCAGATGTTTTGACGTCAAAAGTTGGAAAAACATTTTTAAAGAGACCCTAGAAAAGACAACTATTACAGCGGATTGAAAAGAACTTTAAGGCAGCAATGTATTTTCTTCAGTTGAATAACTTTTTCATAATTTGTCTAAGGAAATCGGTTGAACAGCGACAAAACAGCCATGATATAATTTGATCGCTTTACAATTGCACCCGTTGTGCTGTCGGCAAATTTCAGTTTAGGTCTCTGAAATTCTCTTTTTTTAAACCCTCTGAGTTTTTCATTTAACTACAGCTTTAGAAGGGCTGATTAGGTTCTGCTAGAGCGCTACCCTTCTTTTTTCTTGCTGATGTCTAGCACGGAGAATTGTTTCTCCCCATTGAAGGTGACAATGACGAACATCCTATTGCGGAAATACACTCTCTTTGCGTTCGTTTGATGAACACCACAAAATTAATTTATAGATTTATTCAAATTTAACTCCTTCCAGAAACTGTTTATTCCGGATCTGTCAGTGTTCCGAGCATATTCTGGTGATACTTACAGTTTAAACCCCCAGATTTAGACTAAACATAACACACTGGAAGGTGTCATGGTAATGTGGCTTTCATCAGAGTGGGGGCCTGTGGGGGGGAAGGAGATTTTTCAGGGGGAACAGAGGGAGGATCAGTCGTGGCAAACAGAGTTTAAGGCATATAAAAGGATTACTGTAGAAAATTGACTGCCAATGAGGGGGGAAGGGGGGTCGTAAGAATATTACAGAGCCCTACGGGGGGGATCAGTTTAATTTTACCGTCAGACAACCTAACTCCTCTGACTTCCCCCCCCCCCCCACCCCAATCAATAATGGTTCCTTAATTAACTTCTCGTGCTCATCTCATGTGCACAGCTGAATCATCAATGTCCGTGGCTGTGGTTAAACCGCAGGTAGTCCAAGCTCACGTCTCGAGAAAAAGCCAACGATTAATTCATGAACGCGTCACACGTTGTGTGACTTGGCGTTAAGTTACGAGAGGAACCGTTGAAAACTTGAACACGTTATAAGGAATAGTATGGCGAATGAAATATGGTCGATTTACAACAATAAATATTTCGAAATGTGAATATTTTGCACGTAAAATCAGTAATACTTACATCCTGTGAGTCCGATGTAGTTTCCGGCGATTTCTGCTGTTTTAAGCTTGCTTTACCATTACTGTTGTCAAAAGACATAAATTTTTATGTATTTTGACATAACAGCGATGGTAAAGCAAGCCTAAAACGGAAGAAGTCGCCAGAAACTTCAACGGACAGACAGGATGTTAGTAAGTGTTATTGATTTTACGTGTAAAATATTCATATTTCGAAATATTTATCGTTGTAAATCGACCACATTTTGTTCCCAATACTATTTCTTATAGCGTGTTCAAATTTTCAACGGTTCCTTTCGTAAGTTAACACCGAGTCTCACAACGCGTGACGCGTTCATGAATAATCGTTGGCTTTCTCTCGAGACGTGAGCTTGGGTTGCCTGTGGTTAAACAAACTCGGGTGGGCACAAGAAAGTTATTCACGCAGTGTAACTCTTAGAGCGGAAATAAAAAAATTTCTTGATCGTTACTTGATTCTGTCAACACTGTATTAGTTCATTTATCATCTGCACACTGAGGGGAACGGAAGAAAAAACCTGAAAGGAACATTAATACGGTATTGTCTTGAATTTTTTTCACTTTCTCTTGTTTGGAAAATAACATTGAAAACGTTTCGTTTATTATTACTTGACAAAAATTCATTTAAGGGTTCGTCGATATCAAAATGTCTTATAAAAACCAACAGATTAAATTCAACAATTCTTCCTTGGACCAATACCAGCAGTTAGTCTTAATTTGTTTTCTGTATTTGTCTCCCAAAATCGTGAAAAAGTAATAGTTTGTGGAAAAAATTTCTGTGAATATCTGAGATTCAAAATAGAATCAACTCCCTTACATATATGCAGCTGCTACTGTTGGAATCATTCTTTCAGATATGGGTATAAAAATGCCATTGCACTCGACTGAGACAGTTTAAAGACCTTTAAAAAGAGCAGCACATGGCACCGAGTGCTTCACAATGTATTTGCTAACGCCCACGACATACTCCCCTTCCCTCCCTCCCCCGAAAAATGAAACACTAATCACATATATACATCTAAGATTTTGCCATGAATTGTGGGACCTGAAATATTTCTTTAATAAATTGTTAAAAATCCTTCTCGTGATTATCGTTGTTACATTTGAATAATACTCACTATATTTAAGATATTGCATGGCATAGTGCCAACGTAATAAACAATTCAATTTTAATAAGCAATTCATTGTTTGTACAACTGTTTTTAAAACTTTGGAATTGTGATTTGTTAGCCTTTCTTTATGAGTTATTTTAATGAGACTTTGTGCAGTCTAGTTGAATATTTTACGAGAACCTACGCGGTATGAATTTCTATCATTATGACTATTAGTATTGTCATTTTTATTCAACCCTGAGCGCAGAACTTTTTTTCACCGTTAGTATTTGTCCAAAATAAATGCAGTTATACATAAAGTGATTATCTTTTTCATAGCCATGTAAATATCTCCTTATTTTCTTCTTAGCCAGTCGCGAATCAGCCTTTCTGTACGCCATCACAGCAGCAGGAGTCGCCCATGCTGTCACGGCTTCATGTAGTGCTGGGAATACCCAGAGTTGCGATTGTGACCGATCACCGAGTGGTCCCACCCAGAAGGGCTGGACATGGGCAGGCTGCAGCAGTAACATCAAGTTTGGAAGCTGGTTTTCAGAACAGTTTACTGACGCGCGGTCGAAAGGCAATAGTCCAAGGGCTGTCATGAACAGACATAACAGCAAGGCCGGACGAAAGGTTACATTTCTTGTCTTTTAATCCTTTCATTCCCAGAAATTATTAACATGTAACTTCTCCCTATAATATCCATACATTATCCAGCGAACAGGTAATAAGAATACTCAGACTTATCAAGTTGAAGTTGTTATCTCGATCTAACACCAAATTCTTGTAGCTCATGACAAGGAAATGTTTAGTAACTAGAAATGGGAATTAACATTCAGATCTTGGGAGATAAACTGAGAAGAAAGGAGGACTATAGAAAATTCATCGCCAATGAGAAGGGATCGCAAGAATACTGAAAGGTGTTGGGGAGGGGTCTGGTAGATTGTAATCTGATACAATTAAAACTCTCCGATCCCCACCCCTCCCCTCATGGCAATAAATAATGACCTCCTAAAGGTTTGTTTCTCAATTATAAAGTTAAAACTGTTCAGTATTGAGATTAAAATGGCTGATTGGTGCGCTTTACTTTATATATATTTTTATTCCTAAGGCCCTTTCAAAACTAGTCTGGAAGAAATGCAAGTGCCATGGTTTATCCGGTTCGTGCTCAATGAAAACATGCTGGATGCAACAACCCTCATTTCGGGAAGTTGGGGATCATCTTAGACAGAAATTTGACAGAGCAGCAGAGATGACAATCAAACTGAACAGAAGAGGAAAAGAACGTTTGAAGCCTAAGAACACTCGCTTGAAGAAACTCTCGGACTCCGATTTGATATATTACCAATCGTCGCCAAATTACTGTGACGCAGACGTCAACGAGGGAACTCCAGGAACTTCGGGAAGAGCGTGCAATATTTCGTCAAATGGAATCGATGGGTGCGAGCTTTTGTGCTGTGGGCGTGGTCATAATATTCAACAGGGCAAGGTTGTTAGAAATTGTAATTGTATATTTCTATGGTGCTGTCAGGTAAAATGTCAAAAGTGTCGAGAGATTGTTAACATCTACACCTGTAAATAAGTTACACCGGACTTACTGCTTAGTACAAAACTAGCGTAGATTCTTCTAGCTTTATTTCATTTTTATATACATAGATATTTTGAGGAACAACTTAGTGGAATGTGGTGTATGTTCGTGGGTATAAAAAAAAAAGAAAGAGTTTGTTCGTCTCTTTACAAAGGGGCGATAATCGTTGATTTTTCCTTTTCCTGCCAAATAACGGTATGCATCGCATCTAATAATAATAGTCATAATTATGTTCTTCATGTAGAGAAAATAATCGAAGTGTTCTTGTAAATTAATCGTGACACGACATGCGTGCCGCACCTAATGAAGTGCAAGATGGAATAAATGTCTTTGTCTGGAGAGTTTTCCGCGATTCACAACGCATCCATGAGGTAAAGGGGACAACACAAATTGTATCACTGCTCATAGAAAGTAAAATCAAATCAAACTGAGGGGCTAAGCAATATCCTTGTGGGTTCGATGTGGTTCTTGAAGGTGCGTAAACAATAGACAACGGATAATCTCTCCTTTTCTGGCGAAGTCCGTCGCGCGAGTCAAATAACAAAGGAAAAGCACTCAAAAAGTGCATATGGTTATTGGTAGTTATGAATGAGTACGTTAGGTAACCTTTTAGGTGTGTTTTTGTATGTTTCATGGGTCAGCAGTCTCCCTCGCAAATGAATATTCGACGATAAATGTAAGTGAGGGTATTCTTGCAAGGTTAGTATGGATTTTGTAAGGGAAAGTATCTGACATTTGTAGACTTCACACTAAACTATTTTTATGCAATGATGTTGCTAGAAAATAAAATGTAAATCATAATGGGATTAAACTCCAGGAAGGAAACTCGAAATCTTTTTTCTTCAAAAAATTGGTAATTCATGGGACAATATTAATTATTTTTGTCAAAACTTTTATTGTAACCGTAAAAGTAGTCTCCTTCACTGATTTTTTTTTAATCGTGCGACGAACGTCACCAAAAAGGAGGGAATACTTGAAGTTTAGCCAGGGAACAGTTTACATCAATGAAGTCTGCCGGTGGTTTTATTTAAAGAAAACATAGAGGTTCGCAAACGTTCATATGGGTTGGTAAGATATAATTACAGGCCTACAGCGGTCAGCGGTTGGTCGGAAAATGAATTGCATATAGCAATGAGATTACAGTGGCACTTGCATGTAGATATTGTAATATAGCGTTTTAAGGATATCTGTTTAAAATAAAGATAAGTTTGGGTAAAAACAAAAATTTTGTTTCCCAGGCCTCTGCCGGAAGTACATACTTCTTACTAACCTCGTTTCTCGGTTCATACTGTAAGTTATGGGTTTATACAACCTCGTCTTTCCTTTTGGTCGATGGCCCAGGCGCGCGGGGCATGAAAGCGAGCAGAAAACGCGATATTCCATGAAACTCCCAGTTAGTGCCATGTAATTTCTCATCAACTTTATCTTTCACCCTCATCTTTCAGTCGTGCCAGGAAAAGGCTGTGACTAAAAGTAGGACGGGGACGTGGGACTGGGACTCGGGGACGTGGGACGCGGGGACTCGGGGACGCGCGGGGACTCGGGGACGTGATAAACAAACAACACCTGAATTTGTAAAGTATGATTTTCGGTGGTCTCGAGGAAGGTGTAATATGCTGGAGAGCTTGTCGGGTGACTCTACATCGAAGGCGTTCGTCGAAGGCAAGAGTACACGGTAATTTTGGTCGGCGGGGAAATAATAAAACCTGCGAATATTGCGAAAGCCCGTGAAAGGATGACATCTAAAAACTGAAGGCAATTTTTTAATAAGACACTAGAATGCGTAATGATGGCGGCGACCAATCAATCTTCTTTAAACAAATCGGAGACTGACTTCCTTGAGGAAAACCTTGAAAATTGTACTGTTGAAAACCGGTACTTCGTGGGTTATTTCGATGGAAAGAGATGAGTTCGAGGATATGCTCGAGAGTTTTCTTCTTAGTAGTTCCACATGCTTTGTAAAGGAGGCCTTGCACTCAAAGGACTTAAATCACAAGAGGTTTTCGAAAAATGGTGGGCAGTTTCTTTTATTTTTAACTGAATTTTTGCTTTTATCAATTCAGTGTGGGCCTCGTAGAGACTCGATCTTTTGAAGGCAATTTTGTAAAAACTTACGCAATGCACCGGCCGGAAAAGTGTTGAAATATTTAAAGGTATTTCATATAAAGGAAAGCACTTGGAAAATACTCTAAGTGCGTAATCTAGGATACCGAAATACTTTTTCAAATCATGCATTTGCAGCGTCTCCCGTCTTTGAACACAATGGTGGTAATGTACAGATCCAATTTTTCGGCAAACCGTTTACCATCTAAGCAATGAAACTCGGCATTGCCTCCACACACCAACAAAGATGAGAATTCCTTTTGAAAACAGTGTTTGAAATATAATAAAACGCACCAGTAGCATTCGATTTTTGCATAACCCGCGAAACTGTTTTAATTTTTTTAGGTATTTTAGTGGAGGAATCCATCGAACTTTTCGCATATTGAGGAAACAAATTCGGGAAGGTAATTTACATCCATTTATTTCAGAATTCCCCATAAACGTAGGTTGTATACAATTCCTGAAATTCCCGTTCGTTATTTCACGAATCATTTGACGTTTCAGTGTTGAAAAATTTTTCTTTTACGTAAGTAAAAAACATTGAACTTCTCTCAACGGACTCAACGCAGCAAGGAGAATCTTTCTCATAATTTACTTCTTAAGAGACGAAGTTACCGTCTAAAAATTCAAACGTTACTGTTAGGCTTATTGGCGCATTGATAACCTAGTAAATAGCTCAAACATACTGAAAAAATGTTTATCTGTTTTTGTATATCTTTATCTGTGAGCCACATGTGACTAAACAAAAACAGAGAAGTGTTGTTTGATGGCTTGTTTTCATTAATCTAGGATTTCGGGAATCGCTATAAACTACACGATCACGCATTAAGTAATATTTCTTCTTCTAATGATTGATACCGGAAGAAAATAGTAACGGTGTCATGCTATTTTATGTGTCCGTTATAAAAATATTTGTATTCGCATTTAGCTCACGGGTAAAAATCCCGTGAAAATTGTTCAAAAGAAATATATCACAGTAGTTATTTTATGAGGCTCCTTTGTTCAGGACGATCTTGTACATCTCAGGTTTGAACTTTTCGTGGGAACAAGTGCTGAAGCCTACCGATAACCTATTTTAAATTTAATCGCTGAACTATAAACTTGTGTGTTCGACCCTCGACGAACGCCTCCGATATAGCGTCACCCGAACTTGTCAGTAGTAGCGGATGATTTCCAGCGTCCATAGTTCGGCCGGATATGTTTTCTTGCCTGTTTGACCGTGAGAACTCTGAGTACAGAATAGTTTCGTTTCAGAATCGTTTTCCTGGTAAGTAACTGTGTTTTCTTCCTTATTCTTTTTTAGCAAGGATAAGGCACGGATGTTTCAAGACCCCCTGCGTTGAAACTATTCTGTACCCAGGGTTCTCACGGTCAAATAAGCAAGCAAAACTGTCTGGCCGAACCATGGACGCTGAAAACCATCGGCTACTACTAACAAGCTCTCCAGCATAAAATAGCTTTCATGAGACCACCGAAAATTATAGTCTACAAATTCAGCACAAATGTTAGGTGTTGTTTGTTTATCACGTCCCCGAGTCCCCGCGTGTCCCCGAGTCCCACGTCCCCGAGTCCCACGTCCCCGAGTCCCACGTCCCCGAGTCCCACGTCCCCGAGTCCCACGTCCCCGTCCCACTTTTAGTCACAGCCCCAGGAAAAGTCTGCCACGACTTTTTCCGGCACCACTTTCTGATGCACCACTTTTTTCCGTCAAGCAGAATGAAATGTGCGCACACATCTCGGTATCCCAAGATGACGGACGAAGCTGGTATGATACTGTTTACTTACTGCTTTTTTTAACAACAACAACAACAACTTTTATTTCAACACGATGGTGATTAAAGCGTTGCCGCTTATGGGGTCGTGCATTTAAACTAAAACCTAAGGAATAAAAATATATTAAAATCGTCTCAATAATGTAGAAAATCGTTATCATTATTGTGAGGCATTGTTTGCGGAGATTCCGCCTGAAAGTCTAAGTTACGTAATTTGTTCGATTTTTAGCCACAGATCTTTTTCCCTGTTAGTATATTCAAGTTTTTTTTTTCGTTTTTATGGATTTTTTAAATTTGCGAAGGAACGGGCTGGTTCCCGACACCTTTCACCAGTTTTTCATCAGTGGTTTTTATTGCTTTTATATCTTAACGTAGAGGCACGTAGCGAGTGTTTTCATCTGACGCCTGAATGAACCTGACACAAGAAAGAGAAGTACCAAGAGAAAAGAAAAACTAGGAAAAAGTCGAGAAGAAAAATCGAACGCGAGAGAAAAAAAATCGAGCGCGAGAAAAAAAAATCGAGCACGCGAAAAAAAAATCGAGCGCGCGAAAAAAAAAATCGAACGCGAATTTCGCGAGGCACAAATTGGGCTCCGTAAAGGTACAACGTTTCTTTGTGGTCTCCGTCCCTCAGCGCAATCAGCCTTTGACCAAACTGTTTGCCCAACGAGCTAATTATTCATTAGTGTGATTAACTGAGCAGTCCAAGATACCACATTCCAAACCAGATTCCATCATTTCGTACTTTAATGCACCCAGTCTACACGCAGCCAGCTCTTGGAGATGTCAGCTTAAAGATGGTGGAGAGAACGATACCAGTGGTGGACTTTGCTGTGATGGGTTTAAATCGTGAAAAGCCTCCAACACTCAACGAAGAATCCGTGAGGGTACTGGCAGATCAAATTCACAAAGCGTTTAGTACAATTGGCTTCGTGTATTTAACAAATCATGGAATATCTGAGAAGGAGGTAGGAAATCACAAAATGGTTTGCATATGCCTTGTAAAAATAATTGTAACAAGACGCCTAAAGGCGTTTCCGTGAGATGCGTTGGCTACTGAACGTAGCATTGAAAGGAATTGTGCAGTTACTGTAAACTACCACGACTAGTCAGATAGATCAGCCGAGGAAATCACTGCAGGAAATTTAAGTGTTGAAAAGATTGCGACATGGCTATTTTTGTAATTGACTGAAAATAGCGAAGAGTGGCAGCTCAAAAACCTTTGGATTTTTCTGAAAAAAACTGCAACTCCACCTACTGATTTCCTCGTCTCATCGCCTGTTTCATCCCTCCTAAGAGCAACAGCCCGGTTAAAACAATTTCCATCTCCGCTGTTGTTTATCAAAAACGTCAGTAAGTTCGTAAACAGGCTATATACTCTTTCATACTAGTAAAAGACTGTACTGAGTTATTTCCAAGAGATTTGTAGTTAATTTTGTGATATTTTAAGACCACTGCGCGATGTCAATTCCAAAATCACCTTACGTAAGGTGAGAGGTTAATCGGTAGATTTTATTTCATATTTCATGGTTCAGTAATCACGCAAAAACGTACGCTTCCCTCGGAAAAAACGCAGCCTTAATTAATGAATATGGAATAAGGAAAAACAACACACACAAAAAAGAAATCGAATAAAGCACCACAACATGTCAAATAAATTCGACTATCTCCTTTATCTAATCAAAGTATACTTATAGCCATTTCGTGCTTAAAGTACTTAATCTACAGATGAAACATGGTTGTGAACTTCTAATTATTGGTCTTGCAGCAATGTAAGGTTGCTCTACATTATGGTAAACATCCAACTCCGCAGAATAATTAACGTACAAATAGAACACAAAAACAGCACAAAATAGTATCCTGCATTTTTTGAATTTCCATTTGCAAAATTTCTTCAAATCAGCTGCTGGAATCCAAATCTTACTTTGCCTGCACAGTAGCTCAATATATATTTGCTTGTAATGTCATGACCTTTGTTTACTTGGTTTTCTCCAGCTTTTATAAGATAAGTTTTCTGCCTTGGAACAAAAATACCTCAGAACCGCACTCAATGTGACTGCTCTTTTTTTGACTGAGTGAAATAAGGTATACAGAAACAAATTTCACAGGTTCTGTTTTGTCAGTAAAGCAAAGGATTATTTTTGTGTGCTTCTGATCAATCCAACTGCCAATGTTTACATAACATAAAAATCAATAAAGATTTTACGTGTTCCTATTGGCTAGCTTTTCAATTTGTTCATGAAATGAAACAGAAACCCAGCTGGATTTTTACCCTAGTATGCCACAGGCATCCCACAGAATGAGTAGAGAAAAACAACTTATCAGATATTTTAAAAGTGAGGTATCCCAAGTTTCAGACTTCATTTCTTTTTAATAGTCTAACAACTTAAGAACAAATTACATAACATTGTACAAAGTTGTCATGTGAATTATTTTTTTGAATCATTCATGTTCTGTTTTGATCGGAGATATATATGCTAGATTGCAGAAGTTCGCCAGGCAGGAGATGGATTTTTCAATCTCTCAACTCAGGTGAAAAAGCCTTTCATTCGACCTACTGATGGTAGAAACTTTGGCTGGGTTTCACTTGAGAGGGAAAGGTAATGAAAATGGTAATGGTGATTTAAATATATTGAATGTAAAAGTTTTATGGTTGAATTACCTAGGGAGGGGGTGACTTCCTATTAATTTGCAGCTGGATGAGGTTGCATTTTTCACGACTGGGTGGACTTTAGTGAGGTTACCTTTTTTACTAGAAAGGGGTCACATGTTTTCAGAATATTGGGGGTAAGAAAATAATGGTATACAGTCAGTTTAATAAATTTGTGAACTCATTTTAGAATGAGTTACTTTATAGACTTTATAAGGTAATGCATAAACAGGAAACCGACTAAGTTTGGATTGAAAGTTACATTTGCCCTAAAGTGACTGAGATGGGGTCTTAAATTAGCCACAGATTAAACTATAATGGGGTAGGGGTCCAAAGAGGCCAGTGGTACATACCCAACAAAAATTGACCCAATTAAACCCCCCCTCCCTCTCCTAGGCTGATTTACAGTTTGAAATAAGTGATTAGAGTGTAGGATTGTGTAGGTTTTCTTCTTTTAGACAGGAGGGGTCTCTCATTGGATTGATTAATGCATCTATTTTATGTTAAGTAAACTTTCATATGTTGTTATTGAATATTATTCCAGGTGGGGGCAATTAAAACAGAAGCTGTTTTGATTTAAAACAAGTTATCCTTGCAACTGTCAATTATCTAGTTTAGTGGTTAATTCCCTGTTTTTGATGTAAACCAATAATCATTTTTTCCTAACAGCTTGAATCCTTCTCGACCTGGTGACTTAAAGGAAGCATTTAATGTTTGTGAGCTTCATGATGAAACACAGGTCAGTGATACTACTGAAAGAAATATGTATCAATAATTTAAGTTACCACCTGACGTTTTAGACTGACAGCTTTTCTGAAAAAACCTTGTGAGGAATAACTTTTTAATGTTGGAAATTCTTGCTCTGAAGAAGAATGCATTTACTCTCATGTGGTGCTACATCAGTGGGAGAGCACAAAAGGATACTTTTATTAGTATTATCTACCATTCACGTGCTTATATTTTTTACATTCATTAAAGGTTATAGTATAATAGCCGAAAGCTCATATTTTAAAACCTTTTTAACCAGAGAACGTTTTTTACCTTTTTCACTATGTCATATCCTGGTTACAGTTCAATTTTTAATTATCTACCAAGTTGACAATGTAAATTGGCCACTGGAAAGAGTTTAAAAGCTGAAATTTTGAGCATTAGCCCTTTGTCCCATCACTCTAAGGAAGAGCTACACTTGAATTGTCAGCTTATAAAGCCTTTATGGTGGCCAATTTGCATTGTCAACTCAGTTGATAATACCAAATTACCATGTTAATTGAATATTTGATATTTTTAGAAGTGGCCTGATGAAGAGGTACCAGAATTTAAGCCTGTGGTGACTTCATTTTTCAACAAATGCAAAGATCTAGCATTTAGAATTCTGGATGTTATTGGTATTGGACTCAATTTACAAGTATGTATTTAAAATATATAAACATATATTATATATATGCTGACATTTTTAAGTTGACATTTTGAGTATTAGCACTTCATCAGAGTGATTGGATGAAGGACTAACACTTGAAATTTCAGATTTTAAACTCTTTCTGGTGGCCAATTTGTATATGTATATATATGTATATGTACATATATATATATATATATATATATATATATATATATATATATATACAATAAGTTAAAGAATTAAAGAGGACGCATCGATTCTCTCTGACTCTTATGTATAGCTGTGTGTATATATATATATATATATATAAGTTAAAGAATTAAAGAGGATGCATCGATTCTCTGTATATAGTTTTCTTTGTTCAGATAAAGTGCCATCTTAATTAGCTTCGGTGGAAATCGAAAGTGAATATAGTTATTTATATTTGTAATCAGGCAGTCCCTTACAGAGAGAGGTCTGGGTCAAGTCATGTAGTTTCACCATAATCAATGAATAACATGGAGTTTCCTTTTTTCCCTACACAATTTAAAAAGTACAACTTTTCACTGTAAATATGGTACTGGCTGCTGCACAGGATTAGGAAGATGCTGGAGAAACAGACCCAATGTTATTAATTGTAACTGTAGTCTCTCAGTACATTTACAACTCACAGCATTATAACCAGGCATTACAATGACATATCCAGAGTAACAATAATTGTAGTGAACTTAATTATGCCAGCTGCCCATCACAAAAAACCTTATTGTTGGGGAAAACCTGAATCCTCTTCCACATACAGTCAGGCAAGACCCAAAGGAGAGAGGTTGCTGAACTATAAAATGTTTTGAAGCTACAGACTCCAACAGAATGAATTTTTTAAAAAAGAACTCAATAGATGAACATGAGGCAGAATGATTTCCCACAATGAAATCTTGCAGAATGTACCCTTGTCTATGTTGCTCTAGCAACTGTTGGTTTCAGTGTAACATGAAAAGGTTAATTTGCAGCTATTCTGTGAACCACAGCAAAAAGCAAAATGTTTCTTGTCTTATCAGCTGTGCATGATCATTATGTTTGTTAAGATGTAAAAACCACTAGAGAAATACTTGTCCAAATATTTTCTGGCAGATATCAGCGTTTGTCAACTCTCTTGATTTGTGTTATTTGTTCATAGTGCATCTTTCAGATCAGATCCTTTATTTAGGTGGGTCATTTTTTTTATTCTTGCTTCATTCTTTCCTTTAAAGGATCCACACTGGTTGTCGCAAGTACATGGTGCCATAGGTACCTTGGATAATGCAACTGCCTTACGGCTATTACACTACCCACCCCTCCCTGACAAGTATAACATCAAGCCTGGACAAGTGCGCTGTGGGGAGCATAGTGATTATGGCTCAATTACACTGCTTTTTCAAGATGAGATCGGTGGATTAGAGGTATGAGTTAGCAGGGGGAATTCTGTTAAGGATTTAAAAATGGGAAGATTCACAATTAGATAATGACTTGTGTTGAGATTCAGAAATTGCATTTGCCCAAATTGACTAAGATGGGGTCCATAGTTGAGTATATAGAATGGGGTAGGGTTTCTTAGAGTGCAACATCACATACCCAGCAAATATCGACCTGAGAAAAAATGACAGAAGAAACTCTTTCAACTTCTATGTTTCCATAATTTGTCACATCAGGTGCTCCCAGTAGATGGAGAATACACTCCGGCTGTACCTATTCCTAAAACAGTGCTGGTTAATATTGGAGATCTCATGCAAAGATGGACAGCTGACAAATTGATCTCCACTGTAAGTGGAAACACACCTCCTAATTTTAAAAAATGATAAGTATCAAGAACCACAAGAAAAGGCAAGGTGAAGTTTACCAGAAAATTTAAAGCTATCTTGTTATGTGCACAGAATAGCAGTTAAAACTATTTCAGATGCACCTTGCTGTATAGCAAGAATAATTTGTTACAAGGTATTATGATTCATTCTCCCAAGTGCAACTCTCTCAAGGACCCCTTATGTTTTGTTTTGCTCAATTCTTATTACCTGCTTTTCTTCCCCAAACTATTTGAGTTGGTGGTAGTCAGAGAAGAATTAGACCATTGCAAGCTGTGATTACTATCACTAGAAATACTAATAGTGCAACATTTGTCAATAAATTGTCTCCTTGATGGTTTTCAGAAACATAGAGTACTTATACCAGAAGAAGAAGTGAAGCAGAGAATTGTACGCCGTTCTTTAGCTTTCTTTGTTCACCCTGATAATGAAGTCATGATCGAGTGTCTTGATGGATCAAATAAACATCCTCCAATCACATCAATGGGATATCTACAACAGAGATTTGCTGCAACTTATTAACTTAGTCACAAAAAATAACTCAAGGGAATTTGTAGGTTCATTAGAAGCAGCTCAGGGTTGAAACCATGATTATAATAATTAGAGGTATCATGACACATACCCTGATGAAAAATATGGATCCAGAAAAATTCTGCTATACAAGTAAACTGTGTTTCTTTTTTTTTTTTTTTTAATCGATGATTTTGATTGCAACATTACTTTTTATTATTGAGTTACCTTTTAGTATCAAGTTCAATTTTAGAAAGGGTTGTTCCTAGTTAAATTTATCAACACTGTTACTTATGTGAGGATCAAACCCTTTGACTTAGAAACTATCAAAGCTGTTGTCACTAAAACAAAGTACTCATGACAACTTAGTTGTACATTCCTTTCAAGAGTCATCCTTATTTATGAATGGAGGGAAAAAACGGAAACAAAGGAGATACAACAGCTTAATTCTGTTGATTACAAACCAACCCTCGTTACACCAAGAACAAACATGAGTAAATTTCGGAGATGCCTAATGGAAGGAATTTAGATCATTTCTATACCAGAAATACACAAGTTCAAAACATTTTAAGAAACTCCCTAAAATAGCCAATGTTATAATGTCTCTGTTTTTGTTATTGGAACAATGTCCAAAAAAAATCCCCACACTTTGAATTCTTAAATTAAAGATAAACCTCATCACAGTGGTAAACAAACCCATGACCATGCATATTAGTTTATGTTAAGAAATGTGTTTTTTGTGCCATTTGGTTATCCATCTTTGAATACACAATCTCAAAATAATATGTTTTCAAAAATAAATGTTTACATGTAAAGATGGCATAATGCCTCATTCACACCAACAAAAATCAGTCCTAGAAAACTGCGAGAGGGAATTATATATTGATAGTAATTATCTTATCACCAACTTTCAACTGCTAACTTTGATGTTGACAAACACCAGTTTTTCAAAATGATGTTTAGAGGCTGGGTTTATTTTAAGAAAAAAAATTCAAACTTTTTTACAAAACAACTTTGAATCTTATTTCAGTCTTGGTGTGAATGGGGTAGGCATCTGATAAAAGTAATTGTCTGAGACAGAAAAACCACATAAACATGCACCTTACAATTCTTAATTCCTCATAATAACACTTTTCTCCCTCTGTTAAATCATTCTGTCTTTAGCATGATAAATATTACTGTTCCCAAGGAGTTAAATACACAGAAACCAAGCACAAACTATTCTTCATTTCTTTTCAACCAGTTACTCACCTAGTTACCTAATTACGTACAATGGATAAAATCCCTGTATTAATTATATTTATCCATTATAAGTGTTTTTCCAAGGTTTGATTGACATCTCTTTTCTTCTTGAAGCAACTATTTGAGTAATGTTATCACTTAATTGTTGATATTGTAAATTTTTAATTTTAATCACTGATTTATTGTTAACTATCATAGCACAATAAATATGTGATGAAACTCTCGTTACTGATATTTATATAATATTAAATTAAGCCAAGAAGAATTGAGATGCTCAATTATAAACTAATAGCGGTAAAGATTTCCCTTCATCAATGTCCCTATGCCTAGACAAGAACTTTATTCAAAAACAAAACAAAAATAGTATTCACCAAATCTTAGAATAATGAATATTTAATGTTTCCCTTGATATTTAGTTTCATTTACACTAATAACTCTTGATGGTGAATTAAATGTGTTAGGCATTCATTGAAATTCAGATGTCAATTTGTTCTTCAAAGATGATTAGTACAATAATATTCTGCCATAATATAAAAGGATGAACCTATGTAAGTGCCCCACCCCCCCCCCAAAAAAAAAAAAATGTATCTGAAGAAAAGTGTGATACACCAGCTTCTAATTTAATTGCAACCAAGATCAATTGTTATAACTCAAGTTACTATCCTGATCAAATTCTTGATCAAATTACAGTTTGTAGCACTTAAGCTGACTTTCAACAATACTATCCTGTCTGGTATTTGCATCTTTTAAAAAAATTTAGCAGTTGTTAGTAACAATTATGGTATAACCTATAACATAACTGAGTTCCAAATTTTAGTCATGTGTTTGACACAAGCTTGTAACTAAAAGGATGTATAAATAAGAGGACTTTGCGCATCCACCGGCGATCATCACATCACTGCTCACCAGATGTGACTATCTAACATGAAAAAGGACTTAACAGCACTTTTAACAGCACTGTTGGTTAGAACTGCGATTGAAATTTAATATAATGAAACAGGCATCCCAAAATTTCTAACAGGATTCTTCTGAGGGAATAATTGTGTCACTTAAAAGTAGAGGAAATGACTGAAGTTCTGTTTTTTTTTTAAACCGAAAAAAAAAAAAAAATAATAAAAATAAAATAGTGTGTTGAAGTCCCTTTACATGAAAGAAAGAAAGAAAAAAAAAACAATACATGTTACAATGATTAAATCATAGCTAACCCAGTTGTAAAACTATGATATCAGCTGGGGTTGTATTTGTAAGAAAATGTCATAAAATGGCAGCAAACCTACTTGTCCATCATCACTTATCTCTTTAGAGAGGACACCAAGGCTAGAGCAATTTTAACTGAGTGGCAAAAGTAATCTGGAATTGCTTTGTCTTCCCTTTACTTTGCTCTCAGATTGATCCAGAAAATGCACACAACTCTTAATCAATCAGACATAGAAATAAAAATGTAGAACTAAGAACAATTGTGACTTGAGCATTCACATTTTCCTATGCTTTAAGCAGTTTTCTTGTTTTTCACTTTGAGTTTTCAATGGAAAATGTAAATTTTGTTCAGATTGGTCCCTGAAATTACTTAGGTTTTGCTTTTTTGACACAGTTGAAAACAGCTCTAAAATAAATTTGCTAATCTCTTTTCTTTTAAAGCCATCATTGCCGGCCAATTTTTTACTTCACCTTATTGTTGCTTCCATGACAATGTTATTGTTTCTTTTTTTGAAACTAGAGAATTCTAAGTCTAGGAAAAGTACAAATGAAAACTATTGCCACAAGATGTGCTGTTAAAGAACAAATAAAACATCTGTGGACATTTCATGTTCTTCTGTCAAAGGACTTTGTAAATGCACATAATTAATATATAAATTAAAAGCAACTTAGGTTCCAAGATAGCTGATCTTAACCCTTTGACTCCCTTAACTCCCATATATGACCAAGACAGGTTTTCTCCTCACATTATCAATGCAATATCAAGCAGACGAGTGATGGGAATAAAGAAAAATGTCAATTAGAGCATTACTAGTTCATCTAACACCAAATTCTCCAAACTAGCATTAGAAGGATTGTATTGCAGACAGTAAGGAGAGTTACTCAGATGAGATTATGGAGGTGAAAAGGTAAAATGTGTAGCAAGAGTAATCATAGCACTGAAAATGCATATGATAAGAATTGTATGCCAGATGCTAAGGAGAATCACCAGTGAGATCTTGGGAGTGAAAGGGTTTAAGATATTTAACAAGTATTGTGCTATTCCACTTGTTTAAGACAAGAGGAAACCCTTTGAACTAAAAATTTCATATTTTAAGCAAAAAAAAAATGTTGGTCATGTTATAGATGTTCCAACATGTTAGAAACCACAACTAATTTCATTAAGTAACACTTAATCATTTCCACATCCAAAGAATCATAATTATGATAAAAAAGTAAAACATTCCTAATTTTTTTTGTTATTTGATTTTTGTTAGCAGCCTTATGTTTTCAAAGGTATTTCTTTTGTATCAACTGCATTTGACTGAAGTTAACAAAAAAATTAACTATTGGGTAAAATTGGCTTCCCTTCACCAAAGTATGTATTTGTGTGACTGTTTTTCACTCTTCTGTCAAAAACTGTCACAAAGTCAAGGGTATTTACAAGATGCAAACAAGTTATTTGTAAATTTTGTCACAAGCACTACACTCTTAGTAAATGTTGGCTGTAAAATGAAGGTCATGCAATACATGATTATTTTTTTATGGCAGAAAAACTATCATTAGTAATGATAATAATAGTCCCTTAGTCAGATGAGGAGAGTAGACCATGTGTAAGCCTGGTCAGTCACCTCTGAGGCTCTCCGCCTTTGTAGAAATTTCTTTTCTAAGAGCTCTCTGGTGCATTCCTTTTCTTTGGATAGATTGCTGTCATAGCATTTGGCAAAGATTTCTGAAGTCCTGTGGAAAATCCAACCACTTGCTTTTCCTGGAAGGTACACATGAAAGGCAATAGCATAACCTTGGGTCACTTGGTACTTAGAGAAATTAAAATATTAAGGGAAAAATGAAAAAAATATATTCAAACATAAATAAATGCATAACCATGTATAAATATCCAATGTAATGAAACTTTCACAACCCCCAATGTATTCAAGGCTTGTATCTCAACTAATCCCCCTGTGTGACTCTTTTCAGGCACCCTGCCAGACTATTCCCTTTCAAAATGAAGTTCTCACTTTCTGTTTACTGTACACAGAGAATTTGACTTACCTTGGAGGTTGTAATACATAACACATCTTCAATATGAACAAAAACCCCATAGTTTGGTGGACAGGAGAAATAATGAACTCCATCCAAGGATCCACTATGATTTCCAACTAAGATCAAGAAAAGGGTCAGACAATGAAATTTGAGCAGCAGTACTGAGAAAAAAGAACCACAAAAAACTGCCACATGAACTTTTATTAATTATTCCTGTTGTTTATAGCTTTAAATCTTACCTGGTGAATCTAAGTGGAGTCCAATGCAAGATTCTTCCCCATTAACAGGACCAATGTATTTCACTGTACCTAGAAATAAAAGTACAAGCAATTAGCTGCCTAATAAATGATAGCAAAATGTAACTTGGCAATAGTATCAACCATCCATTTTCTATCATTGTTTATGATCTAGGAGACTAAATACATACCACTAAGATGACTTCGTACAACAACATGATCACCAATACTTGGCAAAATCTCTGATCTTAGAATAAAGGAAACCAAAATTGAGACTCTATAACTTACATCACAATGATCCTAAACAACAAAATTATAAGTAATTTTAGGGGACAGTCATTAATAATTAATGCAACAATTATTGTTGCTTGACCGAGGCTGGGGGACTTTGGGGGTGGGTGGGAGTAGTTTTTGGGAGGAATGGAGGGGATCACTCACCCCCAACAGAGTATAAAGGGAGAGCTATATTAATTGACTGACAAGTAATGTTGTCAAACAAACAACTTATTTACCACAATCAAGAACAGCACCACCAAAACCAACAGCAAACAATACTTATAATTAATGGCAATCACTCATACTTATGAGATTTCTTGTCTGTGTGTCCATCTAATGTTACTCTGCTTTCTTCGGCAAGGGCTCTGACACACCCTTGACATTTACATTGGGAATACATTTCATTTGGTCTGATGGGTTGATGCTGTGCACCAAACAACAAATAGATTAGAAATAATTCAGATCATCAGTAATTACCAAGAGCTGGCAATGCTGAATCATCAGTAATTACCAAGAGTCAGCAATGCTGAATCATCAGTAATAACCAGGAGCTGGCAATGCTGAATCATCAGTAATTATCAAAAGCCAGCAATGCTGAGTAATATTATTTTAATCTTGTAATACCTTGTACTTGAAGCTTCAATATCTTAAATATACAATACAGTAACAAACTCCTTTTCACACTTGAAACACGAGTTTCAAATTACACTCACAAAACTTGCATAACACCACAATCTGTCAGGGAACAAAATTAGTATCTGCCTTTCCTGAATGAGCCATCACAATTTTACCAATTAACTAAATTTTACTTTATTAATTTGTTATTTTTTGTGTATGGCAGCAAAATTGGTTAGGTGATGTAGTGAACTATGTGCAGTAAACTTGAATGTAGGAAATTAACTCAGCATGTAGGAAACCAGCATAAATCAGGTAAAATCTCAGTACAAAAAAGGATCAAAAGAGACAAGAACACTTACACATGACCCTTTTGGTGGAGAAGAAAGTGATTTGAATCCTATCCTTCTTTGTTGATTAACTAACCTATGGAATGAGGAACAAGTAACATCAAGTTGATGTCAAATCAAACTGACTGATGTGGGAACCAACACTGAGTCAAAAGAGAAGAAAATGAAATAAACTTCTCTCCATAGATCTCAAATGAAGAGGGAAAATCTCCACCATACAGTGCCACTCACATCTTTTTATTACAGTCCACTAATTGACTTGGACTTTTTGCCTGTGGAATATGTGGCAATTCCACTTGGTGGTCTGCTGAATCCTGCAAATAAATGATAAAAGTAAACACCAGTAATTCATTGACAGCAGTCAGAATGCCATCTGGAGAAACAATTCTTAAGAAGAGAATGTAAAAGGGAACACAGTGCTAATTATACTCACTGTTGGTCTTTTGGCCGCAGACATTGGCACACTGTAAATCAGTAAAAACAAATTTCTGTTAGGAAAAACCATTACTCTTCTTCTGGCTAAGAACTGGTTTAATTGAGATCACATTTTCAAAGTTGTATTTGTCCTTTTGTTTTTAAAAACTGTAATAAACTTGAAGGCCAGAACAAAGAAACCAATGTGACTTACGTATTTGTGCTCCTTTTTTGATGGTCTTGTTGACTCCCAGCTTTTGATACACTTTTCTGGCTTCTAACAATCATCTGTACAGAGCATACATGTGTAAAACAGATTACCATGAAATAGTAACACATTGGTATTACAGGTAACTTCATTTTCTTGGTCAATATAGTAAGTTAAGAAACCTATTTTTTTCTGCCTGGATTTATGGCTTGCATGTTTGGCACTGGAGCCATAAATTCAAGCTGAAAAAATCTTCGTCTGTAACTTAAAGTTCAGACTCGAACCTGGTTGGTAAGAGGTATTTTTATCCAATTAAAATCATTCTAGAAATGAAAAGCTAGCGAATAACATGCTTATTAAAAGGAAAACCTACCCAATGGTTTGACCCCTTTACATTAAGTTTCTCTTATAACCTGAGTTTGTGATGTACTTGTAAGTTGGGTTCCCCGTTCATTTGTTTTTTACGTCCTTAAATCATGTGACCTCAGTGACTCAGAATGTTCTGTGTAATGGTGGTTATTTGGTTGTGTTGTTATCAATACAAACATTGTTATTTGCATGCTATTGCACCACATGTTCAATTGAAGTAATGAGGTCTACAGCAATAAACCACAGGCAGACAACCCTGTGGGTTTGAGGCTGTGTGATTAAAGAAGAAATTCAGTGAAGTTCTGGAGGCTTTTGGCCCAGAACAGTCCCGAACTTGCACCCCTGTGTTTTTCCTTTGCCTTTGGAGGGGCATCAGTGCACAGTGGCAAATTAACCGTCCCGAAACCCCTGAAATCACTTAAGACAACACAGAAAAACAAAGGTTATTGGACTTTATTTATCTGACTGCCATTAAGTGGATTTTGGGGATGAAATGTTACAATTTGTGGTATTAAAGAAACATTTCTCAGGATCACTTGCATCTTACCAAGATCAACCATTGCAAATTACAAACAATGTAAGAGTTTGACTAGCATATCAAATAACTGATGTCACCCTGCCTCAAACCCACAGGGTTGTCTGCCTGTGAATAAACTTGGAGAAATTTACATCAGAGGAATTTTGTTCCTTTGGTCCTCATAGTACCCATCCCTCAACTCAATAGGCCATCAAATTTACATCTATCATTAATAATTTAATTATTTATCTTTACTCTTTTTAACTTACTGGAAGTATAGTTTGTTTCTTCCTCAGTTCCTAAAAGGAAACATATTTGTTGTATTGTTACAATACTGTTACATAATTCGAATTAACAAATTCATTAATTTGGGAAATTTAGACAGGCTGGCCCTATTCATCTTCAAAGTTGGTTTAAAAGCTACACTCCCTACTCTTTGCACAAAGTGCCTGGGTTCTTTAACATTCTCTGTTAACCAGCACTGAGAAGAAGCAGGAGACAGGGCCAAGGTTTACTATCCTTATCTGAGAAGACTACAATGTCTAACCATTTCCAGAAGTCATAGCAAAGGCAGCACATTCAAGATCCTGAGTGTTGGTATAGCCTGGGGCTTGAAGCCCTTGACCTTCCCCATCGCAGTCTAGCATTCCACAACATGAGCTAACCAAGCAGGACCGACATAAATCAATAATCACAAGATTATACCACAAAACTATTCACAAATTGACTGTTTACTATCCCAAAGGTTATTATTGTTAGCTAATAATACTATGACACTCTAAGAGAGAAATTGGTGCACAAGTTGTATTTACCTCCATTTCTGTTCTCATAGAATGCAACTGCTTCTTGAGTCTAATGTTTTCTTTTTCTTAAAAAAATGAAATAAAAGAAAACAATGATAACCATTTAATTATAAATTCAACAAGCCATAGCCTTATTGAGCGCTTAGCCATTATCATATGGAGCATGGAGCAAGCAGATGACAGATGGCAGGGAATCAGTGAAGGATGAAATCAGAATCAACTTTCAAGAACAGATTGCATAATGGTAAGCTTTATGTTATCTATTCAAGGTATCTGCAGACATTGTGCATCAATGAAACAGGGCAGAGCCCTCAAGTTGATTTGCTGCCAAAGATTGAGATTTTGAGCACATAACCATTGATTGTGATGCCACAGAGGGGAAAGGGGAGGAGGAGGAGGGGTGAAGAGGCACACCCCAGTGGAAAATTGTGAATGATAGAAAAGCTAAGATATGTATTCCCTTATTCTGAGCATTTTGTGGAGATAGTCCATGTTACCGGTCCTCTCTTGCCATGGACTTCTCTGTTCAGATTAATTTCATACCTGCATCTGAAGAAACTTCTGTCTGACAAGCAGTAGTGTTTGAATTCTTTATCAGAACCTCCTTTAGTAATGGACTAGTACTGCGGTCTGTCAAGATTGGCTGAACTTGGGTTGTCTAGAAAAGAAATTATACGGTGAAATACAGCCACCTAGACTGACCAATCATAGCATGCAAACCAAGCGAGATAGATGACCTCATCAATTATTGACTGATGTATGATGTGAAGTCTGACTGACTTGTCATCTTGAGCAAGCAATGATCACCACTTTTATACTTGTCCTGATAAGTTGCTTTTAAGTTAAGATAATCCCCCTTCCCTTCTAGCAAGTAGTTTACCAGCCACCTGGAGAATTCATACAGTATGTATTGTTTGCATCTGTGATGATACTCACAACAGACACACAGCAACTTGGAATCTGTTTGCTAAACAAAATGTTTTGATCACAATAGTTTATATCAGCACAGTTTTTAAAAGGTAATCAAATGCTCAACATATAATAGAACTATCTATGTTTGTTGCATTGAATCTACTTGTTTCTCTTCTGAATTCTCCAGTTTATTTTTGAACATGTCTAGCTTTATAACTTGGATTTAGTTCACATTAAATTTTTTTTTCCTTTCGTGACCTTGCAGCACATTATATCTCACCTTAGTTTGTGTTGGGTGTTGATTCTGTGACTTGTTTGATGCAGTAGAACTTATTGATGAAGATCCAATGCACCCACTTCCCTTAGAACCATCTTTATCTCTCATTTTCAGTACTATAACTTGATGTTCAAGTCTGCAAACAATTTTTTTATGAAAGGCTGAACTGTACACACATTTTGATTGTTTCTTACCTATGATCTATTGGAGGACAGACTCATAGATGACATCAACATTAACAAAATTTTGTTTTTTTGTCATATAAATCAAATAGACTTCATGTTGCTGTGAGTCTGTAAAATAACAGATCATAGAAGATATCAGTGAGAACATCAGTGACACACTTGGCTGGGCCTCATGTGCCACTATTTTGTTCTTGCACACAAATGCCTGGTTTAATCAAGAGTCCTGTGTGAAAGCTGCATCTTTCCAAGCAATCAAAAGGACTTTAAGTATTTGTGCCTTGCTACAGACATGAAGCTAAGATGATGTTAATTATATCAATCCAGTAGTAAGCCATACAGTAAGTTTTGGGGAAGGGTTTTCCCAATTTTCTCACAACAAAATTGTCAAAACTACAGAAATAATTAAACATTTGACATGAAAACATTTTTTTTTGGTTTCATGCTATCTAATGACATATTGTATTTGTTTTGTGGTCTAATATATCACATCTGTGTCTCAAGAGTGAAACACATGGTAATTTTTTCTTCTTGGGGTGGCTGCTTATCTGCTGTGATTATTTGCTTCAATACACCTTATTTACTGGAACTTCTAGTGACACTTTGATGACTCCTGAGCATGTTGAAGCATCAAACATGTAGCTCAGGTATGTATTGTTTCTGAGTAAAGACAGAGAAACTGTCTCAGTCAAGCTCTTTGGGGATTTTTGGAAAGGTAAGGAAAGAGATAAAGTGTGCATGGTCATTAATTCAAATGCTAAAGTTTTTTCTAATCCCATAAAATATACAAGGGTGAGCTTCAACTGGAATGTTTCCTTTTGACCAGACGGAGCCTACAGCTCTAACACAACTGGATGATTCCTTCACCTGTAAACCTTTGTGACAGTGTTCTGTGCACTAAACTCATCAATATCTGTCTAAAGTACACTTCTATTTTCATTCATTTTGGTTGTGCTATATCTTTATCACTCTGAAACTGTATTTGCAGGTTTGTTTTTACGCTTCTACCTGTTGTATGATTTTTGTGAATCATGTTTTGGGTTTTAGGAGATCAATGGTTCAAAGTTCATTATTGGTTTCAATTTTTGGATCACTTTGGCAGCTTTGTAATTGTGCTTAGCACATAAATTGCTGTAATATCAATAGTTGTGTTTGGGACATGAAATTTAAATAACTAGCCCTGACATTCTTTTTTGTGCAAGACAATTTTTTTTTGTGCAAGACATCCTTTTTTTTTCCCTGCAGGAAGTGATTAGGCAGGGGGAGTGTCTCATGAGAAAAGTGTCATAGTCTACAGTTTAAGTCCAATTATCCCCATCGTCTGCTGTTTTTTTTTTAAATAACTACAAGTATGATTACATTATTTTGTGGTAAGAGAAGCTTGCCTGAACAGTGGATACTTGTATGTACAATTATAATATCCCGTCTTGTGAAAAGAATATTTATTACTTGTTATAGTCATTTCAGAGATGTTTTCAGAACACTGAAATATGAACCAAGAACTATTAGGGGCATAACCCTCAACTATTTCTGGCATGTTTTAAGAAAAATAGAACCACCTTATAATGAAACCTATTAACAGTGGTTCATTTAGCATTGCAGGAACACATTCATAACGGAACATTCACATGAAACAAAAGATACCAACTCGCTCAATCTGAAAACAAAAAACTTGCCTGAGATCTAGTCTGACTTCATTTGTTGTAGTTACCTAACTGTTCTGCAGTTAACAAGATAACCTTAAAACATGCCTTTTTTTATTCAATGCTGGAGCAATCAATGCTAATTTATCAGGTCCCATGGAATGAAGAATTAATCTGTAACTGTTGCATAATTACAGCCTACAGTTTGGAGTTCTTTTTTATTAGAACATGAAGAAGAAAACATTCCCAATCTTTTTTAGAGGTTGAAAGTTGTAACTTTACCCAACTGAACTTTTCAAGACTGGGACACTTCTGATAAGAGAACCTAAAAAATGAGGTGAATTTAAATAAGGACAAAGTTCACTGGGTAAATAGTTACAGGGTTGTAAATAAAAAATAACAATGGCCCAAACGACCTGGAAAAAAAACAGGATATTTTTTCCTACAATTAAATAGGATTCCAACAATAAATCTGCTTTAAAAGAGAATAGAATAACCACTTCGTGCAGAGACCTATCTGTTCGGAATTTCATTTCAATGTCCTTTCAGAAGTAGAGTGTAACCTAGTATCTCCAAAGTATTTCTACTGGTATGTGTGCTTTCAATGGTCTGTCATTTTGGTGTGCATTCGTCTCTAAAGCTGATTTCCAATAGAATGTGGCTTTCTACAACATTTATAAAAATGCTGTATCAAAGAAAATCAGCTGATCACACTGAAATTTTACTGCTTTCTTGTAAAAAAAAATAGGAAAATTTAATCTCTGATAGCACAGCCTGATATGATTGGAATAAATATTTTTTTTCACTGCCTTTCAGGTAAAAAATTCCAAATATTAACATGAAGCAGAAACAATAATCTTAGTATTATGATGAAGTAATTTTGACTAGTATTAAATCTATTTTTATTCTCAACATTTTTTAATGTAAAAAAGACTTTTAGAAGGACCAGACATAAAAAAGTGTTACTTTGGGCAATGATAGTCTATCCCTGCGGGATAGTAATATCTCCCCTGAGCTCATCAGCAGATAAAGTAGTTTACTTTTATAAACAATCAAGGTAATAGTTTGAAATTTTCAATGAGAATAAATTGAACTCCAAATTTGAAAAAAAGAGAGAAACATTCAGAAAAGATGAGATTATAGCGCCATGATCAAGTGTGGATTTTGATTTGATCTAGACTTCTACGTACAATTTGGAAAAAAAACAATCCATTTCTTGAACTTGCACAAGCATATCACATTTCGTTACCTGAAGTAAACAAGTTCATTTTTGACAAAGGGCAATCTTGAACTCATGAAGAGCATGCAGAGAAAAAAAATAAGGTTTGGACATTTTTTATCAACCTGGTGGTTAAAATCACGGTTCCCTATCGCTGTAATTCACGTTCGCCTCCCAGTCTCGACGATTCTTTATCAAAAAGGCGAATTTGTGACCAGCCGTGGCATTTGTGATTTGAGTTAGCGAGGGAAAAATACGTCCGCATTTTTATATTGCGTATAGTTTATGGATCATCTCAACACGCACACGAAAAAAGCTTTTCAGAAATCAAAAGCCTTTGATCCCACAATGGAGTCTGTTTCTCGGCAGATTGAGGTCACGTACGGAGCAAATGCTTGCAATCAGTCAAATACAAGAAAGTCTAAACAACATTCAGCGATTCCCATTGTTTGCCGTGGAAAGTAATTTCCGGAATATTCTACAAAGGATCATTCGCAACATTTCACACGAAATTGTTTATGATGCTGGACACTGAGTAATTGGAAAAACAATTTTCACCTCCGCCTAATTTTCTTTTCAGGGTCAATTTTGATTATGGATATCCAATATTGATGGATGCATACCGCTTTCAACGTAAGCATTTCCATGACCTTTTGTCCTCCAACCTTCGACATCAAAGGATTCCACTCACACAAAAGAAACTTGAAACTATTAAAAATATCCCTTTCCTGAGACGCACAAAATCGTTTGCATGCATCAAAAGTCATGAACGGAGAACCTTCCCTTGCACTTTCAATAAGTTCTCAGTAAACGTCCACGAGGGAATTTTATCTTACAACACAAAAGTAGAACAAAACACCTTTTAATTAACCAGTTGACGAGGTAAAACGCTGGAATCACAACACCCGATTGAAGTGCTTTAACAATGGCCAGTAGAAACTTATTGTTCTTACATAAGAAAGCGGAACGACTTTTATCGCTGAAACATTAAAATAGGCCTTTCTTGCCCATACTGCAGCTTTCATTCGCAGGGAATCGTCGAAGCAGATATTGCTACCCGATCACATTGAGTAAACATCGGGTTAATTGCATATTTATGTGGAACTAATAACCTCTTGAAGATTTTTTCTTTACAAATACAATCCATTTCCCTCTAGTTCCTCAGGAAATACAGTATAACTCCCTTCGTAATCGTTAAATAAGACCTACAACGGGAATTTCAGCTGTGTCAAAATAGAAAACTCTAAGCTTCAGCAATTAAAAAGCTAGCAAGTTGGAAAGTGGTGTACACATTTAGAGCTCGCTACAGGGCTTTCTACAAAACGTGCAGAAACTCATCGATGCTCAAGGGCTTTTGTAAGATTAATGGCAAAACCAAGAAGCTCTTAAAAAGTTTTAATAATTATTATGCCAACTAAAACATAATATAAATGATCGTACCTGCTGATGTCGTCCAAAAGTTTAGCGACTTCTGTGCAAAGGGAAATTGCTCCCTTCATCCTGTGCTTTTTCGCCGTTGCGTTCAATACAATTTCCACAGCCTGCCTTACAGTTTCTCTGTTCCCTTTGAAGTGCTGAGCGGCGTTTCCTTTAAAATAAAAAATAATTTCGTAGATGAAGTTTTTCTAAAGTTTTGCGACTCTCAGTCAATATATCTCTGATTTCCGCCCCCAAGTTTGTATAATTTCGCTCACCTACTAAACTTTGCTCGTCAACTGAGAAAGACATGGCCTCCATTGGAGAATCATTATTCGTCAACTTCGGATTTGAGAGAAGACAATCTGTGCGATGGATCCTCCTAGAATTTCTTCGTGAATAACCACTGCCTCCGCTTTCACTGCTCGTGGAATCAGTCATGTCACCAGCATATGCCATGTACTAGTCGCTTGCCAAATTCAGTACGTGACTTTTCAAAGGCTTGTCATTCGAGTCGTGCATATTCATAACAGGTTTAACACAAAATCCTCACGATATAGCTACAAGAAGTTTTGTCAAAAATCATGTATCACCTATGGAAAAGAAATCAAAGGAACTTATTATTACTCTGGTTATCGTTCCCTGAAGCAAATTGCACGCTGCCCACTTCCGAGTCAGGATTTCTTTTTAACTGGGCGCATTGGGGGCTTTATTTGGAGAACAATACTGTATGAGCCCGCGGTACAAACCGTAATCTACACTCGTCCACTCGTCCTGTAGAAACTCGAAATGGCGGGTAAGTCGTGAAAAAATCCAGATATTTGAAGCTTAAAGCTAAATTTGCCATCAATTTGATTAAAGAACTTGTTGTTAATGAAATTAAGGAGTTTATTCTGGAAAGAAATCGCCAATTTTGGAAATAAATTCAAGCTCAGTTTAATGGTATGGTTGGCAACTGTGAACCAAATACTGTCTTCATAGTCTTTGAGAGAATATTGAAATCAATATTTTTATTCAATTTGGCGGCCAATGATTGTTGTATGAATTGAGTGTAGTATATTTTTAATGACTGTCTTCAAAGAAACCAAATCAATACGATGAATATGAATCTTGTACGCGGTTGTAATCACTAAAATAATTTGCTCATAATCTGAACCCGTGTACACTAAAGAGTCATTCACGCTTGAATCAAACATCGGTAGCACCAAATAGAATTAAATGTGGTCGAAATTTTTTTTTAAATACCATTACTGAGGTGACAGAGACATAACCAGTTCTGGATGGTTTAAATTCGTCGTGAATAGTACTATGGCAGTCCTAACTGTATCCATTTACAATAGTGAAAGTTTATATATCTATGTGGTTTAAGTGTAAGATGAGCAGCATTTTAATATGGAAACGTGTTTGACATGGTAGAAGAATTAAGCTCTATGCAATGTTGGGTTGAAGGTACCTCTGTAGAAAATTATTGAAGTAAACACTCCTGAACTAAAGTGATCAATGTTATGTTTCTCCCCCCATTAATATATACTGTGCTATATTGTAAAACTTACTATTAGTTGTGATGGATTCATGGAAAATTTCATTGTTAGTTTAGGTAATTGGAAATGACTATGTATTAAAATCTTGGTAGATAACTTTGCCACGGGTTGACTAGAAAACAGCTGATTCTTAAATTACCTATCAAGTTTCTGAGTAGCTGAAATCATGCAGCATGATTGATCTATTCTACAAATCACATCTGATGTACTTATAATGCTTATAGCAACTAATATAAAAATCAAAGCAGGGCATTGCTTCAGGTGGGTGGTTGATGAAGTTCTGGGAGTATTTCAGGGGTCACAAAACCACAGAAAACTAACGCGTCGGCAATTTGTTGACAAACAATGATAACTACTACTCACCCTAAATTCCACCAAGATACAACCAAAATTTGCTATAATATATTGATCTTGTTTGTGCTTTTGGTTATGCATAAATCAAAGAATTGCAAAATGTTTAGATCATGCTAAAAGCAAGGAATCTCTCTGAAGAAAAAGCACACCAATCTTGCCTTTGATACGTATATGGTGATGTAAAAATGATGCTAAGAGGTCCGATTTCAAGAACAATAGGAGATAAAAAACATTGATAAATGTTGCAACCAAGATCAAAAGAGCATGAAATTGTGCAATCAAAGTAGTTGATAATTGGCATATTCAAAAATAGGTCATCTGGCTTGTATCCATAACAGTGATGGTAGGAATAGAATAAGACTTGAAATTGCAGCTCTAAAATCTGCATCAATTGCAAATGGATACTTTTTGTTATGTATAACGTCTTATTGCACTAATGTCCCAAAGGAAAAGAGGATTTTTGTCTTCCAAGTATATAGGAACATGTAGGAAGCATGTGGTTAGCAATACTGACTTGAGCCATGTAATCTTGTTAAGAAGTTTATGCATTTGTGTATACAGCTATTTGTTATTTTATTTCACTATTGAACCTGAAGTAACAAATCTCTAAGACGCCAAGACTGAAATGTATTCTTAATGACTTAGGAATGAAATGTTTTGACAGTTCCTTGGCACAGGTTTATATCATAGTGGTGCATAAAATGCATGCCGAGTTGAACATTTCAAGACTTAAACAACTTACAGTCATCTAGGTGTGTTATACATGAATAGTAATGGTAATTTAATTCTCGAATTTGATGTATTTATAACATTTGATTTAAGTTTATGTGTTACTTTTTATTCCATTTGTTTCTTGGAGTCACAGAATATCAGTAAGGTCATCGCTTTTCTTCGCATGTCTTAACTGGATTGAGTTGCACGATAAACTGTTGGCAAATTGTCGGTGACTATCTGTTACCTGTCCTACCTGCTTATGATTTATGTTTTAAAATATTTTCCTATATTTGGACTTTTCTGGTTGCCCTTTAACTTCTCACTTAGACCTCTGTAACTAATCCACCAGAAATAGGAGAACATCGATTTAAACAGATTTTGGTAATTACGTCTAATGCATTAAATGGGAGTGACCAGGATCAAATGACACATTTTGTAAAAGATGGTAAACACTCTTTAATTGAATGCTTGTTGAGTGATATGATGCAAATTTGGAACATTTTTACTTCTGATCTTGCTATGAAGCTACATTTCAGGAGAAGGGCACTCTTAGGAGGGTTCTTCTTTCCAGTGGAGGAAATTTATTTCATAAAAAATTATGATCAGGAAAATGTGTTACTAACCAAACTTGTTTCATTTGTTAGATTCAGCTAATTTATCAAAATCAGCCTTGAAGAACAAGAAAAGGGCAGAGAAACGATCAAAAGCTCGAACGGAACAGATTAAAGAAAATGGTGGCATTCTAGAAGCAATGCAAATGAAGGATCCGGTTGATCTTTTGAGAGAACAACTGCAGGAAGCAAAGAACAACAAGGTATAAAATGTGAAGACATTATGATGTACCCAGGGTTGTCAGGCTATGTGTAGGCAAGGACTCTGGCATCCGTCGAAATTACAAATAGCTGGGGCAATTTTTAGAGTCGATGATGATGTGCCAGTTGCTAGCATATTTTGACAACCCTGTGCAACCATTCTCTTTGGGATATTCTTGGAAATATTTTTGGTACAGACAAAACAAAAATTTGGATCTCAAAATTATCAGTGGCAAAGAAAAGAATTCTTTCTTTGGTTATCACAGCACCAAATGACGAGAGGGCTGATTCCCCATGACTTCTGAAATGTGTTATCTAAGCTGGGTAAAGTTCATGAGTGGGGTTAATTTGGAGGGGCTAGAAGCTAGCAACTGAGTATGTTAATAAAGGTAATAACATGATTTCAAGTGCAATTTGGGTGTTAATAAGCATAGGTAAATTTTCTAAGACCACAAAATTACACGAGTCCTCAGGGCACGTGCAATTTGTAGTCTTTGAAGTATTTAGAAATGCTTATTACACCAAATTGCACGAGAAATCATGTTGTTACTTGTTAATAATGTACATCAAAAAGCATGACAAAGTCAAGACAGATATAAATTTTGACAGCATGTACCATTTATAATATGCACTCATGTTACAACTTTGCACTCATGTTATGCAAGAAAGCACTAGTTTTCAGCCAATCAGAAGTCCATAATTTTTTCATGTCTATTTTAAGCAAATTGACACTGTTTAGCTGGACAAAACAAAAATGAAAGTTTAGAGCTATGGTAATAATACATTACGTTCTTCAACACAATACAACTACCAAGGAATTTCCAATCCTTACTCAGCGTAGCGACTCCGTTTCAAACATTTTGTCGTGGATTAGCTAGTGACCCTAAAAGCCTGTCAGGCATTACTGTGTAAACATGAAAGGAATCCAACACAATTCTTTCATGATCCACTTACATAAAATGACCTTCGTGACTAAAAACAAAATCAATAGTGCATAAATGTGTGTCATCTTTTGACTTTTGTTGGAGGTCAAAGGAGAGTTTGTATAGTTCATGCAATTAATTTGATCTCTTGACTTAACCACTACAAGTAAAAAATATCCTAAAGTGGGAGGTTAAGTCTTCTTCCTCTAAAATTCTTAGAGTGGCCATGTGCCTGCTTGGCTAATATTGTACTTGTCAAATACTGTTCTTGTTGAACTAGCACCTTTTAAAATAAGTGAAAATTGTTTAACCAGAAGCTTACGAAAAATTTACCAAGAAATAAGCCTCTTCCGATTTACTCATGTTTAGTCCAAAATGAAAGGATTTTAATTAGATTCTTAAATAACCTTGGACTGATTGGATGAAGTAGATCTTGCTCTCTTTTAATTAGTTAAAGATAGACTCTGTTGACCATTGTTATCTCACGGAAATTTTTATGGAAACATAGAATGCTTGAACTAAATTGTACCTTCTTACATTCGAAATGTGTTTTTCTTCTATAGCCAGCATCTTTTTTTTAAAGGAAAAATTGATTTCAAGCTTGGATTTGATGTCTTCAGGAAAAAGTGAAACCTTCACAGTTATTGAATATGTGATTCCTCAAAACATTTGATGATACTAATGTAGACGTAGAAATTGCGATGATTACTAACTACCACAATTTTTAAGGTTTTCATTTGTGGTCTAGAAAGTCAAGAATTATAACACATCATACTTCGGATTGGAAGAGAATGGTTCTATAAACAACTTTCCTTGAATAGAACAATCTTTAGGTGTGTCCAAAGACCACTTAGTTTGCTTGAAATCTAAGTTAGAAAAACTTGGGTTCTAGAAATCTGTAAAAAGGCAAATACTTGTCTTATGTAATCAGGCTGTTGATTCTGGTCTTATGTAATCAGGCTGTTGATTCCTTACATAGAAAACATCGGAAATCAAGGGAAAAATTGGTCCCTACATGAAACAATCAAACCACCGCCCAGAGTGTATTTCGCCAATTTGTTTGTCAACTGAAATGTATCATGTTTTACTTACATAGGATCATAAACTTGCAGCCAGGTTACGTCAACAGTTGTGGATAGCCCAGGACAGTGCAGCTGGTGTCAGGTGAGATCCGAATGGATACTTAAATCAAGAGTGTTGACTTCATACTGTGAGCATACCTGAAAAACTGCACGCTTACAGATACGCTTTCTACGGGATCACCCGTAGTTGAACCCGATCCTGTCAGATAAATACTCACGTTACACTTACAATGATTGACGGGTTCGTATTTTATTTTTACCTGATTTTGAAAGGAGAAGGCGATATATGAACACATCTATTTGCCTTGGTGTTTAGCCTGAAACAACCCTTCACCCATACCCTGATAACTGCGATCATAAAATGACAGCTTATGTGGGCAAGGGTTATTCAGGGCTAATAGTGTGTGTTTGTAGTTTGGTTTGTGAAATTTTTATGAAACAATTCTTGTGGAATTCTTCAGACAGATAATACTCATAGATGAAAGATCTTCAGTTTTTTTGCTTCTATTAATAAAGGAGGACGACCGGGCGTGCTCGCGTGAACAGTTCGCTTTTTTAAATTCCAGATTGATTTGAACTTGGCCTAAAAATGTGATGTAATTATATCCCATCCTCCAGTAAGTTCTTAGTCATTATTAGGTATCACCTCGCATGATGCAGACAGACTTCTCTTCAGAGATTCAATCAAATAATAGCATTTTCCGAAGTATGAAATCTGTAATTGCATTAAGTGGCTGTAGGTTTCGTTTATGTCGAGTACTTTTCGTTTTCTTCCCCTCTACGTGAAGGCATGCGTTGTCTAGAACTTTATTTATAGGCAACCGAGGCTAGTTTTTACATCTCAGCTGGAGGTATCAATCTATCTTTAGTCACGAACAAGTCTAGCCATTCACTACACGAAAAAACGGGAAAAAGACAGAAGTAGTGGCACAGGAATATCGATATTTCCTTCCAATTTTTTTATCTACTTTAGTAAGTTATGCCTGCCCCTTCACTGTTCAACAAGTATAAAGCGATTGAAAACAGTTCATTCTGCCATGGCTTGACAGTGAAAGAACAAATAAACAAAGTAAGCGGCATTCAGATGATTCGTGTCTGATATAACGTTGAACTATTATTGTTTCAAGTATTGAGTATATCCGGCTTCCAACATGCAACCATTCGCGTTTCTACCCGAGCTAACTTCATGTCTACTTTGTTGTTTTCTATGTTGCCTTGTCGTTATCGTTTTGCTTCTCCATTTGCGCATTACGTGTTCTGGTTAAGTGTTTTTTATTTCAGCAGATGTTATCATTATTTGATCTTTTACTAGGCAGATGATTCTCGCAATTCAATCGGTCAAAGTTCAAAGTTAATGCTTGTCTCTGCAGCGTGTGAACAAAAGCGAGCAGTGTTGGATTTTGGTAGATAATCTATGTGCCTTTTGTGTTTCATTCACTCTTCATCAATCTAAAGGTTTTGAATTTTAAAAAACTTCATGGTTTCTACTTTTTCGTTCGACCTTAAGTCATCGTTTATATGATCAGCGTGCCTAAAAAGGTTATCTCAGCTTCTGATATCATGCCCTACCTAGAGTAATAAGTTTATCTTTCGAAAAATCGCTCTAAACGAGATATAAAAAACACCCTGCTGTTTAAAATTCTGCTCACGGTTTTCTGAGATTCCCTTCAGCATGCAACTTTCCTCAAAGATTTCAGTGGCTTTATTTTTCAACCGCCGCGTGATGTAAAGTTTTCTTTTGCCTGATGATTGGTTTGATTGACATAAACACGTGGTTCGAATCTTTGGGAATCACGAATGTGCCTTGTTCAGCAAAATGGACTGACACGTCCGTTGTGGAATAGTTTTAAAATGCTGATCAAATCTTGTCTTTTTTCAGACAGAATGCGTCGGACATGAGAACTAAACACACGAGCATTAGAGGGATTTTTAAGTTTTACGAAAGCTTAACCTCTCAAAGCCATTTAAGGAATGTCCCTGTCTTTTTTGACATGTGGTTCATTAGTTGTCCAAGTTCTGTGTACGTGACCGGCCCGACCACAGACTTGGAGAGAAAATACTATTTTTTTCGGCGCGGGTAAGGGGTTGTTTGGGCCGGGTGTCTGCCTTCATCTAAATGGCATGCATTGGCTTATAATTTTCATGATTTTTCTCCTTGTTTTAAACAACACGATGAATTTCAATCCCTGTTTGATTGTTTGATTGTTTGATTTGCTTTAAATGATATAAAAGAAGATGGCATTTGTTCTGATGCACAATACAAAATTACGTGTTGTACAAGTAAATATTCGGGACCTTAAGCAAACCACGAAGGCGACGGCAACGAGGTCGTGACAAAACAAGAGGTCTAAAGAACATAACAATAGCACAGCACGTGCGTTTTCAAACTTTGTACATTTCTTAGCCTTCTTCAGCAAAACAACAACTTGAATTCACAACAATTTGCGTAGCCCGACTGCAAGTTGTTATGGAAGTTTCCATTTGCTATCGTAACTTATGCTGAAACTGAGCTGTGGCGAAGTAAGAGAGGATAAACACATTCAACCATTCGCGAAATTCAAACTTTAGTTACAAATTTATTTTTGAACCGACGTCTTCCTCAGCGTTACCGTCCAGACTGCCTTAGTGTAACACAACATCGTGTTTATCCCTCTTGTTATTTAGGTATTTTAGATATTACAATTTATCAGATCACACAGATTTTGTTGTCTTGGTTCGTCGGCACCAGATTCACCACCGATCTATCGTAAGTTTGATACAACTTTACACTTGTGAAATTTTCAATGCTCTTTACTTCGAATAAACTCTTTTAAAGAGAATTTTTTGTGGGGAGAGCTCCTTTGTATTTTAGCGCCTGGGAAGGTTATTCACATAATTTTTTTTCTTTATAAAATGGTCGATAAGTCTGAAAATAACGTTTAGTAATAAGCAACAGCCAACAACGATGGGTAAATATTTCTGTTAGTAATATGGGCACAACTCACTCCCTAAACAAATATTGCACAAATCAGAAATAGAAAGGCCAAAATTTCGCATCAGCAGCCCGTCTTTTCACTGTACCATAAATATTTCTTAGAGTTATTAGTTATTCTCGAATCAATGTGGTAGCATTTTCATGACGGTTTCTGAAGCAAGCTAATGAGGAAAATTTAGAAAATAACCTTAAACCTGGGGCAAGGAACATGACATCTGAGAAATATGAGTGATGTGGGGCGAGCTAAAATTGAAACATGATGAGAGGTCCAAAAAAAATGTGGAACTTACCTGTGTGTAGCTCATGTAGTTCTGAGCACGTTTTCGTTCAAGAGTTGTTTTGTACGAGACTCTTGTCACAAGAAAATACGCTGATCCGGATTTTTGTCGTCACAAATGACGAAGTCATCAAATTCCGTTCATACGTAAGTCTTCACTCATGGGTGATACCCCTCACAAGGGGTCGGGTGGAGAAGGGAGGTGCCTCTTTGAAATTGAACAGGACATTTATTGATCAACTAGGCAACAAGACGCGAGGTAGTTGTTTCGCACTGGTGAGATATTTGTGCCGATAACATTTGTTTTGAAACTTTTTGTTAGAGACCGAAACCAGGTCTAAAACACCACAATAAATCGTTCAGTTTTCTGTACTAATGATTGTTAAAGTTACAGAGTTATGTTTCACATCAGTGATTCTTTTAGACTGAGCACGTGCGCAGTCTCAAGATGATTTGTGATTTCGTTCACGTGACGTATATTGCATCGCGTGTCGAAGGGTTGGAAATTTGCAACCCTGCTGCACGCAATGAAATCATCAGGAAATTAACCAAACCACGATATCGACAGGGGTGCAATACAGTAAACAAGTGGCTGATGAAACACATTTCCGAGCTATGTTTTCAAGGAAATTAAAAAAAAAGGCGGCCTGTGTCTTGTAGATTCACCTATGTACAGATTGATACGACTTACGGTGGTTTCGCCCCATTGCAAGTTATCTCTTACCATCTTTGGGAGATTCCCCCATAACGTAAAACAAGTTCGCCCTCTCTTAAACAGTTGGCCCCGAAATCTTTCGACTCGTTTTCTTACCAGAGAACGTATTCATTTCCTGTTGAAATCGTGACATGTTTCGACCAACATGACATGACATGACATGTTTTGACCGACATTTCACTTCACAGCGAAACCAGAGCAAAGTTCGATCAACATGCAAATTCCTAACCGTGTTAACTGACGCATGATAAGAAACGAGTTGAATGATTTGGGAGCAAACCCGTTTGACGTTGGGGGATAACTAGCCAGGGTGGTTCGGAGAGAACTTGTTATGGGGCGAAACATATAGTTATCATTGACACTAGTTCGATAAATATGTGGCGAAAGGTTGTGATTGCCTTTAAGTCCAACCTTCTTTTTCGCTTTTTGTGTTTCTATGTTTCAGCATGAAGGAGTTTGAGATGCTAGGAGCTGATACTTCAACGTGCTTTGAAACAAAATTTGTCCAAGAAACAAAATCGGTCTCTGAATCACCGCCTTCAGTCTTAGAAGCCAGCGGTCTTACCCCCACAGAGAAAAGACTACGAACTCTGAAGAAAAAACTGCAGCAAATCGAATCAATAAAAGAAAAAAGAGAAAAGGGAGAGGTTTTGGAGACAACACAGGTTAGTTGTTCGTCGCCAGTTCACCAAATGTTTCCATACAAAGTGGATTATGGTGAAACTAGTTTCAGATTATATACCAGTGATTATTAATTGCCTGAAGGGGGGGGGGGAAGAGTGGAATGAGGGAAGGGAGGGAGGGGGAAAGAGGAAGATTTTGGGGATCACATGACATTCAGGGTGAACGGAGAGGGGATCAGTAGTCGCCAACAGAGTGTAAAAGGAGAAATATAGAAAATTGACTGCCAATGACGGGGGGACCATAAAAATATTACAGAGCCTTACGGTGGATCAGGCGAGCGACAAATAACCAGCATTTCCTTTGTGAGTTTGTTGGAGTCAGTTGTATTTTAAGAACTCCTTGCTGCCGCCCTCTTTTATGGCGTACTTTTCACGTCTGTTTTAAACACGATTTCTATTACTGTTTCATTTTTTGTTTACAGCTCGACAAGATCGCAAAAGAACAAGAAATTCTTGACGAACTCAGAGAAATTGAGTCGCTTTTGACAGGTAGCTAGTGAAACTCGCATAGTTATTCATAGACTTTGAATAAAATATTTTATTGATTATAAATTGAATAATTCTATCAAATCGTACTCTTGACTAGTGGCTAATATTGCGGTTGAAATGAGAAGCTGGGAAGCTCTGTTTTTGCTACGTTTTTTCGACTTGCGTGTTATGCATGAACTGAGAATTTTTTTACTGATCATCACTAGAGGCCTTTTTACCCAACTACTCATCGAGAGATTTTTTTCGTGGGGGGGGGGGGGGGAGAAGTGGTCTACTTGAGAAGATAAGCTTTTTCCAATGGGGAAGTGGGTATGGGGGCAGTTGTGGCGTTGCACGAGGTAATTGTACTAAACCGTTACTTAACCTCACTCGTGCATCAAGTAAGGCTTAAAACTAAGGGAAAGTGGCGATAAAATCGACACACAATGAAGCAGAAAAACAAACAGATCTCAGATGTCCTCTGTAAAGTTTTTTAAATGTCTCCTCATTTTTTCGGTTTAATCAAATAAAATGTGGTGATCGATTGTTTTTTCCGTCTGGTTGTTAATAGCTACTCGAGTTTAATACTGTTTACGTGTAACCAACACTACAAATAGAACGTAAGTAGATTAGTAGAAGAGGTAGTACTTTGAAAAGCGGTATCAGTCTCAATGTTTGTCTATTGCCTCTTTGTTGTCGCGTATGATTGTGGAAGATGCACAGAAGCTTTGATTGTCTGCTTGCCTGTAAAGTATCTTACAGTGAAGGAAACGGCAATTATTTTGCAACCAATCAATTGTACGACAGTCAGTTTGGCTTTCATAAGTGAATGTACCATTGTACAGAATTGTTGAAGTACATTGTCAAGATTTTTTTTATCGTAAAGCTCTTTTGATCTTTCTGGCATTTAAAAATGTAAAGTCCTTATCAAACTTAACATAGCCTTTCTGGTTAGTGGAGACAGAAACATGAAAAATAAAATCGTGGTTTGTCTTTTTCCTTAATTCTGTTAGCTACGAGCCTTACTTTGTGGCGCAAATGTTTACTTTTCATCGCAGACTCATGAGGTCCTGCCTCTTGCTAGAGTTAAGAGGTCAACGTTTTGCTTGAGAGAAACATTCATAAATACATATTACGGTATAGTTTGAAATATAACACACACGAATATTTTGCTATTTTAAGATAGGGACGATGGACAAAATGTCCGCGCATGCTTGATGTTAAACCATTTTGGCTTCTAGTTTTCGATACACATTTTGCATGAGGTGCATGAAAAAGATGAAAGAAACACAATACAAACTATTTAATTGTCCGTCATGATGAAACAAATATGTTTCAGGAAGAGTTCGGCGCTTAATGAGTTAGTCAGTCGGCGCCTTAAGGACCTAAGCGAGTCAAATTTTTTTAATCGTTTCCTTTGAGTTTGGGCATTCTGTTTCTTTGCTTACCTTCCGTGTTTTTTCCCTGTTCGGTAGTGTATCATCGGCTTATACTTTGCGTGTTCTCCTGTCCTAATATGGCAAAATGGCGCATTAGTGGAATAATAATATGAAAATAATGTATTACTCATAAAGACGCAGTTGCCTTGTTCTTTTATCTCGTTATCTATCAGCCTCGCATTGTGTCCACAACAATCAGGTGCAGTGAAGAGTCGAGAAGCGCCTTTTGCTGGGAAAATTCCCTGCGCGTACAGTAGTCGGCTCCTTCACTCGCGAAATGAAATATACTTATTAGTCAATATTTCATCACAAATTCGTATTGCCAATCGATTAATACGCTCGCGAATGAATTTCGAACGAGTTCTATCTCTCCGTTTGACTTGTTTTTGTATCTCAGCAAATGTTCTAACGTAGCTGAAGACGAGATTAGCATGACTGACAGAGGAACTGAAAGAAAGCTTTGGTTTGATAGCGTGCCATATACACAACGGATATATGATATGTACATAGTTATGACTCGATACTTGAACATACTAATATACATAAGGACTAAGAGTAAAAATTCTGTTTGTAAGAAATCTGCCTGTTCACCCGGAAAAGTGGCCAAAACTGATTTGGCACGGCCACCTGCACTAGTCTGCCAGGTGAAATCAGTCAGTCAGTGTGGGAGTGTTTTGATGACCTGGGTTTAGACAAAAACTGCAATGATACAGCACTCAAATGCGTTTCGCTGACAAGACTCAGACATTCGATAAGACTTGAGCTCCGTCTACTATCCTCTGGCTCTTGAGCGGCGAGTCCTTCGAGCCCGCAAAAAAATTCACGTTATCAACCTGTGCAAAAAAAAAAAAAAGAGTGGAGCGGAGAGGGCACCTACCACTGAACTTCGCTTAGGAGAAGACTGACGAAAGAAGGGTTCACCTCTCTGTGGAAATGCTGGTTTGAAGTCATGTGATCTAAGGTTTCTTTTTGTGAATGATTTTGATGTGGTATTTTCAAGAGTCGGTGTAAACTATTGGATAACCTATGACTAACAAAATCCGCAAAGGATAGGTAAGTATTTCTTAACATCACCTTTATTTGAGAGGGTCAAAGGAAAGGAAAAAAAAAACAAAAAGATCAATCGGATAATGTTACATGCTCACCGATCGCAAAGGTCGCCAGACAATTTTAGGTCTTGACATGGGAATACCGTGTTAAATGTAAGGAAAAGGTTGGGCTCTGGCACCTGCGTGTCAAGAGGTTCACCAATTACAAGAGTCAGCCACTTAAGGCAAATGTGTCACTACACTTGATCTTCTTAGAAATTGGGAGAGAGGAACAGTTCTCTGCTCTCAAAGAAGGTGTATGATGCAAGCAAGTCAGAGAAAAGCACCGTAAAATCGAGATTACGGAACAGGATGCTCTCTTTGAATCATTTCTGCTAGATATGAAAAGAAGCAAACAAACAAAGGATATTTTGCTGAGCCTAAATGGAAAAGACTGAATGGGGAATACACATTACGATTGAGCAATGACAGATACACCGCAATTATTGATCATTTTCATCGGGGTTGATCCCAACCGGCATGAACAATACAGGCAATCATATTACCTAATCTAACCAAGACTAATCCGGAAGGGCGTTTTTCAATGAACTCGTAAGATGATTAATTTTCACCAGAAAAAAGGGATTCAGTCCGAAATATTTAAAAAGGAGGTGGAGTAACAAGCTTAACGGTTAAACTGTACGGGCCAAAATACGTAAGTGAAACCTGTCTCGCGTGACTCTTTGTCAGTTTTTAAAATAGCACGAGAACATTCCATCTCCTTGAACAGGCTGCGGATGATTTGTCCCCTAGAGGATATGTCATGAAGGAGTAAGTGTTCTCTCTCAACATCTCAGACCATATCAGCATCTGGCTGGCCTCCATCGGGACAACACTGCATGCACGTGTAGGCCTTTTGTCAACACATGGAAGGTTGAAGCACGTTATTAACAGCTATTGAGCAACTCGCTTATCTTTCCAGTGTTGACGTTGTTTGAAAAGCTGTTCAAACTTTCTAATGTTGCCCAAGGTAGTAAGGCAGTTCAAGCGGAATATCATCAACCCTTTAACCCTTGAGGGTGACTAGCATCTAATTTCTCCCAACAGTATAACCCTTGCATCACACAGTAAAGTCATGAGAATATAGGAAATGATCCCCAACCAAATATTCTCTTAATTGATGAACAAATTCTCATTGTCAGCACCTTAGGAAATGAATAGAAAACAGTATGGAGAGTGTGCATTCTGATGTTGGGGTGTAAAGGGTTAATTATCCGATTACTTCGACGTCTCTTGAGTATCTAACAAGTTGTAAATCTTTGTATTGTTTGTTTGCGGTAAGTAACACCAGCATTCGATGAGCCAGCGGGGGTATTATAAGTGAAGTGTTTTTCTGTCGACAGAACGCGAAATGTGGAGTCTGAGTTCTGCTCAGTCTCCTCGGTGCGCGAATATCACGTGAGTTCGTGCGGCAAAAGAAGAAAGAAAAAGCTTTTTTTTCAAACCATCTCACCTTGAGATTCCATGCAACACAAGTTAACCACATGAGTTCAGAAGAAGACTGGAGACGAGTGACGTTAAGTTTTTGTAACTAACGCTAACACCTTAATTAAAAGTACTTGTTTCCAGACTGCCCGTGAAGGGACATGGACACAAATACGTGATAAGCCTTCTTAAAAAATAATAATAAATAAAAAAAATCAAAGTGCTCTGTGAGCAAACTCGTGAATTGACACATGATTTTTTGGATTATGTTATCTGTTAATGTTATCTGGTTTAGGGAATTTTGTTGTTGATTGTCATATCTAGAGTACGAGCAGTAGTTCAGTGTTCGCTAATGTGGCAAAGAAACAAAGTAACGTCGGGATAAGAAGGCGTTACAATTAAAATGATCATGCTATTGCATTTGACAAGGGTGGATGATGTCATGTGTTTTAAACGTATATCATTTCTGTTTCTGGTTCAAAAGAAAAGGTTGGAAGTAATGTGGGTGAAAAGTGAGATTTACTGTCTATCATTGTGAATATTAGAAAATCAAGACAATACTTTCTTAATGAAAACATTAACGATTCCCTCTTTATCAAATAAGACAAACGGGAACGAGTTTTGAGTGATATAACTAAGGCAAGACTGCCACCGTCATTTTGGATCTCCGCCTGAGTAGATTTTCGTCACGTGCTAGGCAACGTATAATCAATAACAAGATAGAATTTCATTTCAGGCCTATCAATTTTGTAGTGTATAACTTTCGCATTTTAGTACGTAATATGTATTTTGAATCTTCAAATTGTCTTGAAACTTAAAAGAAAATTGTTCATTAAAAATTCACTGAAAATCGGTAGCTAAAGTTGTTTGTTTGGGTGTTATTTGATTTTCGTGTTAACTTGTAATTTCGTTAGTCGCCGGCATCTGCTATTGTTCCTCACAGGAAAAACACACGATACGAAACGTAATGATCGATTCTGTCCTCAATCTCACGCCGTAACAGAAAAAGCTTTTGAACATCTGTAAACTCCGAGCGCTTCGCAGTAAGTGATATTTTCAATAAATCTTCGGATTGTTTTCAAGTTCAAGGATTGTAAATTACAATTTTATGAAAAACGAAGATTTTCTGTTATTTCAGTGTGAATCCTTGCATGCCTGCCAGTCGCTGGCGCCGCTTGTTGAAATTAAAACGAAAAAAAAAAATTATTTTAAGATTATCATTGGCTTCTTTGTCACCCCACCACTATTCTTAGCAACAAAGGTCACCATTTCGTTTGTTTATTGCTCGCCAAAAACTATCGAATGCACTCAA